ATTTTTAAATTAATATGTCAAAAGTTATTATTTTTTTTTTTTTATGAATACGTGATTGAATTTATTCTCAATTATTTGCTATACTTGCAACGTTTTATAACATTGATCCTTGATTCTGTTGTTTCATCTCTAATTTTTTCTCTGTACTATTCAAATCGTACAATAACTTTCCATCACGTAGAATCGAAAATCACAGGGCTGGTGTTGCTCGCGTCTCCGCCGACGTGCGAAAAACCCATCGCGCAACTCGACGCACAATTACAACATAAAGCATTTCTAATTCACTCTCTTCGGAGAACGGACTTCCCTCTCTCTCTCTCTCTTCGTTCGTGGTTTACGTTCTCGCAGAGACATAGAACGAGCGATCTCTCTCGAGAATCGGCACCTCCGTTCTCGGGGTGGAACGGAGATCAGGTCGCGCGCGCGTTAACGGGAGTTTTCCGCGGAAACGAAATAAAAATGACGGTGCGAAATGTTCTCTTCCGAACAGGTAATTCCCGGCATTTCGCCACCCTTTCTCTCTCCCTCGACTTTCTTCCTCTCGCGTCTCTCCTCTCCCTCCCGGAACAACAACGGGGCACTCTCTCTCTCTCTCACCCCCATTGGGCGCCAACAACCCCCTCGCGAGCAGAGCAGTTCTCGGGGGTTGAACGGTTGTCGAACGGATTGCTTTTTGTTCCGCGCCTCCGTGTCCCGTCCTTTGTTTCCGCGAGTCGCCCTACCGTGAGGAAATGACAAACAAATGAGCACCGTTGTGTATAACAGCCACCGGCCACCCCCGCGTCGTCATGGCGATGCGACGTGACGATCGACGTTTTTAACTCGTCGGCTACGCCGGCCTCTTGCTTTGCTTTGGTGCGCACGATCGACCATGTGCGACAACCGATCCGCGGAGAAAAGTCACCCTTATCTCGCTAGATAGAATCTTGATGTTGCGTGCGATCATCGCACGATTGGTTATTTTAATTAAACTTTCTGTAAGATGTATTTAATATGCAGGCACTGATTGTCTTGTTTGATATAAAAATTGAAGGTTTTCATTGACTGATAATCTTGACACATCAGAGTCTAAATTGATAAACACGATCTTAAAAATGTTAAATGATCGCAGATGAGTTCTATTAAAGATAACGAGATGATTTAAAAATCTTTGCGAACGTAATCACAAAATTTAATTTTTTTTTCCTATATATGTTGCAGTATTTATATCATTAAATATTATTAATAAAGCAACGGGATATCAAGGATTAGTAAATCGGTTTGCACCATCGATTAAGTACAAGAAACACATTTGATACAAGAATTGAGACGCACACATTCGCGCGTGCATGAGTGAATTTTGTAAAAATAAATTTTTTTACCGTACATTAGAATGCCGGGGGCTTTTGTATTAGAAACAAAATGGCGTTTCCACCATACTTTTCCAAGAGAAAGAGGCGATAACGCGGGTATACGGCGGGGATTGCTCGGCCACGGGGGTCGATCGCGTATGTGCCATTCAAAGTCGATGAAGAGGTGAGCCGTGGCGTTTTCGCCGGCTGGACCTCGTAACTATCGATTGTGCTTCAAAGTCGATTGTGTCCCCATTATGTACGCAAGAAGGGGAGAAAGAAGACGCGGGGTAACGCGGCGAAGGGAGACGAGGAGCGAGAAGGGAAGGGAAGAGAAGGAAGGACGAAGGGGTGACTGTGTTCCGGACGTCGGTGGGAGAAAGGGAGGTAAGAGAGACAGGGACACCCCTAAAGTACGGGCCGTCCAATTGACTCCGCCATATTGAGTTTGGTTCTATGGGCTCTCGAGCTCACACAGGCTCTTGGAATTGAGACACGTTATACGAAGGTCCGTCCTTCGTGGAAGGCTTTGGTAACTTCGTTACGAGGTTCTACGTGAGCAAAATCCAAGCCCGAAGGTATATCACCCGGCGGCTTCCGCCTTCGGCGCTATCTAGAAGTCCGACGTTCGAACGTCGATACGGCTAATTAATTGCGCACCATTTCGCCCTCGGAAGAATTAATCATCGTACGCGAGGAAAGCTACTTGTCACGAAACTATAGAAAAAGTTATTGCGTTGTGTCTGATTCATTATTTGGATATTTGGACGATATATTAATATGATAGACGTATGATATAATTTGACTTTAATTAATAACACATGTTTTAATTTATTTATTTTAATAATACTTAAATTTTAATGGTAATTTTATTTTATTATAACGTATTTGCTTCTTTAGACACAATCTTTGCAAACGCACAGAGAGATATTTCTCTTGGAATTCACCCTGAAAATCATGAGATAAAATGATATTGGACGAATTTTATAAGAGTTTCTCTGATTAATATTTATCACAATAAAAATGTCAATACGGCTAATTAATTGTACACTATTTCTCCCTTGGAAGAATTAATTATCATATACGCGAGGAAAGCTACTTGTCACAAAATTATAGAAAAAGTTGTCTAATTAATTATTTGGATATTTGGACGATATATTAATATATGATATAATTTGGCTTTGATTAATATAACACATTTTAATTAATTTGTTTTAATAATACTTAAACTTTAATGGTAATTTTATTTTATTAGCACTTGCTTCTCTAAACACAATCTTTGCAAATGCACAGAGAGAATGTTCTCTTGGAATTCACCCTGAAAATCACGAGACAATATGATACTGAACTAATTTTATAAGAGTTTCTCTGATTAATATTTATTACAATAAAAATATTAATATCTACTACAATAAAATATAAAATACATATATTCGATTAATTTTACTATGTATATACATATTAATATTTTTTATTGTGGTAAATATTAATCAAAGAAAACTCTTATGAAATTCTTCCAATACCATTTTGTCCTACGATTATCACGATATTTCAGGGTAAATTCTAAGAGAAAATTCTCTCCGCGTGCAAATCAAAAGATTACATTGTTACAAGTGTAAGATATCTCATTCTTGCAAATACTTCAAAATACAGACCCTGGCATATTTAGCTGCCCCAGATATATCCGAGCGGGCTCCGGGTAGCAAGATTCTTCGACCGCGATATGTATCAAATTATCCTTATAATAGAAAATGACGGCAACGTTACACCTACCAGGTGTCGTGCTACGAGGCGCCAAAAACGGTGCTCGTCATGAGAATGGCGCGGTGAATAACAATGCATCTTCGCTGCACACAATAATGCCGACACAATGCTCGTTTCTGACTACAATAGGTGTTGCTTTAATGGGAGTCCGGTTGCAACCGGGGTTTCTGTTGAAACCACCTTCGCTATACGATTTTCCCGTGCGTGTAAACAGCACTCGCGATCTCTCTCTCTTTTTTTCTCTTTCTGTCTTCCATCGGATCGTTCGACGAAAAGAATGCATACGTCTTAATGCCTGTAACGTCAAGATTTCGAAACGCGAAACGGCCAAGTAGCGCAAAGCTCTCAAGATCGTTTTATTCATCGGAAAACTCGATCGATCACGAACATACATCTGTGACATAGAAAGCAAAGAAACTTAAGTAAATATCTTGCTCGAGAAGGTTGTGTAACTGGCGAATAAAGAAAGAGACACTTCCAATATACTTAAGAAACATAGTAGAAAAGAACTTCTTTCTTGCGAAGAGAGCAAGTTGCAGACAAACATGAATGAATCGAGTCGCACATAGTTTTAATATATTTGCAAGATTGCAAGGTTCAAATTAAATTAATTTTGGTCTCTGATATCGCGTTTTGAAATTATCATCCCCTTCATCATGTAGAAGTATTATTTTCGGCATATTGAAACACGTACGATGTTTTTCAGCAATCGATCGATGAAATATGTTATGCTCATTCAATGTTTGTTCGATCGAAACGAGATAAGAAATAGTAAAAGACGCATGCATGTAACGTAGACGAAAAATCGGCCATTCGACTCGTTTTCTTGCACCAAAGCAAGCTTGCACTGTAAGGAAGTGCGCCGGGACGCAAATCAAAATGCAGTCGCTACCGAAAGGACACTCCAGCTGCTGGAGGGTCCTTTGCTATTACTGTGAAGGACTTCGCAGTGCTTGACGAATCACTCACTAATTGCGTTCGTGACATGGTCCAGAACTAACAAACGGTTCCTTCGCGTGGAATATAATGATTTTTTGCCGTCATGTGCATTTTGACGATATGCACGAACAGAATCGGTCCTGCATTATGTACAAATATAAAGAAAAGATGCATAAAAATAATCCGCGATTATATAATATTTTAATCTATTTAATCTTATTGTTATTTTTAACAAATATACATGTACGCGTACACACACGCAATACATGCGATTATTAATTAATATTAAAAACACGTCAGTCGAATAAAGTTCAAAATTTGTCTAATAGAATTTGCAATTAATTAAAGATCTGTGTTTTGGGTAAAACTTATATCAGAATATCTCTCTGTTTCTCTCTCTTTCTCTCTCTCTCTCTCTCTCTCTCTCTCGCTATTATTCTCTATTGTCCTAATGATGGATAATCATAAGATTCTCCTTGAGAGTCTCATTACGAATCAAGGACCCCTTAATGGCTCCTATGAAACTCATTGGCCATTTAACGCCGAGGACACGCCGCGACGTTGAATGATTGACAAGTTCGAGAGCGAATTTTCTCGTCAATCCCATTTCATCTTACACATTTATGATTGAAATTTTTATATATATTTATAATAATTTCTTTATATTATCATTATTTTATTATTATATTTTATTGTCAGTTTATTTTAATATTTTTTTATACAACAGATTTATATACAATTTTATATAAAATATGATAAAAGAATTCTTATATATATACATATATTTCTAGAAACTGGAAATTACACCTAAATTTTTTTTTCTTTAAATTCTATGACACAACTGGGACTATCGTACGATAAAGAAACTAGATGATATTATTCATTATTTTAATGGCAATCTTGAATTTTTGATTGCTATTATATATTTAATATATGCGAAAAGTTAATATGTAGATAATATTGCAGTTTTATTAGTACGGCATCATATACTCGATACGTGCGTAAGTTTTAACAATGGCAGTCTCTCCATACTTGCGTACGTACGGTCGACACCCTTTACACGTTCCCCTTGCGGAAACGCGACGTCTCCATGGTTACAACATTGAAACCCCGCTAGGGGATGACAAAATGGAGAGGCGCAATACTCGGCCCGACAAAAGCGAAGTAGAATCGAAGAACGCCGTTGACTACCCTCGTATTTGAAAGGTCGATTTCTATATACAAAGTGCTCCACGTAATCGCACTTTGCTGATAATGCACTCGCTGATAATTAAAGCCATCCTATAGCAGAGCAATGTAGCACTTTAACAAATCAATTCAGTAAGTTTACTTTTTTCCAAACAGCTATCAATCTTTAATAATGTGTTGGTTATATTTTTCTAAAAAATCTACACAAGTATTCACATCATAAAATCTTCATAATACAAGTTCAATACAACTGCAGTAACAGTTATACAGTTAATTAATCATTTATTTACTATCAGCATTTCAATTTTGAAATTAGAGAGATTTTATTATTTTATAGACAATTTTTTCGCAAGACATTTTAATTTTTTGATATTGATAATTTAAAACAAAGTTTTACACGTGAATATATAAATATGTATAATATCTGCAGATTCTAAGATATTTCTTTTTTTCCAAGGTATTAATATTCAAAGTTAACCATGGAAAGAAGGGGTAAAAGGAATATACGGCGCAAATCGTATTTCGGATTGCCGACAATGTGAGCCAGGTGAAGATTACATCGTGATTCACGAGGTCTTTCGATGGTACCCGCATCGACACTATCTGTCATCGGAAACGCTACGAATCAGGACTACGCACGAAATGCGAAACGTCACGTTCTTCAACGTCCACCCTAACCGGAACAATCTCAGCGATTTTATCTGTACGTTTCCACGATATTATCATCTATTTCTGTCTTTTCTCTTTCTATATATATGTGTCCCTCTCTCTTTCTTAACAATAATAAAATATTAATACATTCACTTTTACCTCTGTTAAAAGCAAGTTGCAACCTTATAATTCTTCTCATATAATCTATATAATGTAAAAAATTATATAAAAAAAATTTGTACTTAAAAGATATTCTGGTAGAGTGCAATTATTCTTTTTAAGCTATTTTTATTATTTTATAATTATGTTGACGCTGCTAATTATTAATTTTCAAATTAATGTTAACTCAAAATTTAAATTATTATATAATTTATTACATAATTTTAATAATATAACAATTATATTTAGGACATTCGACGTTATGTGGAAACTAAATATGACAACTGTCAGAAAATGGGAAGTCTTCCTGGTGGTTGATAAACAAAGGAGGATAAAATGGCTACCCTTGGTGTAGGAGCAGATAGTCTAATCCCGGATGAGACGACGGCGGATGTGCGACGACGACGACGGCGACGGAAACGAAGGTAGAAGCGAGAAACAGCGTAGACACATCTCTCGGATTACGTCTTAACAAGCTCCACGACGTTCATTTGTCTTATCCGCTGCTGCTAATGCGACAGCAGCTGTTGAAATGATTAATTCGGCGCGAGGACGCCGTCTTGTTCCGCTCCGCCCGAGCATTCGATTTTGTCGTCGCAGATGCGTCGCGGTTAATCAGCGCATTGCGGTTAATCACAGTCGTTGCGAAATACAAAGCTAAACGAATAGTGTTTGAATCTAACTAGAAATACGACTTTGTAAAATCTATATAACAATAATTATAGAAACATGTATCAAGAGAAATTGTGGCTTTAAACAGTCTATGGATTCTACATTTAACATAGAATATTATTTTTAAAGACAAAAATCTAACTGATAGACTTCGATAATTCAATTTGACATGTATAAACGTGTATTTTAAGAAAATGAATCGATCTGATTCAATCTAATTCTAAACGTTAATAGACAATTGCATAACTGTAATTAAATTCAATGTGTAAGGTGTTCCACCGTACAATGGTTCATTGCTCATAAGAGAAACCCTACGTGCGATCGCTCGCACCCTGTCCAAACAAATAGAAGCGAGCGCGCGGCAATCTAATTGGATTAATTTTCAATTTGTCGAGGCCACCTGTCGTCGCGATGCACCGATCGCGCGTACCGATCGATGACTAATCCGCGAGAACGAGGAAACTCACGGACGAGACACTGTCGAGCGCGGTCGGGGCGGATTATTAGAGTTGCGCGTAGAGGAACAAAGAGGCGCAAAGCGACAATTGTGCCTCATCGCGCGGATATAGAGTTACAGACGTGCGAGCGGAGAAAATGAGCGGCGAATATTAAGCCGGCGTAGCAAAATGGCCGACTGGGCGAGAGGAAAAAATAGGGACGCACTAGATCTCTCTTTCTCTCGTTCGTCACACGACGAGCGGTGGAGACACGTAATGAACACTCGGCTCCACACACTCCGCTCGTCGGGTTACGACGTGACGCGGGTCGAAATTTTGCCGCGTCGCTAACGCATGCGTGACACGCGCCGATCGAAAGCCCCGCCCGGTCATTCTGCCTTTGTTTAATTCACGCAGTATCTACGCCCACGATAACAGTAATGTAACTAGAAGGTTTTGTAAACCTCGCTAAAGAATGCCTTTAAAAAATTTTAAACAAACATGAGATACATCTCTAAAGATATAACTCTAAAAGAGAAAACCATATAATTCAAAATAAGAATTCTACTCTATGATCTTGGGCAAAGATTCAATATTTAAAAGTTGAATGAAGTGATTATCTGACTTCTTTATCATTCAATTATATTAATTTATATTGTAGCGCATCTGAATGAACATGTGTATGTGCTCTGCATATGTTACACTATTATAAAATTCATAGAAATAAAGGCATACATCGAGATTAATGTCATCCAATATGTAAATTATACAATATTGAAAACAAGGTCTTTTTTAAAGGTATTCTCTCTGTTACTGTTTATAATGCGACCGATACAATACGACCTATAATTATTGTTTCTATTCATTTCCAATCAAATGAGAAAAATAGAATTATATTAATTTCTTTTTTCTGACAATGTGATATGTTGTTTATAAGTTAACTACTGCAGAATTATTTTTGAAATCAATATTTTCGTGAATTTTTGAAATTAAACATTCTCTGACATGGAAAAAACTTACATAAATTTCATAAAAACAAAAAACTTTTAATTGAAGGAATAAGATAAATATCTTATAATTTATAACCTCATTTGATTTTATATTGAAAACGGAGCTTACGAATTATGAACTTATTTTTACATTGAATTTTTAATTAGAAAGTAATTGTAATAAACATATATTCGAAAATAGAACTACGAAGTAACTCAACAACAACTGGTAGCGTGGCCGAGCGGTCTAAGGCGCTGGTTTAAGGCACCAGTCTCTTCGGAGGCGTGGGTTCGAATCCCACCGCTGCCAATTTTTTTGCACAGAAACATTTCATCAAAATCTATATTTTACATAGAGAGATAATGTTTTTATTTCGAGAAATCACGACAATATTCATTATAAACTATATATACTAATGTATCATCTATTATCGATAAATACGCTATTTTCTTGTCAATAAGTAAATATCACTAGATTATCGATTGTCAGTAAATGAGTGTGCTACTTACCATTTTAATTTTCTTACATAGTTCAAAAATCAGTAATATATAAACGATAAGATAATATACAAAATCTAGGTTTGAAATCATATTTCGTGAAAATGTTGATTAATTAGATTCCAAAATGTGTGAATGGGTTGCGTATAATCATGTTATATTTCGAAATCGCAGATAAAGATTACTACAAATATATATGTGTCATCACATATGCACGCACATGTATACATTACATGAGTTAGAATAGATTAGAATGAGATACCTCGGGTACAAGTCCACAGTTCATCGACGATCGCCTGACAATTCGAAGCTGTTCTTTTTTTCCACAAAGTATAGGAGTAAAGAAAAGAAATTGTTAAATGAATATAAAATAAACAAAAACGCGCGAAGTGAAGAAAAATGATTCAGATATAGAAACAAAATGTTTCTCAAATGGAATTTCAAGGTATGTTATATTATTTAAATAATATAGCATAAAATATTTTATATTTATATTTATATGAATCGCTATCATCATATCTTTCGATTTACGATAAACATAAATAATACTTAATATAAATAATATTTCCATTTAAAATTATTAATTACGTCGATTTATATAAATATTTTTTATACTTACATATAAAACAGAATCATCACCTGATATAATATATCATCTTTCTTATTTCATAACTAATTTTTAGTTTTAATGTTTCATAACTTTTTAAAAAGTTTCTTGAAAATGTTATTTAGAAAAATAAATCAAGAATGATTTACATTAATCTGAAAATTTATTATCTTTTGCAGAGTGATAAAATCAAAATGAATGGGCAGTTTGAGCAAACAACCGAATTCGATAAACATTTTTGGGATTTTTAACAAGTCTATAGATGTTTATGAAGAAAAATGCCATTGATGTGAACCCCTGGAACATGTCATGCGGTGCAAAACAATTTTCAGAGATACGCCTTTCTTCTGAAAACTGATGAAGAGATCGGAGCTATCGCGCGATGGCTTCTCAATTTAAAAAATTCAATCAGTGATATTCTTTCCACCACCAGGATAGTTTTACGAATCATGCGAGTGAACTTTGCGAAGCGCCACATATCAATCTGAGTTTCATTATATCACTTTACGAAAGAGTGAAATGTATAAAACGTGATCTGCAAACTACTGATGTTTTATATCTACCAGTAATATTATGTTAATACTATTGTGTTTCCGAATTTAGAAGATTGTGTTAGAGTAATTGAAAATATCGTAAAGTGAGATTAAAAATATTAAATTTGACAATATTAAAAATTCACACAATGTCTCGCAATTACAGATACAAGTCAGAGATTGAATATTGAAAAAAAAAATACGTGTGTTCAATCAGAGAGTGCACAATTAATAATAACGCTCATAAAAAATTGTGATACCTATAATTCTATGAATACAGTGTGTGCGATTACATTTATTTTTGAAAAAGCAATTCTGCATTGAATACATGATCACTAATAGTATGATGTCACTCTGTGATTTGTCCGCGTGACGACGCGCACGTGTCATCGATCTGCGTATACACATAGCACTGAGTTTATTGTTTGTACAAAAGACATCTCGAGTGCCGTTATAAGGAACGAGCAGATTTTCGCTCGACTCTGCGTAGATTCATCGATTCTCGATTACGCTGATCATGGTCGCCGCAGATGACAAGATTATACGCGCATCGACGCGCGAGACTATCGAGTTGCACTTCCTGTCCTTTGCCTACGGTATATACCTGATAGTGAAACGATTTCTCAAATGGATATGGGACCCCAAGAAGTTCTTCATGCTACGACAGCGGGATCAACCGCCGCCGTGTCTGGTAGACAACAGCCTTGGTACGCATTCCTACGTGAAAATCAAGGTGAGAGGATACTATACATTTCTATAAATCATATCATGACATATGACCGAATGGCGTGAGTAAATATATACGAGATACGAACGCGGAGTAAATACTTGACCTTTGATAACTCGTGATGAGACGACAGGTTTAACACAGACTGCACTCGAAATTAATTCTCTAACAGTTAAAATAGCGAGTTTTATAATCAAATAATTTAATGTATAAATTAATTTATTAATTTAATAAAAAAAATGAGATTTTTCTTTTTAAATATTTTGTTATTTATTTTGCAAATTATGAACTTATTCCATTCTTACGATAAACTATCTTGCCTTCAACTAATTTAACGATATGAGCCGAAGATATAGTTTTTGTTTTCATAATCTTGGACACTCGAAAATAGTGTATTTGATTCTTATAATTATAAATCGATATGAATTCAACGTGTCATGACTCTATGTGACAGCCTCACCTTTTATGATATCAAGTGCAGATGACACTTAAATGCTGAAGAATAACATGTTGCACAACGTACATCGTGATAAAGTAGTTATTCTTAGGATAATTTGCAATTTTTGTTTATTCTCCAACGTAATTCGTTATAAATTCTGATAATAATATATCAATAATAATTATCGAAACAGATTTATTTATGTGGCTTAAAGCATATAAACGTACACAAGAAAATGATAAAAAATTTTGGTAAACAATGTGTGCTATATATACAATACATAAAAAGATAATATAATTGTTTTGTTATACATATAACAATAAGTTTAGTATCTATGCTATCATTATAATGATTTGCAGAAGAATTCCACACTATATTTTTGAACAAATTTCCTGCTGGTTAGTAGTAAACTGTAAAAATTTCTTTGCAATAATTAAAGATCAATAAACGACGAGTGCAATTAATAAGAAATACTGCGAAATCGGTTAGAAGCTCATTGTCTGTCTTTATCAATTTAGAAAAATGTGACGATAACAATTTATTGTTTAGTCTGGAAAGCACAGACGCGGAGGAGTCGGTCTGTCACAGAAAAAAATTATAAATCATTTAAGAGAAAGCTATTTTTTTCAATATAATTACTAATCGGAACAGACGGCAGTCTGATGTAATTTAATCATTTCTTGACGTTCATATTATGTACATATTATGCTTTTTTATTGTCATAATTACAGCGATATTAATATTTTCTCATTAAACCATGTATCGTAAAATGCAATTCTGTAAAAAAAAAATTATTGCATTTATAAAGTTTACTTGTTTTAAAAAATATACGCGAATGTTTGCATACGTGTGCGTTTATATATATTATATATATATATATATAAATTTATATTATTTTCAAACTTAAAAATAGAATAACAATTTCCTTCTGTTGTTCAACACATTTTTTCTTTCACACAGGGTGTTAAATTCCATTACGTAGAAGCGGGAGACAAGAGTAAACCACTCGTATTATTATTACATGGATTCCCGGATTGTTGGTTATCTTGGAGAGAACAAATTCCATGTCTCGCAAAACATTTTAGGTTCGATAATTTATGCAAATATTCGATAATTACTGCAATACAATATATAACATATAGGTATGGATATTATTATGATTATTTCTGATGTTGTTTTGTAGGGTAGTAGCTCTAGATTTAAAAGGATTTGGCGATAGCGACAAACCATTCAACAAACGAGCTTATAAAGTCGAAATTTTAATAAACGAGTTGAAGCAATTTGTGTTGACTTTCGGTGTGAAAACATGTAATATAATCGGCCATGATTTAGGAGGACTTCTGGGATGGTACATGGTCGCTTTACACGGAGAACTCGTTTATAAATTTGTTGCTATTTCGAGCCCACATCCTAATTTCTATTGGAACAGAGCATCGGGAAATTCCGCATTAGATGGAAAGTAGGTAGTATTTCTTCAATTTCTATATTTATTGCGTGAACTTTGTGTAAATGCTCTTATCAAAATGTCTTTTAAATATGTGAAATTATCTTTATAAATGTATTTTAATAATACAAAAGAACGTGATATGTTTCAGATGGGTACATTTTAGTAGACTACCATTTCTACCAGAGATAGATGCGCTCAAAGAAGACTTATCTATTATTAACGAGACATTTCATCATCTTCAAAAATCTCACAATAGCACAGAAAAAAGCTATGTCGAGGCGTATAAATATGCTTTCAGTAGGAAAGGTAAAGTAATCTCAACTATTAAAAGTTGAGTTCTTCTATGGCACGCATTCCATTCTTTTTGTGACTTTTTTATATTAAAAAATAATCGAAGTGATATTTTTTTAGAGGACTGGACAGGACCGATTAATTATTATCGCAATCTTCCGTTCACAAGATTGAATATAAATAATGGCGCACAAATTGATAGCAAAACATTGCTGATTGTCGGAAATATGGATCCTTTTGTGACGATAGAAAGTATCATCCAAAGTGCCGAACATGTAGAAGTGTCTAGAGTGAAGATCATTTCAGGGGCGCAGCATTTCCCGCATCAAGAAAAACCGATCGCCTTAAATGAGGCGATTATTAAGTTTCTTATAGGTGAGTTTTAGTCTCTCAGTATTTTACTCAATTCTTTCTTTGCGTATAAAGATTTAAATGAAAATATATATATATATATATATATATATATTTCGACAAATAATGTAAAATCCTAATATTTCGTACATAAGCAATAAGAGCAAATAATATTTTAGGCACAACAAGTAATTTGCCACCTTCAAAGATGGCTTCAAAGAGCCTTGTATCCTCCTGGTTAGGATCCTTAAGTAATACTGTTAAGTATGGCAATCATATGATTGACACTGTGCATAAACGGACCAACGACGTAGTAAATGTCTTACCCAGCAAAGCGCTTTATTTGGGTCAAACAAGTTAAATGGCGGAGAGAATGTAAGCTATAATATTTAGTATCATCTATTTAAATTTTACATCTTATTTTAAAGTATCCTACCTATTATAGAGATCCTATACTTATGCGTGTGAATATATATGAAATTCTTAAAAGGCTGATTTATGGTCCTATTTATTATTATTTTCTTTTTATATATAAATATATCATTATAATAGGAATTTTTGTGAATGATAAAGTCTCATGGTATGAAAATATTCACTTTTAATATGAGTAGATATGATTTCGACTTGTTTTTAATTTCTATAGGTATATTTTATAAGATATGTATGAATAAAATAGCATAACAGAATGAATTTTTTATGCATTGCATACAATTATTACTTAGAAATAGAATGCTCTAATGAAAAAATTTTAAGTTATAAAGAAAATTTGTAAAATTTTGAATATTAATATATTTTTGTAATAATTTGATAGCAATTAATATATATCAATTGTAATTAAAATATTAAATGATATAATTAATATTACAATAATTATGTCATATAAGAATATTTCGTTCAATTTATAATATAAATGCAGGATGGTTTATTAAACAAAAGAATATTCTATTCTATTATAATGTTAATTGTATATATATTAATTGATTAGATATTGCAGCAATAAATAATCAAATAAATTTTATGTTCAAATCTAAATAAATATATATATATATGTGTATATATATTTAATTGCGTCAGGAATTATTTTTATAAATTAAGCAAAAAATGATATTATTAAGTTTTATGTAATCATGCATTATAAAATGCAATATATTTTGAAAATATATTGCATTTTGTTATGCATGTTGTTATATATTCCAAATTGTTATGTAAAATTTGTGAATATTATACAAAAAAAATAATAGTATATCATATAATAGTTAATATTATATAACATTCATACACAATAAATATAGCAATAACAAATTATGTAAAAATTGCCTCTTTTTTTTCTTTAAATATAGAGAAGAGTTTTAGCATTATATATTTAAAAAATATAACAAAATATTAATCTCTTATTTTTTTGCAAACGCATTGTTAGACTTGGTAATTTAATGTTCATGACATATATAAAAAATAGCTCGAGTGATTAAACTGAACACATATTGCTATATTTCTGTATGATATTCTCAAATTACAGATATAAAAATTGTTGTGTGAGGCAATGAGTATTTTGCGCAAAATTACGTCGACGATGTACTTTCTTTAGGCTTTTTCCTGGAATAAAATTGAGTGTTGTATATATAAAAGAATTATACATTAACAAAATTATAATATTAATTGAATTATCTTATACAGTGTCCATACTTTCCAAAGTTTTCGCTATCTTCTATCGTTTCTGGTAATTCACAATTCATCGTTTCTGGTAAAAGTAAACAAAGTACAGCGCCTAGCATTGGTCCTATGGCGAATATTACTGGAGGCAACCAAGGTTGAATAGTTCCCTGTGAATTATTTATATATAAAATATGACCTCTAGTTATTAATACAATTTCATTATTTCATTATAAAGATGTGCACAATAAGCGTATAATAATAATTAACCATTGTAGCAATATACGGTGCGATTATACTTCCGATTCTGGCAGAAATACTTCCCAAGCCAACGCCAATATTTCTTACGACAGTCGGAAATACTTCACCGCTGTACAAATATATCGTGGGGAAACTGATTGCCATACCCACGAGGCCTAGTGAGGCTAAAAATATCCTGGCACTTGCATTCGTCATTAAAGTTATCAAAAGTAAGCTAACACCAGACAAGATATTGCCTCCTATCAAGATTTTTAAACGAGACACTCGTGATATCAGAAACAGAACTATCACTGTCCCAGGTAATTCCATGGCAGCTGTAAATCTCATAAATGTTTAGTCAATATTCAAACGCCAAATGTTTGATGTAATCATAAAATACTGTCGTATTACCAGAAACTGCGACATTAATGAATATATCTCCGTCAAGATGACCCATGTATTGCGCCAAACCGAAGAAACACATGCCGCAAACGAACCAGTTGATGCTCACGCATATAGTCTTCAGTCTCAGATTCGGAGTTCTAAATAAATGCGTAATATTATATTTTTCCTTGCTCTTTGTGATTCGAATTGCTGCTTGATTCTCATGAGTTTCAAGAGCTACTTTCACATTTTCCACCGGTATCTTGTTTCGTTCGGCAGCTTTTAGCAAAATCCGTTCTGCTTGTCTCGGCTTGCCCATGGCTAGTAACCATCTCGGTGATTCTGGAATAATCCTATTTTGCGAAATGCATCTTAATAATTTATCGGAATTGATAAAATTAATCTTTGTTTTATCGAGGACAATTCTTATCCTAATTAGCGTACACATAATTTATGTATACATACCAGTAATACGCAAGTAAAAAAACTGATGGTATCGAGACAGCCATTTGAAAACCAGACCATGTGCCATGTGTCAAGTAAGAGATTAAGGGATTCATTAAGTGTCCAAGTAGAAATGGCACGTGGAAGAGAACCGACATGATTGACCGCCATTCAATTCCGATAATCTCCATAACTGCGCGCAATTAATTAATTCATTAATTTCGCAAATAATTGTGCTGTAACACTATTGCGTTCGACTTACGTAAAACAAAACTAACAAGCATCGTTCCACCAGTAGCTAAGGCACATATGAATTTCAGTATCAAAACAATTCGTACCATGGTGCAAATGCACTTGCAAATCCAGTTACCGATTGCAACGCGATTGCGATCATCAAAGGCTTCTTTCGTCCAATTCTATATATAAAAATAAATATAAGATGTAAAAATCTCTGAAGTCACCAGATGATAATTAAAAAATGGTAGTAATTTAATCAACCAACTCTGGCTATTTAATGATCTTTATTTAATATTCACGACGTTTCGGCCATGGGTTTCGGTCCTTATCAAGTGCTAAAACACAACTTTCTATATAGAAACTTAATTTCTGATCTTAAAATGTGACATGATATAATGTGAAACAATTAACTATCTTAAGTTAGTTAATGTTTCACATTATATCATGTCACATTTTAAGATCAGAAATTAAGTTTCTATATAGAAAGTTGTGTTTTAGCACTTGATAAGGGCCGAAACCCATGGCGGAAACGTCGTGAATATTAAATAAAGATCATTAAATAGCCAGAGTTGGTTGATTAAATTACTACCATTTTTTAAAAATAAATATATCATCGATATTAATAATGTGTGAAAAAGTATAAATTATATAGTATATAGCATAAGTTTATAGCATGTATAAGTTATATAGTAGTTATATAAGTATAAGTTATATAGTATGTGTGAAAAAGTATATATTATAATATGTTTGATATTGATATCGAACGATTGCTCTGTAAAATTAATAATCAAATTTCATCGTAAAATATTGATTTTAAAAATATATTTACCTGTCAGCCATTACACTGAAAATTAAATTGCCAATAAGCACACCAAACATTGTGCAAGATTGTGCAAAATTTGCCAATTGTTCTTTATCGCATACTAAATTCCACTGAAAACATTAAAATGCAATGTTTGTATTTTTTTACATCACTCGGAATATTTTTACGCAATTGATTTATGAAACATTAATGTTGGAAAAAAGAGAAAGAAAAAGAATCACAATTATAACTTACTTGCGTTATAATACTTTCTCGGAATATTCGCTTATCGTATTTGAAGTCCGTGCACTTTTCCATAGTCCCGTTTCCTACATCAATTTCACATTTCATTATCGTAGAGTCATTAGTCGCTGATAACGGCGCAATGCATGAAAAATTAGTGGGTGGTGCAAGAAATACAATGGAAAGTTGATGCCAAGCTACTGGAAATTTGACGAGAGAGATTGCGACCACGATCACGATGTGCCATGGACCCATAGAGCCCATGGCCTCTTGAACGGTGTCCAGTGGCACAAGACCTGAAAAATAGTATATGTTGTAATACTTGATAAAGCAAGAAAATATTCTCTTATCTATATATGCATTTATTACAATATTCTTTATTAAAATATAAAACATATAACACGAGGGCGGACTAAAAAATAATGCATATGTTCGCCTTATTCTACCAAGAACAAAAAGATGATGTTTAAAAAAGCAAAAAGATAGAATAAAAGTATAATTTATATAATCATTAATAAAGCCATTTAATTGGATTTATTAAAGAAGCAGATATATATGTAAATTTATAATCAATAAAAATTATACTTTTATTTTTTTTTTATCTCTTTTCGTTCGTGAGATAACCAAACGTGTGCATTACTTTTCTCAAAATATACAAAATTATTGTATGAACTTGCCCAATCTAGAACTGATTTTATCATATTTATTTGCGTTTATAATAAAAGCAGGGAGATACGCGAAACATTATGTGGTTAATAATATTTCTATGTTAAATTCTATGCATTAGATTCTCTAAATTGCAAGTTCACAAATATTAAATATGATAATAAGATGCAACACTTCTTTGCGGTAATAATTAACCGAGAATAATTCCGATTTTTATTATATTTTTATTATTATATTGCTCTTACAATCAAAAGCTATTCGGATAGCTATTATAATTGCTGACATAAAAAGCAATTAATATCGACTTTCTGTTTTAGAAATATATTAAATCTCACAAGACGTTTAATTAGACACGATATACTCTTTTAAAAATTCCGTAATTAAAAATTATAGTAAGCATTTGCAATTTTGTTGAAAGATAGTAATAGATTAGCGGAGAATAAATATGAAATAGAAAGAAAAAAAATTTATCATTGTGTGATTCTAATTATCAAAAGCTAACACAGCCTGATAATTCAATTAAAATTTTTCTTTATATTGCAATCCAAAATATATCAAATTATGATAAAATTTCTTATGTTTTCTACCGTCATATTTTACATAAACTACATGATCTCGAGTGTCAATGACCGATATATGTGCAGTTCATTGCAATAAACTGCAATAAAATTATTCGGATGTTCGAACCGGTCCTATTACAAATACGATATAATGACAAGATGTTATTGCATTGCGCAACGATAGCATATACATTTCCGTGTTGCAATAACGGTACTTATATCTCGTGTCACCGATATATCTAACTTCATAAAATGCATGCAGATTGTAATAATAGCCGTTACCTTGCACGTGAAACCTTAGTACATAAGATTTTCAAAACCGCAAAAGAATTAGATCAGTATTTCATAATTTGACATTATATTTCTATAAATCCAGAAGATAAAAAATCATAGATTATGTGTGCTAAACTTATATAATAAATATTTTTTATTATAAAAATTTTCTTTTAATAACAAATCTCTCGAACGAATTAATCGCAGTTATTATCGAAATATTTATTGTCCTTTGTAGTTTCATATAAATTTTACAAAAAACCCTTTATTAAAAAAACACTTAGCTTTTACATACTTATATGTAAAATTTTTATATCACGCATAAAATATCCTTACTTTCCGCGAGATGTTTTAATTTCAATCGTGATTTCATTAAGGAAATCGTGCATAAATTGCGCTTTTATATTGCATAGAAAAATTCAAAAATGGAAAATATTATTATATGAATATATTTAAAATTATATTTATCGGAATCAAATTTTAACGGAGAAGATAATGCTAATATCAAGAAAGAAATATCAAGATATCACATAATAGAAAATTAAAATGTTATATTAACAACAAGATATTGTTGAATCTTAACATGTGTAAAATTACTCAATATATGTAATTAGATGGAAAACTCAATCACTTTGACGAGTTACTGCCATTATGTCAATATTGTTTTTTTGGCAAAATAAAGTTGAAATATTTGAATCGAGAATTTGCACAGTGGGCTGAACTTGATACGTATCAAGAAATTAATATTTGCACAATTTTAATGCGACTTTGATTTGATGCAGATTTGAATTAATTGATATAAGGATGATATACACATCTCAATAAATCTTTGAAAGAAATTTGAACTTTATTTTGTTCATATATCATTCCTTCTCTCCATCTTTTTAATCTTTCTCACGCGTGCGTAAGTGAACTATTCAATGCAAATAAGCAAGTTAATACAAGATAAGTAAAATATGTAGGTGTATATGCACAGTCGTGTTTTGCATAATTGACAATGCACGGATACTCCATTTAATGCATGCAGAGACGCGAATCTTTTACGAGGAAAATACAAAATCTATAAATAGTAAAAAAAATTAATGTTACCAATTTGCAAAAATTTTGTTGCTAGATCATTTTAATCTGAGACTGCACGAATAAAAATGCTGATATAAATAAATAATTTAAAAAATATATTTTTTCCATTACTAATTTTATAACCAACTTTATAATTTTATTATTTGACACATTTCTCCATATCTTCATTAAGGAAAATTAATAGCAATAAACGCTCTTCTTATTTGATTAATCCACGAATTATAAAAGGCATGAAACGATCACAATCGAAATGGCAAATCAAGATATTTGATATTATTAATAATAAAACATTGTTATTCTACTAAAATGTTATCCTTTAATTGAAAATAGCATTATTAATAAGCTAATAAAAACTGTAGATAATATAATATTGATATCATTACCCATTTCGCGCCAATTTTTCACGACGTCACGTTGCATTTTCTCCTTAGTCTATTTTTTAAATATTAAGATTCACAATTATACGAACGATTGTTTGCTGTAAAATGTATAGAATGAATATTTAACATACAAAAATATGGCTGATTTATGCAATAACGTTTTCTATTGCATATAGACTTAAAAGTTACTATTTGTAGCAAAATGACTGATGATAAAATAGCATTCAATTTAGATAATAATCGAGAAAATACGTTTAAATCTATAAAATCTATAAAAAATATATATATATACACATATATTATACATATCACGATATCGTATAATTTACCTCATTATAATTAACTAGTCATCTGAAGGCACTTGACCAATGATTACATATAAGACATTTTTCATTACAACAGATGATGTGCAAGCATTCGATATAGTTGACATTAATGAATATATTAAGAAAAAGCAATAAGTATATAATGCTTTACAAAAATGCTTTAATGATGCTTTACAAAAGTATTTATCTCAAAATATAAAGCACCACATATTTTTATTCAAGACATTTTTATTCTCATTAATTTGTAATAAAATATATCCAATTGGTAATAAAATGTTTCCTAAATAGTCATCAATTCCTATAGCCACAGGTAGTGTATGCTCTCTTTTATGTGCGATAAAGAAAAGAAAAACAGAAAAGACAGGAAATAGTCAATTACATAGATTCCTTGGCATTGTTACGGCAAATTATAGCGAATAATATGTGAAATTGGGAACGCGATCAACGGAATATTCGTCGTTAGTTATTCGCGCGATTACACGCTATGGAAACTAGTTCTTACACACAGTGTGTGCATAACGGTGATGCAATTCAGAATGATACTTACACACGTGTGATTACGCATACACCGATCGCTTTAACGTTTAATTTTACGTATATATTTAGCGCGTTCGCCCTCCGATCAAGTTTCAAAAATGAATAATTTGCGCCAGCTAAATCGACTTACCTTTCATCGTTTCGGCCTACCGTTATACGTCCTCTTCGCCGACTGTAAATTTATTTTCAGGTCACGGAAAGACACGATTCCCGCTGCCGTAAATATTAACGTGTTGAGTGTACGAGAGACCGAAGCGAACTAAAAACAGATCTTAAGTTTTGCCATCTTACTGCCTTATCGACACGAATGGTAGGACGGGTGAGATCGAAGACGAGGAATTTAAGACATGAACTCGCATCCGATCATTATCTATTCCTATTTATCGAGTATCAATACTCTTACTTGTTTAACATATGTATATATAGATATAGTTTATCCGATCCTTTTAAAAATGTCTGCAATATATAATAAACTTAAAAGTACTAAAGCTCTCTCGAGTTTAAATTCCTAGCATTGATACAATGCACCTTTTTACAATTTTTATATCAGTAATGTAACAATAAATGTATATATATATATATATGTATATATAAATACGATAATATAAAACGAAATAGCCAAAACATTTTTATAATTAATATTATTTAATATCAAAAATTTTTTTAATGTTAATTAATAAAATTTATTATACACACACATATATATACATATATTGATTTTGAAACTCTGCATATAACAAGTATTCATTGGATTCTTCTATTCTATATTTTAAAAAGTTCTTTGCTTCTCAAGAGAAATTCTTGAGGCTAGATTGTATCTAAGAATGTACCAGAAGAATTTGAATAATCCAATAAATCTTCCTTATTCTCATTAAATTATCAAAGTATGTGATTAAAGTTACTAAAATTTTTGTAGCCGAGAGTAAAATTTTACTTGTCGAATGCGAATTGGCTGAGTTTGTTGCTTAGAGATCGTTTTGCTTCGTTATTGGATTCGTTGTCTGGACTCGATAATTTCCTTTTCTTGTTGAGTTCTGAAGATTCAACCGCATTCTCTACGTTGTTCGATTTTGTTGTTTCCTCTTTATACCGTGTCAAACCAATTTTAGTCAATTCGACGACATTTATTTCAGGAAATTCTTCCTGCAGCTTCTTTCTATTTTTAGCATACCAAGTAACAAATGACTCTTTCCTAGATTCAGTCTTTGATTTCGGTTTAACAGGCACAATGTTTACTGGTTTCTGAGGTTTTTCTGGTAAACTGTTCAAACCAGCTAAACCTATAATATAATACAATAAAATAAGAAAATATTTCTAACATAAAGAGCAAAAATGTTTTCATGTAGAATTGAAAAATTAGTTAGTATACATAATAGTAATATATATTAATTACCTCTTGGTGATAAAGATGAATTTCCAGCTTTTAAAAAAGGATTTACTCTTTTTAATGTTTGACTCATACTTAGTGGCTTGATCTCCACTTCTGGCTTTTTAATAGATGGTAAAAGTATATTATTATCCTCTTCATTATTAATACTAAAATCACTATTGCTTGTAAAGTTGTCCTCCTGATTTTCCATTTCTTCTTCTTCTTTTGAATCTTTAGAATCAGACTTTACATCAGCAATCGCTTCCAACTTCTTTGCCAATGCTGTTTTAGATACACGCAGGGCATATCGTATAGCCAAATCTATTGCTTTCGTTGATGCAATTTGTTCACAAATATCCACTGCACGATATTCCAAATTGCTTCTGCAGGCAAGCTGATTTGCAAGAAGTACAATATATCAGCAAAAATAGGAGTAAAAGCAAAACTATATGTTTAATCAGAAATATTAGACTAAGAATGAATGCTCTACTGCTTAATAATTACTTACTGCAATTAGAGTTAATAGTGCTTCAGTTGCATCCGATGGATTACTTCCTATCTCCCACAGTTTACGTTCTTCTTTAGTTTTCTCAGATTCTGGTTCACAAAGTGGTGCAGAGAAAGATACCTCGGTGATTATCGGCAGTGGAATTGTCGGCGGATAATAACTTCCCTTACAAAGGATACATCGCATATTCTGTTCTTGTTCGCTCACACCGATTACAAAATAATGATCTGCTTTACCTTTGTCCTAAAGCAGAATTTTTTAGTTATATGAATTGTTGAGAAATTTATTTATACAATTTGCATCACCTGTATATTCGTATCACAGAGTACTCTCCACTGACAAGATCTCTTATCATATATCCTGATAATATCATCAGAATCTATTACAATGGGAGAATTAGCATCTGATAGTCCCAACCACATAAGATCCGATGTTGGCGAAAGTGGAATTGTTAAAGTTTGACTGCGTACATGTGCTCCCTGTATTTGTATCCATAATAGATTCATATTCTGATCACCTGCCGGACCTTTTTTGTCAAACAAGAAAAAAATAAATATTTATATAATTAGCTATCAATTTATCATCATATACAATGTCAGTTGAAAAGTTTCTTACCAATTCCAGCATGATAAGCTACCAAAAGACGATTTCCTAAGCCATTCATTGCAACTACAGGTCCAGGTAAAGCTAAAATTTCACGTTGTGTTCCGCCTATCATAAATATTCTTAAATTTCTTCTAGATGTTGCTACTGCCACAAAATTATCACCAGCTGCTAAACATTCACTTTCTTCCCCTTCTGGCAGATCCAGAGACCATTCTTTATTTCCAGAACCCCAACCTGATAGAAATTTGTTGAATATTTATTTGATAAATAATGTTACTTTTGTGTTTTATTATTTATATTATATAATAAGCAACTAATGCACAAACCTTGCAAAGATATGACAACAATTTTACTAGGACCATTATCAGAAGCTGCGCAGCTCAGAGCAAGTGCTTGAGTGGATAGAGCAGCCATGGAATGCCGGAAATAATTATTTATATGCATACTGCGATGAATTGCAGCATTGTGAAACTCTACTTCAATGCTGGAGTTTTCATCATCTTCTGATGTAAAACATCTGACCATCCCCACATCATTCCACATCTGTAAACGTCAAAAACTAAATTTAACTCTGCAGAAATTGCTATAAGATTATATATAAAATATAAGCATTGTTATTATACTATACCATGAAATATGATAATAAGTGAGAAGGTGTTGATCCTGGTTGAAAAGGTGATTGCAATTTTACACTGGGCATAAAAGCTTTAGAATCATATGGAAGCTTTTCAGAGGCTGTTTGGCTTTTTTGATCATCTTCCAGATTAACAGAGGCTTTAATTTTGTTTAAAGATATCACATTTTCATCATCGTCATCGTCGCCCAATAAAGTAAAATCATTTTCCATTACATCCTCATTTATTTCTGAATCCAAGATCTTTTCATTCTCAGGTTTATTAGAACTTATCTGAAAGATTGCAAGACATCCTAATTATAGTAACAAAATTTTAAGATATATAAATATAAACACATAAATATATATAATCTTACCACATCAACACATCCTAATTTTCCCAATGCATCACAAAATGCAATCTCATTGGAATGATCTATATGCCATACTAATGCAGTAATTTTAGTATCTATTTCATGTTCGAGATATCCAATCACTTCTTTAGTATCTATGTTCCAAACAATTATCTCTCCATGTAGTGAACTAGCGGCAATGCGTGTGCCGCATTCAGAGAATTTACAAATGTTAAGTTCCTGCAAAAAATAAAGGAACAATAATTCATGATAAATTACTAAGGAAAACAAAAATACTGAGTCAATGGCTTACAGTCTTTAAGGTAGGACATTTCAATCTATACAATTCCTTCCAGGATAATCTCTCCACTATAACTACGTCTTTGTTAGATGGATATGCAAGACAACTACCATCCGTACATTTAAAAGAAGGCGTGCAATATGATTTAGCAGTAAAAAAGGAATTACATTTTGGTACAATATTATTCCAAACATGTACAGTTTTTTTTTCCTTAATATTCCATACGCGAATAGATCCATCTGCACTAGAGGATGTCTAAAAAATATCAATTTTCCATAAATAATTTAAAATATTTCTTTTGATAAAATATCAAACATTAATACTTACCACAAATTCTTCCTTTGGATCTAGAGACAAGCCTAAGATAGGTGCCCCATGGCCCTCTAATTCTATACTATCTGATGTAGTAATATTTGTAACATGTATCCGCATATCACTTTAAAGGAAGAAATTAAATTATACAGAAATGTCACTTAGTATTAAATATAAAATAAATTAAAAATTTTGTTGGTCACATACCAAGAACCAGATACTATCAAATTACTATCTTTTGTTGTTGCTAATGCTGAAACTGGTGCTGAAAATCTAGTGACTATTCCTTCCTTTTCTAAATCAGGATAAGTAAGCATTTGTACTGTATTATTGTCATTTCCTACAAAAATTTTACCATCCTAAAAATGAAAACTTTTGTTAGAAATAAAATTATTTGTTAATTTTTGTTCATTGTAACATAAAAAGTTATTGCAACACATTTTATGAAGTATTCACAGAAACATATTAATAACATCTATTATCAATACTTGACAATAATTATAATCACTTTTGAAATAACAGTAATTGCTTGTTCCGATATGCAACTAGTAGCTGGATCATCATCCATTAAATTTAACCAGTATCTAACATCTCCATCGCATCCACAAGTAATAAGTCCTCTTCTATAATCATAGATAAATAATTATCATTAATAATTCACCATGATAATGATATATACATATATAAGTAATAAACACATGATGTAGTATTACTTACTTTTCACCTGAATAATAGCAAACATCAGTGTGCCCTTCTTGATGAGCATATCGCATGGGTTTCCTTACCAAAGGCATATTAGCCTAGATTCAAGTGACAAAATATCAAAATATTTGTATTTTCCAATATTTTATCAACCTATATATAACTTTATAAAATATATATTTTTATACTTTATTATACTGTATAAAATATGAAACAGATGCAAGTATTTAGCTTATATGCACATAATAAAATCACAAAATATAAATTATCATTATTATTATATTCGTTCACTATTTGTGTGGTTATCTACTTCTCATTTTTAGCTATAGTTTTGCGCGCCTTTGTATTTACATTTTCTATAGTTACGACCTCTTGCTTCTTGTTCTTCAAAGCGTGAAAATCATTGGACTCTTCTCTTTAACAGGGATTCGTTGATTGGTTGATCCATCATAGTAAAAGAACATTCAATTGGCAAATCGAATAGGGAATTTCTATTTCAAAAGTTCCTTGCAAATTTAAAAATGTCAAATACATATATTTATTACATGATATAAATATTTATATATATATTTATTTTTATAATTTTATTATATATATATATAAATATATTTACATCATGTATTTATTATACACATATGCATTTACACACACACACACACACACACACACACATATATATAATTTCAAAGTATAACACTGTGAAACACATTTGTAAATAAATTAATTTTTTATACACTATTTTATTCCTTATTCATTAGTGAGGTATTAAATTGCGTAAATAGCTTAGTATTTCCTCTGTGTCTTTCATTAAAATTGCTTGTCTCGGATACTTGAAACAGTTTCCAGACATTAATAGACTCCTGAAAAAATTATAATACTGTATAAATAAATTTGCATATATGATGCTATGAGTGAAAAACAATATCTAAATAAAATACATCTAATCTAAAGAATACATTTAAGATATTAAATGTTTGTTATACCTTAGATGTTTTAAATTACCAAGTTCAGGTGGTACATGAGCAATGTTATTATTTGTCAGATTTAAAATTGCTAGTCTTTTTAATTTTTCTAAAGATGATACGTCTATTGTTGCAATTATGTTGTCATTGGCAATTAAACTTTCCAAAGATACAACATCATAAATAGCTTCTGGTATGTCAGTTAATCTGTAGAATTTTTATTTTAAGAAAATAAAATGAGATGAAAAAGAATTTAAAAATAGATATTGCATAAATTTATACCTAAAAAGATATATATTTTGCAAACTGCATAAATCAATATTATTTATTATAATACCTGTTGAATGAAAGATCAATATCCCTCAAATATTCCAAACAACTAATGCTTGATGGTAAAGATGTCAAGTAATTTTTACTTATGTCTAAAACTTGCAAATATTTGTACTTTTCACCAATCCATTCAGGTAAATGTGTTAAATGATTCGAAGTTAATTTTAGGTCTACCACTGTAGTAATTACTGACATTTTATCAGGTAACTCAGATAGCTTGTTTCTACTTAAATCAATGGTCGTGATGGAGGCTTCAGCTGCATTTTGTAAGACTTCTTCTGGTAAGTCCATAAGATTTTGCCCAGCTAAGCTAAGCAATTTTGTATTTTTCATCATATATCTATAATTTCGTTATAATAAATTCATTAGTAAATATTGAATAACACAAACACATTCTCAATATTCTAACAAATATTTTTTTTAATAGAATAAATATAAAAATAAGTATATATATTAAAAAATGATTTTTCTCTCAATAGAATAAATTTATATTTACATACTTATCAGGATAAACGCTAATGCTGGCACTAGGTTGCAATAATTCTCTGGTATTTATATTTGTATTATCTGTAATTGTACGTATATGCGTCAAGATTCGAGGTGTACCACATCGTATTATATCTGCTCTTACATTTTTTATATTATTCCCTTTAATTATAAACTGTTTTAGATTGGGCAATATACCGATGCAAAAAGGAATGCTGTAAAAATAATTAATTTATAATTTAAATAATTTAAATATATCAAATAATTGTGCAAAAAGATATAGAACTTACAAAGATATATTGTTGTGCGACAAATCAAAAACTTCCAAATTTATTAATTTGATTATTTCTTCAGGTATTACTTCAATTTTATTATTTTGTAATGTAAGCTTTTTCAAATGTCCTGCTGTTTCTAAGCATTCTGAATCAATCTCCTACAAAAGAAAAAATTATCTTGATAAAACATTGTGCAAAAATTTGAATTTTTATTCTTGATTTAATCTTAAGTAATAAATGTATATTAACACATACAGGAATGTTATTGTCATCCAAATGCAATACTGTTAAAGCTGAACAACCTGATATGTCTGGAAATTTCTTCAAATTGTTGGACTGAAACATAATTTCCTCTGCTTTTCGCAATTCACCTAATGGTGGTAATATCTCCAACTGATTAAAGCTGACATCAAGTACTTTCAATGCTGCGCATATCAGAAGATGATATAAACATTTATTAAATAATAAAATAAATATTGAAAAATATATTTTTCTTGTATTGATTGTTAATGTGAAACTTACATCTCATACTTGTCATATCAGGTGGTAACTCTTCAATCATATTGTGACTTAAATTTAATGTTTCTAATCGCACCAAATATCCCATTCCAATCGGTAATTTACTTAAATTGTTATATGATAAATCCTAGAAACACATTTGTACATATATATATCTATTTAAGAAACTAACTTTGCATAATTATATGTATGATCCATAACACAAGATATATATTACCATATAAGTCAACATAATTAGATTTCCAACCTCAGCTTCCAGTATACTTATGTGATTATTCTTTAGGTACAATTCACATAATTCTTCCAACATATAAAATTGCGGAGGTAAATTTTCTAGTTTATTATCTGATAAATTTATAACTTTTAATTTATGTAGAGATCCAATTTCACATGGTAGTTCTTCCAATAAATTGTTGTGCAACTAAAAATAACATATTTATAGATGTTTATAATAAAATAAAAAATATTGAAACTGCCAAATGTAAAGCATACATAGCAAGTAATTTATACATACATTTAAATTACTCAATTCTGTTAGAAATTGTATTTTATCATCGATTACAGTTAAGCTGTTGGAACTTAAATCTAAGATTTTTAATGGCTCTTGTTCCCACCATCGCTCTTCTCTATGTTCATAATCAAGTTCAAAGTGTAAATCACGTAATTCCTCTTCCGTTAATTCATTTATAGTCCATACTCTGTCAGGTACTGTAACATGCATTAATTCAGGATTTTGTCTTTCCGTTGCAATATTATTTTACTATAGAATTCAACAAAAATATTTAAGTTGACTTACCTTACTAGAGAATGCAAATGAACTTATTTTCAAGTTACATTAGATATTTCTGGTGGTATGTGATGAATTCTATTACACGATCTTTAGCAAAGCGTGCAAAGCAACTTGTGATGATTTTTACACGATACATATTTAATTCAATAATAAATATAAATTATTTTTAAGACATATATTACAAAACATATCATTATATGTACTATGGATTAAATAATAAAGATTAAACTTATAATAATGATAAACTTAATATATATAATTATATATTTTTCATAATTTTGAATTTTGATACATTATAACTTATAATTTAGAAAAAAAAAGAAACACAAACATTATACACAAAATTAGGTTTATTTAAAATTTTCCACAGATTACAATATTAAATTATTGATAGATAAAAATATGTGCATATATTTTTATCTCTAAAATATGTGTGTGTGTGTGTGTGTGTGTGTGTGACGAATAGATGCCAATTTATTACCAATCACTTATTTAAAACCTAAACCTATCAACAACATACAATATATAAGTTTAAACATTTTCTAACATTCCAAATGTAATCATATATGACATAACAAATAACATTATGCACATTTTACTTCACATTCTCATTCGCAAATCTGTTGTATACACATATAAAATTAAAATTTCTTATAATCCGCAAACAAATAATGAACAAATAATATATTCAAAATAAGATTTAAAATATTTTCTTTAAAAAATTGACGAAAATATCTGTGATCAACATTTCAACATGAATGCATCATTGACAAGCATGCATGTCTGATGACAAGTGTATGCTTTGAATAAAATAAAGCATGCTCGAAATAATAATTGTGCAATACATGAATTAAACTAATAAATACATGAAAAATTTATGAATAAATTATACCGACATCCATATATATATATTGCCAAGTTTGTAAATTTAAAATGAATATGCATAGATTGTATTTGCAAATATACCCGTAGCCAATCCTTTCGAGGAAAGATTCAACCGTCCCGTCTTTCTCGCTCGAATAATAACACTCGTCGACAGTTCGGCATTATCGTCATTTTTAGTGCGTTGTTTAAACACCGCTAAAGAATTGCTCCTCTTCTTGACGCTCATGTTGAAATTATCTATCAGAATTCACCGAGTTGCGTGTTCTTACGGGTAAGAGGACAAGCTGAATAAATTAAATGGGGCATGGTCCTTTTATTACGCGTAATCGCTCACGTCACGGATGCGTTGAATTGATCTGAATAAATTAAACGAGACACGGTCTTCTTACGCGTATAGAATAATGATATGTAATCACATAATTATACATAAACATGCAACAAGATCCGCCATTAGTGTTGAAAAAAAGTAAGAACAGCAGCGCCCTCTTGCGGCTAAAATCATAAAAACAACGCGCGTTCCACTTTACCGACATGACGTTTATCTACAGAATCCGGCCACGTAGTTCCGCGCATGTCCGCGCGTTTCGGTTGACGTCACACACGGAAAGCCTTCCCAAGCGTTTTCCCTCGGAGGAAAGGAGATATGACCAAGAGGAGAATACACGAAGAAAAAAAAAGAGATTCGCGGTATAATTCGCACCGTCCGCGTTCTCTCGACCTAAACAGTTGGCAGGATTCGTCTTACGCATGTGGTATGTGGTGCGCGGTGTAGCTTCTTCGACGGCGTCCGTTCTTGAAGGAAGCGGAGAAGGTAGGAAGGAAGGAAAGAAGGAAAGAAGGAAGGAAGAGGAGAGTGAGCCATCGCGGAAATACACGTAGCCAGAGCCAACAGCCGAAGCCAGCGCAATTACGCTAGATCCGGTAGGTAAAGGAGACGTAGGAGGAGATCGTCCACGTCGCGTCCAGACGCTTTCGATTCCGCGTAAGCGACTGAAGACTGAAGGTCTCTCCCGAGGCAACGCGGGATCTTCTTCATCCCCTCCTCCTCTCCCCCCGTCCCCTCCCCTAGTCCCGCGGGAGGCGACTCTTTCGGGCGATCGGTTTTCGCCCGAATCCCGTTTTCGTATCCATCCGGTCGCAACATAAACACAGAGATTGCGGAGTCGAGGAGGTTAAGGGGACGGCACGAGAGGGAGGACGCGCCGTCCATCACCATGAAGCTCGTCGACCACGTGGTGAGGAGCTTCAAGGTGGCGAAGATCTTCCGCGAGAACTCGGATCGGATAAACAGCATCGACTTCTCGCCGAACGGCGACACCCTGATCTCGTGCTCGGAGGACGATCAGATCGTGATATACGATTGCGAGAAGGGGACTCAGGTGCGGACCGTCAACTCGAAGAAGTACGGGGTCGATCTGATACACTTCACCCACGCGAAGAACACCGCGATCCACAGCAGCACCAAGGTCGACGACACGATCCGTTATCTCAGTCTGCACGATAACAAGTACATACGATACTTTCCAGGTCATTCGAAGAAGGTCGTGTCGCTGTGTATCAGTCCGATCGAGGATACCTTCCTCTCCGGTTCCCTGGACAAGTCTCTGAGATTATGGGACCTGCGCTCGCCAAATTGCCACGGGGTCATGAACGTTTCAGGACGACCGGTCGCGGCTTACGATCCTGAGGGTCTCATCTTTGCGGCTGGTGTAAATTCGGAGAGCATCAAGCTCTACGATTTACGTAGCTTCGACAAGGGACCCTTCGTCACCTTCAAACTGTCCCAGGAGAAGGAGTGTGATTGGACAGGATTAAAGTTCAGCAGGGACGGCAAGACCATTCTGATCTCTACCAATGGTAGTACGATTCGTTTAATTGACGCTTTTCACGGTACGCCCTTACAGACTTTTGCCGGATACCTGAACAACAAAGGAATCGCCATAGAGGCCAGTTTTAGTCCGGATTCCCAATTCGTGTTCAGCGGGTCTACGGATGGTAGGGTGCACGTGTGGAACGCGGAGACTGGTTATAAAGTTTGCGTGCTAAACGGTGATCATCCGGCGCCAGTGCAGTGTATCCAGTTTAATCCCAAATACATGATGCTAGCATCAGCGTGCACCAACATGGCTTTCTGGTTACCTACTGTTGATGAAAGTGCATAAGACTAATTAATAAGGTAAAATACTGAGCAATGCTGCCAGGTATTGCTCATCTATAATAAATTGTGCAAGAAAAAGAGACAGACAGAGGGTTGCGAGAAAAGAGCCAGAGAGATTAACGGGTTTAATTAAAGAGGCAGCAAGAATACGTACAACTTGGTCGAGCAAATATATATATATATATATATATGCATTGCATTTACATTGTGTGTACAGAAATGTAACAACTGTTGTATGACCCACTAGTAGTTTCAGGAACGAAAGAGTGAACGAGACGAAAGTCGCGGGAGACTAGCTGGATCATCTGCTCGCGCTTCGACAAGATTCATATAGTGGAATATCGTACACCTTCCTCATCTATTGTCGTCGTCACCATCGTCGTTTCTATATAACAACGTATACTTCCTATATCAAATTAGCGATATAGGAAGATTGCCAATTCCATGGTCTTATTACTAAAAATTTCGAATGTGTCTCGTGTATGTATATATAACTTCTTCTGGTGTACATCACATGTGTGCGTGTAAGATTTAATAGTACAGAACAAAATTTATTAATTGTACACCGGAAGAGGTAATTTTTGGATTTTGCATCCGTATTTTGTATCCGTTTTCAAGCAATTATCTTAAATTACACGATATTGTCGACAAAAATAATCGCGTTTATTGACGACGGCGCAACTGTTACATTACACCATCGTTACAACACTACATTTTTTATAACTCTGGTCTCGCGTACATTGTCTCGGAAATAGAATGATTATAGAATTGATTTAATTAAGAATTGTAAAAGGGCGGTGTGTGAATGATTACCAAATAGTCATTCGAAACCTGTGATTAATTAAGCGATTTTTCGGTTAATCCGATTCGCATGGCCGTATATGGAATCAGGCTGTTTTTCTACGCCGATCAAAATCATAAAGAAATATCGTGACACATAGATGAGAGTGGTATTAATAGTAACTTTGATTAGTTGTAATCTTACGATTATAATCGTAAGCCTTTGATTCTATTTTTTTATCTTCCCTTCATTATCCATGCGTTTAGCGTTGATAAAAAAAACATACGTATAGATAATTCTAAATATATCGAGATAACAGTTATATTATGTAAAAATTTAGAATCATATAGGACATATTTAGTCCTAAATGGTGCGTAGAGTATCATCTTTTTAAGAGTCCATGTAAATGTATGATAATTCGACTTCTCAAACAACATCTTTCTCGCTTCTGTATACGGCTATGTTTAATCGTTGTTTGTATGTAGACTGTCGGTAAAATACGCCCTGTATACATATATACACACAGCGAAAGCGAAATCGAAGACGTATTTATTATACAACTCGAGAATTCCTGGCATCAGTAATCGAAGATGACAAAGAGGAGAAACGAAATCACCGAAATCGCGCGTCGAGAAAGATATCGTTGTTGCTTTTAATAAATAAGCTGCGTTCGAGAGAAAAATTACAGGAACAATCTTGGAACGAAGTTCCTCTCGCGTGTCTCTCCATTCCGTAGATGGAGACGATAATGATGATATTCCGGTCATCATCATTATTGAAAACATTTGTATCCTCCCAAGGCAAGTACTCTAGATACGCGACGAAGGATAAAACGATCGATCTTATTTATTAAACGATAATAAGTCCTCGTTTATATAATGTTGATCGTAACTACGATCTTAATGAAACGGAAAAAGAAAAAAAAATAAGAATAAATTGCGAATTTCTTACGAACTGTCGCGCGATAAATCGGTTTGCGGGTGCGTATGGTACACCTGTCATAGACACGTATATAAATAATTGTAGATGACAGATTCTCGCATTCGCAAATTATTGTAGATACCATCTATTGTTAATCTACGTGCGTGGACTACCGGCGGGCCGGGTATATAACAATTTACATTCGATGTTCTCGTAGGAGAAAAAAAATGCAATTTTTTTCCGCACTTGAATATCTCATGATTAGAATATTCGACATACGTATATATTTCGCCTTCGCAAGGCGAAACGTCGTCATTCAGCTTTGTTCTCTCGTTGAAAAATGAAAAAAGAAATTTCTATCGCGCTACTGTTTGTTAAATGCACATAGCAAATTTCTTACGTCGAATGATTTATATACAGATGTCTTCTTTCTTCTCACACAGGAATTTTTGCAAATCTTGGATTTACTTTTCGTCGGCCGCTCATTTGTTCAGCAAAAAAGAAAAAAACGCGTTTTTATATTCGATCTATATCCGATCGCCCGCTCCTGTCTCCATTCTTTCGTGTATGTATATAATATACAGTAGTATCCACACACACACATTTTATTTCATGTAGAGTTTTTAGACATCTTCCGCGCGTTTAACATATTTTGTGCAAGAGTGTGTATGGTATCAATGATATTTTATTTGATAGATGCGTGCGTTTCTCTATGTATGTATGTATGTATGAGTGAGTGAGCGAGCATACGATTTTATATATATATATATATATATATATATATATATACTAAAATTATATATATATATATATATATATATATATATATATAATAGCGAATGATTATATGCATTTTTGTATACGTATTTGCGTGCGTGTCTTTTGCAATAAACGCAAAAGTCTGTCTGAATCTTACGCGATTTGTATAGGCGAGAGCTCGTCTCTCCCCTGCGCTGTAAAATAATATTTTTTTATAACATGACGACACGGTGGCGCGTAAAAAATCGTATCGATAGGGGCGAATTTGCGCAAGATGAAATTTCTACAGTGACTGAAGAAAAACTGTCGGAAAGAGGTGTGCAACAAAGACTTCGATCCTTTAGATCGGAATACAATTTCGTTTTCTAATGAACTTTCAAACTCCGCATATGTACTTTTACGCGAGTGCCGCTAGGTTTATTTTAAATTATAAATATTTATTATATTTATAATTTTAAAGAAAAGAGGATAGTGCGTAACGCGAATGTTTACGAAAGAGCCACCTAGTTCTATATTAAAGTCTTACATTGAAATTATAATAACGTGCACTATGTAATTACAATCGGCTATTGATTATTCATAGCCGCTTTTTGTTCAGCAAGTGATGTCTTGAAATAACTCGTTGACCTTCGATAAAGAATATTTTGTAACACTTTGTATCCTTTTTCTTTTTTACATATTTTTACTCTTCGCGACAAAAGGGTCGAAGATCGATGTCGAATCATCTCGTATCGCTACGAACGATCCACGTATTTAGATTAAACACACAATTCGACGCACGTCATACTGCCAAACAACTGAGTGAGTGTCCGAATACGCGGACCCACGCCTTCAATTCGTTCGATGTCGAATTTTTCAAAGCCCTTCGAAATCGAGCGATCGACTGTGCTACTATTATTATGTTAAGCGTGTGTATGTATGTGTGTGTGTGTGTACATATAGATTAAATCGCGGGTTTTCGAAGCCCTATCCGTGATCGGCGAATTAACGGCGACAGTTGATCGACCACCTATCTAGATCTATTGTAGACGCGCGAAAATACTGAAGAATACTGTGTGTGTTCCCTTCTCCAAGATAAAAACGAATACGCATAATGATAGAATTGTATATATCCTGAAAAAAAGAGACGAAATACAGTCGACATGTAAACACTCGTGCAAAAGTAACTTACATCGTGTACGACGAGAGGTCATCTGTAAAACCGTTTCGTGTATATAGCCAAATGAAGCCAAGTCTCTCTCTGTAGTTTCTTACATGTCGCAGTCGACGATGTCTTTTCTACCGAATAAATTCGCGATCAGGATGTGATCTTCGTGATCTTTGGCGAACCGGAAGTATACTATATGATATGCAGGATGATCGTCTCGCGTGATATGTAGAACCTATCGCTGTACAAGACAGTGTATTGGTGTTCAACTTAAAAAGAGCCTGATTGTTTCGAATTTCGGCGCGTTCAACGTGCGCTAAATAACATGATTATACGCCCCTCCGATCGTCGATGCGTTCTACGGACATTTAACATAGGGATTTAGAATCTGGATTTAATTTAAGATAAATGTATGCCTAGTAAAGTGCAAGTGGGATAAGCGGAACTCTATAAATTCGGAGAGGATCATTTACAAATTAAAAAAACGTTTCGAAAGAAGATATGTGATGGTTCTCTCGAGTTGAATAAACAACTCTTATCTATAATCGCTTGCATTCGAAAAGCATAATGTATCTTGTAATGAAGAAAAAAACATCCAATTTTTCGTGAATCTTCTAAGTTCCTACGTTAAGTCTTCGTATGAGAAAATTGTTTTCGATAGTCAAGTAGAGACAGACGGAAAAGATGTCGTGTTTGATCTTGACTTTCGACGAGTTCCACGATCGGTATCAAGAGAGGGCTTCATACCGATCGTAAGTTGTCACATGCGTTTTTTTAGAGTATTAGAAACGTATGATAGCGTAGACAACGCATTGCATTGTAATTGGAGCGATTCGAATAATCACGCACTACGATAAACTAACGAAACGATATGTATGTGTGTATTTTCGTCTATTGAAAGCATACGAGAAGTTGTCGAAGAGCACATAGATTTCTTTTGTTGCATTTTATTTTTATGTGTTAAGGAGATTTTTTCTTTTGCTACTAATTTGATTTTACCGGAGTTGCAAAAATTCAACAGAATTACTTGACAACTTGATCCAGTGTGCGTACTGTGTTCATCAAATTATAAATAATTTTGTAATTTAATAATGACATGAGAAGAAAATAGTTGAAGTATCTTCGATATTGTAGTTTATACAATTATTTATTTTTTTCTTGTTTAAAGAGCGAAAGAATTCACTTATCTTAATTAACAAGTTTTTAATGTTGACAAATTCGATGCATCGTAAATTAAACCGATATTTCATTAACAACATTTTGTTGATTACTATATAATCGTTCCAATTTAAACTTTTGGGCTGTTTCAAGATAAAATAACTATACGAGCGATGTAAATTTTCGTCCGCCGACAGTTGATAGTCACACTACATATCAGCATATTTGTTAAGACATTTGTTAGATTTCATTTGACAGAAGAGAGAGATCTCTCAAGTGTACAAAAAAAGGAAGACACCTTTTTTACATCCTTCTCGGAAATAAATGTCATCTTAATCACATTTATAATGCGCAGGCTAAATTGTATTTTTTATTTTTCTGTAAAACCATTTGACTCGAACGCACGAGACTTTACTCAAATAATAAAAACACTTTTTTTGTACATCTATTTCTTGTCTTTTTATTTATTTGACTCGTAATTATATATACTTTTAATAACCACTTTGCTTAATAATTTGCATCTGCAAAAATATAAATAACGACGAAAAATGCCAATTATATAGTTATATATACATACATATATATTTCTCTTAATATGCACAACTTTAGATATTGCAAAAAATGACGTCTTTTTATATAATATATATGCGCGAGTGCAATCAATCAATTCGATTCCATTTTGCTACACTCACCATAGAAAAAAATTGGTGACTTTATTTGTCTATTGTTTGTATGTGATACAACGTCTTCAATTCATTCGATATAGTATCCGGTGCTCCGGACATCAAATCTCGCCCTTCCATCGTTTTTGGAAAAGCTATAACGTTTCGTATGCTCTTCGCATTACAGAGTAAGCAAACGAGACGATCCAATCCTTAAAAAATATAAAATAATCGTATCTCGTGTTCAATTTTTAGATGTAAATATAAAATTAGACAAATAGAAGTACCTATAGCTATTCCACCATGAGGTGGAGCTCCGTACGTCAAAGCTTCAAGCAAATGCGATAACTTTGATTCGTCTATGTTCAACATTTTCAATATCTGTCTCTGTAAATTTGCATCATGGATTCGAATGGAACCTCCCGCAATTTCTGATCCATTCATAACCAGATCATAATGCAAACCTCTCACCTACAACAAAGAAAGAGGTATTAGAAATTACGACAAAAATAATTTACATATTCACATACTTTTATGTATCCTTAATTTTTCACCTTTAAAGGATCGGTCGTAAGATATTTCATGTCATCTAAATGAGGTTGCGTAAATGGATGATGCGTTGATTGCAACTTTTCTTCAAGTGTGAATAATGGAAAGTCTATGATCCATACGAGTTCGGTTTCTGACGAACGTATCTGTTCAGCTTTTGCTTCCAGTACATTTGTGAATTCTACACGTAGCTTTCCTAAAAGTTTCAACTAAAAAAAAATATATATATAGTAATTAATATAGTTAATATATAGTTAAAAAGAATAATTATTTATTATTGCTAAGAAAGAGAATCCAGACTTTTTATACTCACTGCATCCATTTGACGTCCAATTGCTAATAATATTGCATCTCCTTCCTGTAATTTGCAGTACTGCGATATATCTTCTGCTATATTTTTTGAAAATAATTCCTCTAACTGAACTCTCCAATTATTTTCAATTTTTAGTTGAACTAGCTTTGTTGTACTGACATAGTCATTACAAATCTTGGAGAATTCATTTCTGATAGATTTTGTTAAGTATTTCTACAATATAGAGATTACATTAACATGGTAGAATATAAGTATATGTTTAAAAATATAGTTTAAACAAATACTTACTGATTTATTTGGAAAGATTAATGCATACACCTTCTGTTTATCATCTTCGAGTTTCAGGGTTCTTTTTAATACTGATAAATCAGAGATATATGTAAGATTTTGTATCTGAAAAATTCGTAATATTATTACACGCGTTTGTATTAAGAAATAAAAGATTAAAAGTTCTATATACCAAAATTCTCTTACTTGATATGGTATCCTCAAGTCCGGTTGATCAGTACCATACAATTCCATTGTATCTTCGTAGCTCATAAGTTTGATAGGAAATTTTATAGGGCTTAATTCTTCTGGCCATGAATATGCCAATAAATTTTCAATCAAGTTCATTATTCCGTCCCGATTAACAAATGACATTTCAATATCTAGCTATAACATAATAATAAAATATAGCATTGTTTATATATTTACACAATTATACAATGTAATTACCTGAGTAAATTCTGGTTGCCTATCGTGTCTGGCACCTTCATCTCTATAACACCGAGCGACTTGAAAGTATCTGTCAAAGCCACCCACCATAAGAAGTTGCTTGAATTGTTGAGGACTTTGTACTAATGAATAAAACTTACCCGGTTGTCTAGTAGGCACTATAAATTCTTGTGCACCCTGAGTAATAAATCCATTTTATATTTATGATAGTTGTATTAAAAATTAAGTACCTTGCATATATATTTATACAAAAACTTACTCCTGGCGTATTTTTAAAAAGCGTCGGTGTTTCAATATCAACAAAACTGCATTTATTGATTAAAAATTCTCTCATCTTCATTATAAAAGAGGAACGCATTCTTAAGTTTCTTTGCAATTCAGGATATCTTAATGAAAGATATCTGTATTTCATTTGTTGACTCTCCTTTGCTTTATTATATTCCCTCATAAATATTGGAAGATTGTGTGATGCTACATTTAGAATTTCCAAGGATTCTACATGCACTTCTATATCGCCAGTTTTCATTTTCTTATTCTGCTGATTATTAGGTCTTGATATAACTTTGCCTACTATGCTTAAAATACTCTCGTAAGATACATTCTGGATAATTTTGATCAAATCCTTTCTCTAAAATCAATGTTTTTAATATTTTAGATAGAATATTAGTCAAATATTTTCAATAAATATAACAACTATTTACATACATCTTCTGGTATAAGTAACTGTGTTGATCCGTAAGAATCTCGTAATATTATAAATTTTCCTCCCATTCTTTGAAAGTCCACCCAACCGCTCAATTTTACTTCTTCTCCAACATTTTCAAGCGACAGTTCTCCACACGTGTGCGTTCTCAAAACATATTTATTAACTGGCGAAATTGTTTCTTTCTTTGAAGGTGCTGACTTGCCAACTAAATTATGTATGCAACCTGTGCAACGGGGCGTTTGCTTCTTTAAGAGAGACTGAAAGAAAAAAAAAGATTTATCTTCTTGTATTATCGAATATAAATATATATTTGTATATAAGAACACAAGTATATATATGCAAGAACATATTAATTTTTTAGGTTATAATAGAAATACGATTATATTGAAATTATGCTTCGTATAAAATGTTAAGACTTACATTTACTTTATGGACATTACTCATTATCGGCCGCACATAATATCTTAATGTATTATTTGTACAATTAAATACAATTTTAATTTTGCTAGCAAACATTTTGCTGACACACTAGAGTCTTTTAAAAAACGTATTCGATCTTTTATTTCATCTGTATATAATACATCAAATTATTATTTTTTCTCTAATTATTTAAACATTTCTCTTTTATAAAGTGTTGTATTTTACATAAACATATATAAACAAAGATGATTTTTCACTCTAAACACGTGCACCGATAACACCGTTACACAAATAACAAAAATAATACAAGTTTTTCGTACTAAATGTTACTTAAAATGAACGATTTATCCAGATAATTTATTACAAATTAATCATAATTTTCATTTCGATAATTCATATCAATTATATGAATTATTTGTTTATATTCAAAAAATTACATATATTACAATTTTAATCCGACTTTGTGTTCGAAAATGAGAACAAACAAAATGACTTTTACTCAAAGTGACATTTGATCGACCAATCAGGTCAAAGAATTTTTTTTCCTTTCGCCTTGATTGGTCCATTGAACGCTACTTTACTTGTAGGTGGTAGATTTTCGAACACTTGTGAAATGAATGTTCGCACGTGAAAATTTGAGGTTAATTTTAAATCGACGAGAGTGCAAAATATTTTGGAGCAAAATTGATTACGTATTTTAAAGAGCCTATGTTTTCATAATAAAATATAGAAGGTTAGTTCAATTTGTCAAATGTAATGATAAACAAGTGCAATTATAAACAGATAAAACTAGTCTATTTTCCTTGATTCTAGTTAATAACTAATTTATTAACTAGTGTCAAATACACTAATAATTTTTAAATGTCAAAATTAACAAGTGTCAAATGTACTAAATAATTTTTCTACAAGACCATTTTTGGAGGCACTCTTCAATTTAAAAAACATAATATTATGGTTTTTTTATATCTGGAGAGAAAAGCATTTATGTGATAGTTTTACAATTTCGTGTACAGATTACCTTAAGAAACAAGAATGAAGATTTCAATATTTAATGAAGATGATTCTGTATTGCTAGTAGGAGAAGGCAATTTTTCATTTTCTGTAGCATTATTACGGTGCAATTTAAACATTAATCTCATTGCTACCTGCTATGAATCTAATGTGAGTCAAGAGACTACAAAAGAAAATGTAAATTATCTTCGAAGCAACGGTTAGTAAATCGTGATATAAATTTGCATATATTAACAATATCCTAATCAAATTGTTGCAGTTAATTAAAAGGGAAATTTATTTATGCTTTTCTTTCCAGGTATCTGTGTATTGTTTGATGTGGATGCCACAAAATTGGAAGAATGTCTCGCATTAAAATCTAAACTATTTGACAAAATTATTTTTAACTTTCCTCACATTGGAGGTAAAATGAGAATAGAAAAAAATAGAGAATTGCTGAAGAATTTTTTTCTATCATCTGAGAAAATGATAAAAGAAAATGGTCAAATATTAGTAACATTGTGCAATGGCCAAGGTGGAACACCTATGGACAAACCCAAGAGACGTTGGGATGATTCATGGAAAATTGTAGAAATGGCTGCACATGGAAATTTTATATTAACGAAAGTAGAACTCTTTTCATGGCAGTCTTTTCAAGATTTTGTTGTAACAGGCTATCGCAGTTTAGAAAAACAATTTCATACAGTAGGCTCATTAACACATTTTTTTATGAAGAGCAAGCCACCTACAAAATATAATATTGCACCTAGCAATAAAATAAACCTTAAATGGAATAAAAGTAATATTACATGGAAAGAAGTAACAACCAATATTGAAAATAAATCAGATCATTATCATGTCAAGTGTATTTATCCATGCACTTTTATATTTGATTTAACTATGTCTACAAATACGAATTTTAATGAAGTTGAATTTTATCAATCACTGTACAATTATGCAGGAGTTATTATTGACAATATTGATTTTATTGATTATTATTTGTCTCCTATTAATGAAAGGATAAAAAAAACTTGTAGAATAACTTATAAATCAAATTATATACCTTTGTATAGAAAAAAAGTTATTGAATTGCATCAAGATGTAATCGCGAATTTTATAGAAGACAACTTTCAAGTTGTTGTCTCAAGATAGCCTGAATACATAATTATATATATATATAGCTAAAGATATAAAACATTCAAAAATAAAATTACATTTTATTAAAATGGTACATATGTATATATATTAATTTAAGATATAAATAATATTATATTTATAAGATGAAATTCACATCTCTTGTAATTATTTTCAGATGCATTGTCTTCATCATTTGAGAAATATCATCACGTGCAATGTAGTTCAAAGACAAGGCTGTGAAATCATTTTGAATAGAAACAAATACGAAATTTCAAATAGAAACTTATTTAGAACATTATCTGTCACTGCCTGTGTGCACAAAGAGAAATCCATACCCAAACCTTTACGTAGTACAAAACCAAAATCACAACACGATACTGTACAGTATTTTGTTGATATAAAACAGGTAGGGACATTAATTTTCAAACATTGTCTTAAGAGTTATATTTAAAAATATTTAGATGTATCAAAATTTAAATATGAATATGTGTGATTATTAGACAAGAACAATTGGAGGAAAGGGTGGAGATGGTGAAATATCATTCTTACGATTGTGGGTCAATGATCGAGCTGGTCCTGATGGAGGTGATGGTGGAAATGGTGGGCATGTAATATTTCAAGTAAGATTGTCACAATAAATATGATTACTAAAAAACAAATCGAGATATATATATATATATATATATATATTACATCTTACTTTATAACGAGATGTGTAATATTCAGTTACATTGTATAGGCAAAAACAAATGTGAAAGATCTTCGATATGTAAGTTCTCTGATTAAAGCTGAAAATGGTGAAAAGGGTTACACTAAGGATTGCTTCGGTAAAAACGCGGAACACACTGTGGTAGAAGTACCCATTGGGACTATCATGCGTGATATAAAGGGTAGAATATTAGCCGACTTAGATCAAGATGGAATAATGTTTATTGCCGCGAGAGGTGGTGCTGGTGGACACGGAAATGCTTTTTTTAAATCAGATACTCAACAGTCACCAGAAGTATGCGAGTATGGTGCAGTTGGAGAAGACTTGCAATATGTGATAGAAGTAAGAAGTATGGCGCACATTGGATTAGTAAGTATTTTGTGTGTGTACGTATACTTTCTTGATAATTCTCTATTATTATTTCATTCGAAGAAATTCCGATGTTAATTTTATTAAAGAATGTGAATCAAATATATATATATATATATATATATATCATATAAACATACCATACAAAATTTTTGTTATGTAAGATATATATAAAAAAGCGCGCACGATTATATTTTTTTATAAACTTGTTTATAGATTGGTCTACCAAACGCTGGTAAAAGTACACTTTTAAGAGCTATATCCAGAGCTAGGCCAAAGGTAGCAGCGTATCCTTTCACTACTCTAAAACCACATATAGGCATGATACAGTATGACGATTACGAACAAGTTGCAGGTAATTTATTTAATATAAACACAAGAAAAACCATTCTTCTTTTCTGTTCGGTTTTACTCTATTTAAATATTGTTTTAGTTGCCGATATGCCTGGTCTCATAGAAGACTCACACAAGAATAAAGGGCTCGGTATAACTTTTCTAAAACACGCGGAGCGTTGCGCCGCTTTAATATTTATTTTAGATATTACACAGGACGAACCATGGAAAAGTCTAGAAATTCTAAAGTATGAAATTAATCAGTTTAATGAAAGATTGAGCAACAGGCCACATATCGTTGTAGCAAACAAAATAGATTTGCCTGATGCTGAGGTGACAACAATTTAAAATTCTTTTTTTCTGTTTACTAATTATTGTCCCATTAATTTAAGTCAATGATAAAAAACCAGAGAAAGTATGATAGTTGTAATAAAAATTTAGAGCAGTTTTTACAATATAGTTGCAATTTATATTTCAGATTAATTTACAATTACTCAAGAAATATGTAGATCTACCAATAATTCCTGTCTCTGCCAAGCTGGGAACCAACGTCTCCACTTTATTAAAAGAGATTAGGATATTGTATGATAATCTTAAAAGCAACACATCGGAAGAAAACGACAATGTTCTCGCATAATGCAATAAATCGCATTTTAGTACAAAATGTGTAAATATTTTTTTACAATAGTTAACTGCTATTAATAATTAATAGCTTTTGTGCAAAATGTAAAATTCTTTACTACACTTTTTACTGGCGGCTGATTCAAAATTGTAGAAAACCACCTATTTAAATTCGTGTATTGCTTTCTATGATGTGGGTCTAATAAATTTTCGTATAAAGGCAATAGTGCGATAAAAACTGATATATCTGCAAGACTGATTCTTTCTCCTATCAAGTACGTTCTTGTATGCAGTGTGTTGTCCAACGTTTTTAAAGTATAAAGAAGATCTTCTTTAGAAACCTTTGCGTTTGCTTTTATATCTTTTGAAACGGAAATGTTAGTGAGTGATGGAAGCAACCAACCACTGACTGCTGGTAAAATATGATTTTGTGAATAATTCATCCATTGCAAAACCTGGCTGGATGCGAACAAATCATCTTCGCGCCGTAGCAGCGAATTTGATAAAAAGAATGCAATAGCATTGCTATCGTATAATGTGACATTTGCTGCTTTTAATATTACATTGCTAGAATGTGTTTCATCATTTTCGATTTGTTTAATAGTTAAACATTTGCCGCTATATTGCGCGATTATTTGTAAATAATAACATTTAACACTCTCAACATTCGCGTAAAGTATCAATTTTGATGAAGAGTCCGTATCAAATAAATGAGCATCATTTTTCGAAGTCTTACAAGTATCGTTAACGATATTATCTGAAAGCAAATATACACACAGTTCCTACACACTTCCTTATTTTATAATATAAATTATATTTGTAACAATGCAATATTTCTACACTTACCTGTAATCCCAAGTTTTTTCCTGGCAAATTCATTGGCCTTGTTTACTATTTCGTTCAAACATGTTATATTAGTCCCGGAAGCTTGGGCAGATTCAGGTTTTCCGCCTCCTTTTCCTTGCATCATAGGCGCGATTGCTTGGATCCATTCGTTTGCTTTCAGTCCTTTGGAAACTGCAGACTGCGAACAATTTAATTCGATATTATACAATTGCATTTATTTTTTATCAAGCGCGATATCTCAGAATAAACAATCTTTACCTTTGGCACGGAGCTGAGAGCAAATATCTTTTTAACATCGCAATCGATGCTTATAAGCAAGGCGCTAGTTTCCGGTGATAAAACTCTAATTTTTTTCAATGCTGAATCCAGAGCTTTCGTATTACTATATGCTTCCAATACCTCGACTAATACTTGACATCCAACTCTGGACTGTATTATAGATTGAGCAGTTTCTACAACCGTGTTAGCGATAGTTGCCTTTGCTGCTCGCTCCTTATCGTCGAGAGACTTCTTTAATTGTTTTAATGTAGCACGCATGTTATCCTGTATACAAAAAGACAAATTATTTTACGCAATAATATTTACCATTAATCAAAAATGGAAAATTTATTTAATTACCTTCCTCCAACCAGAAATAACGGCATGCGTTATTTCATCTGTCAATTCTACTATCTTCTTCACATATTCCTTGGAATTTGTTCCAGACTTGTCGGTTTCAATCGTCTTTTGAAGCTGAGATAATTGATTTTGCAACAACGTTGCTGTTCTAAAAGCTTTTGCTGCTTCTGGTCCAGTGAGCGCCACTATGCGCCTGATACCTTTAGCAATAGCTTCTTCGCTAGCTATTATAAAGTCACCTATATGACTGGTGTAATGCAAATGTCTATGGAAAAAAATCATCAATTTGAAGAAGCAAGTATAAAACATATGTCTCTGCAACTTAATATGGACTGCACTTACGTTCCACCACAAAATTCCACGCTAGTTTTAAGGGCGGCTGTACTTAAAGGATTCTTTTCTAGATCCTCAATAGGTATACCCATACTAATAACGCGTACTGGATCGGGATATGTTTCTTCGAACATTGCACGCAAACCCTGAATACTTTTCGCTAAAGCTAAATTACTTTCCTTAGCATAAATTTTTTTATTTTGTTTGACCATAACAGCGGTGATAATTTCCGTATTCTTTACTTGTTCCGCTGTCATCGGTCCTTGTAAAAATTCAATGATAAGTAAGAATACATTCGCAATTCGCACGATATAATTCGATTTACATTTTTGTTTTTCGACAATATACCTTTGTTTGTAAAATCGAAACGAAGTCTATCGGGTGCAACTAATGATCCCTTTTGATCGGCTGCTGTTCCCAGAACTTTCCTAAGGGAATAATTAAGGACGTGTGTGGCGCTATGATTAGACATTACAAATCGTCTACGTGCCGTATCCACATTCGTGTGAACTTTATCTCCTTTCTTCAACGTACCCTCGCCTACGGTACCGATGTGCAGGACATAACCAGCTCTAACTTGAACGTTCTTCACCCGAATCTCTGTAGCCTTGTACAAAATAATGTAGCGTATTAATAAGCTCGTTTTTCATTACGTGAAGTTAAAGATGAATTCGTGTCCGCATACCTCATCGTTGACTTTCACTAAAAATCCTTCGTCGTATATCTGTCCTCCCTGTTCCGCGTAAAAATTCGTTTTATCCAATAAAATTCCAACTTCTTGACCAGAAGTTACTTGATCGACGAAAGTTTTGGCATGTCTCAGTGCGATTACAGTACCGATACATGGCGCAAATTCATATTCATTGTATTTGACCGAACTGATCACCTTATAATTATATTTCGGAGAATCGTCTGTAGGTTTGATATTATGTTTTTGCAATTCAGTGATGGCATGGATATCCAAATTAATTTGATCGTCCACTCCACCGGCTTTATTTTGAGAAATTAACTATATAATTGAGAAAATATGAAGAGAATATATAAAAAAATTATTTCATATTCGATTAATTAATACAGCGAGATATACGATACCTGCGCTTGTTTTTTAGATTCTTCGTAACCTGTCATATCGATTTTCAATCCTTTTTCCTCAGCCATTAGCTGAGTGAGATCTATCGGAAAACCGTAAGTATCATACAATCGCCATGCGACGTCACCTGGTACAGTATCGTTCGATTCTAACTTCGCTATTGTTCTATTTAGCAAATTACGACCGCGCAACAAAGTTTTCAAAAATTGAGCTTCTTCCTCATTCACGATATCAATTATACTTTGTGGATCTTTTGTTACTTCTGGAAAAACTTCCCCTGTAATAACAAAAAATTAGCTTTAAAAATAATGCAAATAATACAAACTTTTCTAATTAAAAATATAAAATAAAAAAATATTCACCGAGAAGATCCACAACTACATTTACAAGAGAGCTAAAGAATCCAGGCTTAGCGTTCAATTTTTCGGTAGCATAACGTACAGCACGTCTTAAAATTCTTCTCAAGACATATCTATATCAAAATAGAAACGTATTATATTAAAAAAATATAAAAGAAAAGATAGAAAACAAAGTTTTTTGGATAATTCGCTTACCCTCTACCAGTATTATCAGGCATTCCTCCATCCGCTAGAGCAATAGTGATAGTTCGAGCATGATCAGCCAGAACTCTGTATGCCATATCGATTCCATTAACATCATCAGCTCCTGTTTTACCTTGATAAGATGGGGCACCTGTACCCTTTTCAATTGCAGCAAACAGAGGCATGAATAAATCAGTATCATAATTAGCACGTTTATTCTGAATTACAGATACCAATCGTTCCAAGCCCAAGCCACAATCTATATGCTTTTTTGGTAACGATTTCAGACTTCCATCTGATTCTCTGAAATATTGACATAATTTTAACATAATTAAATTATTTACTAATTTAAAATTAATTAAAAGTTTATATAATTTATAAATGAGTTTATAAATACTAGAATTTATACATAAAATTAAATTAATACCTATTGTATTGTATAAACACGAGATTCCAAATTTCCAATACATCAGGATCATCCATATTTACAAGATGAGCTGCTTCTCTACCACCGATACGATCAAAATGTAATTCACTACATGGTCCACAGGGTCCAGTTTCACCCATTTCCCAAAAATTATCTTTCATGTTGCCTGGTAGAACATGCGAGGCAGATACTCTGAAGATTTATATTACAAATTTACACATTAAAAAAAACATTAAAACACATAGTTCAAATATATTAATGAAAAGAAGAAAAAGATTACAGTATTTAAAATAATATAAAAAGTTATTTAGATATATAAATGGATGTTTAAAATAATTATATATTCTAAAATATGATTATGAAAAAAGGAAAGCCTTACCCAAGGGAAAGCCATAAGTTTTTGCACTCATCATCTGGTGCTAATCCATTCTTCTCATCACCACCAAAATAAGTCACATATAATCTATCAGCTGGTAATTTCAATACATCTGTTAAAAATTCCCAGGCCCAAGCACATATTTCTTTCTAAAAAGGTAATATCATTTTCATTCTCTCTATACAATTAAAATTATTACATATTAAAATTTGAGAGATAACTATCAATTTTTCCAACAATTTTAATTTAATTGCTCACCTTAAAGTAATCTCCAAAGGACCAATTTCCCATCATTTCAAAGAAAGTATGATGATAAACGTCTTTACCAACATCATCTAGATCATTGTGTTTGCCACCAGCTCTAATACATTTTTGACTGTTGACCACACGCACCCATTTTGCCATATCACTATTAGGATCAACTGTTCCCAAGAATATTGGCTTAAACTGAAATATATTTTTATAATTAGAGATACAGAAAAATAATAAGAAATAATTATAATAATTAAAAAATAAGAACTACCTGATTCATTCCAGCATTCGTAAAGAGTAAAGTTGGGTCATCATGAGGTATCGTTGAACTTGAATGCACATATTCATGACCCTTACTTTTGAAAAAGTCAATGTAAGCTTGTCGTATCTGCTTTGCATTCATCTTGATTGATGTTTCAGTATCCCAGATTTTTCCACAACTCCCTTCTATTAAAAATTATAATATATTATTGAGATATTAAATATATGCACATATAGTAACAGTTTACCATATGGCTTTGAATTACACCGGGTGAGATGCAAAATAATAAATTTATTTATCAAACAATGACAAAAAATACTTTTTTAAATTATACAATTGTACTTTACATGACCAATAATATATCATATTTATAAATATAAAAAAATTTGACAGTTTGGTGCAAAACTTACTCCCAGATGAGACACGAAAGTCTGGACAAACTCAATTGGAATTTACGTATTGACAATGAAGGCACGCACGAGCTGAAAAGAGAAAGGGAAGAAAGAAAAAATTAGAGCACATGTATGTTACAACTTTTGTGCTGTCTTACCGAGCCGGTAAAAAAAAGTCGCTGAAAAGCTAAGAGTGCCATTTTCATTTGTTATACGGTGATTGTTGATTGGTTATCGGCTAGAGACTTTCTAGTAACTCGAAAATTTCAACCAATCAACAGAGCTTGTCAAATGACAATGCGATAACGCCTTTCAGCTGACCAAAGCGAATGATCTTCATCAGTGAATAAATAATAAATAAAATTACGCAAAATGCCGTTTATGATAGGTAAGGAGCCTGTGAGGCGAACAGTAAAATATCTAATGTCTGGTCAATTGATCTTAAAGGATAAGATACAAATATTTTCCATTAATTATAACACGCATAGTGATCATCATAAAGGCGCAAGGTGAAGTTTCAGGTTATATGTAATGTGTTACCACATGAAATCTAAAGAGTGGCGATTTTGAATAAGTATTCTAAATCTTTTTGTTTTTACAGAGAATTTATATTTTGGCATTTACCGCAGCTGCAATACAAAAATCCCACGGTGCAGATAGTTACTTTTAAAAATATGACACCATCGCCCTTCGTAAAATGCTTTTATGGTAATGTGATATTATTTATTTTGTGAGCAAGATTGATATTTAATATAACAATTAGAAAAATAATTGTTGATTTATATATTTTATGTAAAAAATATATTTGCAGATGATGGAAAGACAATGTTGATAGATATAGATAGCAAATCTAAGGATGAAATACTTGAGCATCTTATAAGAGTAGTAGGGAAACCAAAAACGACATTAGTACAGGAAGCTATAGCCAAGGAAAAGAAGGACAATCCAGCAAACTTCGGAGTAGGCTGTAGAATTAGCTGTATGTGTCACATTCCGGGACAATTGCCATGTCCTGGAGTAGTGCCTCTACCAGATCACATGCGTGTAAAGAAGATAATAGAAAAATTACAGAATAATGAATAGATAAGCTATTTGTTATTAAAGATGTTTGTTACAATTGTATTATAATTAATTATAATTACATGTTACACATAAATATATATACATTGTCATTATGTAGCCAAAAAATAATTTGTGTTACAAAGCATCTCACATGTACGTTTATTATAAAAAAGATTTCCACACATTATGAAAATACATCAATGTACATATTAAGCGTTATATTATGAAGACTTGAAATATTTGTAACTGTAATGTTTCTTGTATTTGCTCACATTTATAGGAATCAATATTTGCCTATCTGTAATTTAGAAATCGTATTTCATTATTTATAAATACAAAGTATTGTACAACAAAATGTATATAAAATCTTTTAATACAGTAGAAAATATAGATTTTTAATAAAAACAATATAAATGTCTAAATTATTATAAATAAATATTGAAAACCGTGAAAAAAAGAAATGTGATAATGATTTATTGATAAATTAAAAATATATAAAAATATTCGAAATTTGATTGTATATAAATTATCTTCTCGGTTTATGACGATTATATGGTTTATTATGATGATAGTAGCTCCCACGGCTATGGTAACGTGTAGAGGTGGACGGTTTTTGATTTTCTGCTTTCTGATAAAGTTGTATAATGGGCGATCCTTCCAACGGTTTATTTAACTCAAATTCCTCTTCTGATTCTTTCATCATTTTAAGCTTTGCTTCAATTGCTTGAATTGCCGTTTCAAGACTGCACATAAATTGTGTTAAACAGATATAAATTATGAAAAAACGTGTTTCTACTTATCATTTTAAAAGTTACAAAAACTTTATTACCTTATTTTTTTATCTTCCTTCTTTGCACCAGCTAAGGCAGGAATATCTATTTTTGGCTTTGGTTTCTCCATGTCGGACTAAAAATTAATTACTTTAATGCTCTCTCTTGTACAATTTTAAAATATTTTAGATTAAATACTTATTTATTATGAAAACTTATGTGTTTCATGAAATAAATGATATAACACATTGTTATAAATAATTAAAACTTGTACAAAAAATTAAATTTTATAAATATGCATATACATATATATAACAGTTAAATATATTGTGCATACATATTGTATACATATTTACCTCAGTAACACTATGTGCCCATCTGACTATAATATTCTTAGCTCCAACTTTCAAGTTATGTAAAGCATCCTTTGCTGTGTTGGCATCTTGGATTGTTTTGTAAGTAACAAATGCATATCCTCTTGGCTGTCCAGCTTGAGGCCCCGACCGATGAAACAGCAGGTCGAACTTTTCGATTGTGCCGTATTTTTGGACAAGTTTCAGGAGTTGGTACCAATTGACGAAAAGAGAGTTAGTTTTTCTTTTCAAATTTATATTTTAATATATAAAGTAAAACAAAACTGTTTTCTATTTATTAAAATTATAATGCAATTTTTTAAAGTACTTTTTCTTGTTCTAGATACCAAGTTTATTAAAAAAAATTACCAAAATTTTATAAAAAAAATATATGTATTAAAAATTTATGTAAATACTTACTCATTAATTCTTAAATCCAAATTTCCTACCCATAAACGTCTATCCTCGACTTGGTTTGATTTTATAGGTTCTAATGGCAAAGGAATTTTAGTGTCTGGCTGTAAATGATAAAAATTATTTATGTAATAATTTTATATAAAATTATATAATAAAGTTAAGATACCTCTAAAAATATTTTACAATGAATACAAGGGAGAAACATTTAAAATGCTTTTCACATATCTTGGAGTTAATTTAAAATGATTACTTGATTTTTAATCTTAAATACAAACTTGCTTTAATATGGCGATGCTAATTTACACATTTATATTTACTCAGTTATTTACAAACGACAACAAACTATTCTTATTAATACAACAAACTCTTACCTCCATTCTAAAAATGAGATGGACAGATGTCAAAGTGATCAGATTACTGAGAAACCTTAGTTCTCATCGGTATTGATCGGCAACTCTAATCTCTAATCAACAAACAAGAGGCCTCAGTCTCTCTTCAAATGTTTCGAATTATTCATGAAATTTTACGAGGGTGATGTGACAGTTCACTGATGCAGCCTTGCGACATTTGACAGAAAATTCGTGAAAAGATTTGAGAAAATTGCGTTCACGCACATCACATCCGAGAGTTATTGCCAAAGTGTCGTGAGGATGCAAATGAATGATAAACTGAATTATCCGAATAATTTCGCATTTTCCGAAACCTGCCGCGCATAACTCTTATGTAATTACGATCCGCGGTATCGATTTATACTCCTTTTCTTTCCCAAGTAAGATACTTATTACAATACTCTCGTGATGGCGTGATCACAATTTAGATTTAGAAAAAAGCTGAATGTTTCTTTTTGTGCGAAAGCACACACAATCTTGTACGAACACTATACCATCTACACACACGCCCATTTAGCAAACTAAAATAACATATCTTTTTTTCGACTGTCAATAAAATCACTGTTCAGTCGCACATAATTTGTTTCATTAATTTATTTATAAATATGTATATGTCATTATTAAAATATTTTCACACACATATGTAGATGACACACTGTGCATACATGTTTTTGATAAGAAAATGATTTTTCGAAAACATCTTCAGAGAGAGAGAGAGAGAGAGAGAAAGATGCTTCTCTCTCGCTTTCCCATGCTGCGCAGTGGGGAACGGAGGAGGGGAAACTGGCGTACCCCCACTCCGTGACCGTCACGTGACGCGCTCCTCACTCCGCGCCCATCACGTGACGTGTTCTCCCTGAACATAACCTCTTCGTCTCCTGTCAAAAGTTGACAAGTATTTATTTTGATGGGAAATGATTGTTATAGCTGTTAAAAAAAAAGATGGGTGACTTTTTGGCAGCTAATAATGTTTGCGGACAAAATTTACTACGACTGGTATCTCGTGGAAATGCTATCATAGCTGAATTGATGCGATTGAAAGATTATGTACCACCGGTCTTTAGGTTAGTGATTTATCTCAAATATTTATAATTCTTTTAATTAAATTACATTTTATTAAATTACATTTTACATATGTGATTAATATTTTAACTATGCACATTATATTAAGCATATAATTAATTATATATTATAGATATATAATAATTTTATATCAATATTTTATCGATATATTTTCTATCAATATTCTTTTAAATAATATTTCTATTACATATTTGTCCTAATTATACATTATTTTTTGTCACAATTAGCTTGGATTCGAAACAATTGGTGCATAAATATGGATCAATTATAATTGACTTTGCGTATTTCAAAGCAGCCAGCGTTTACGAACAAAAAATAGAAAATGATCCTGTAAATATTAACATTTTTTCTACAATTTTTTGAGGATTATATTATTTTTAGAGAAATGTATATAAAGGTAAAAATATCTATCTTCTTTTCTAGACGCTTCAAGAAACTGATGAAGAACTTCGAAATAATTTCTCAGATATACTTACAAGATTTTACCTAGCTTTTGAGAGTATACACAAATATGTTACAGATCTGAATTTTTATATCGATGAGTTGGGTGATGGAATTTATATACATCAGTCATTAGAATCTATTATGTTCAATGAGGAAGGAAAACAATTAATGGTATAATTTCTCTTTTTGCTTTTATAAATGTTTGACAATTTTTACCTGACAGAAAAAATTTGTAAATTGTAATAATATATTAAATATATATATATATATATTTTAAAATAAGATTATTTCTGCGTAGTGCGAGGCTGTATATTTATATGGTGTCATGCTGCTGTTGGTTGATTATTATTTTGAAGGCCGAATACGTGAAAGATTACTTGTGTCTTATCATCGATACAATGCACAGCGATCTTCTTCAACAAGCGTAGACGACATTTGTATGCTGCTTCGTTCGACAGGATACGTGAGGACGTTATTTAAACGACCAGCCAACTATCCTGAAGAATATTTCAAGTATGATATATATGATACATAAATATAAAAAGAAAAAGTTTGAAGTAGAGCAAACACTTTTTTAATTACAATTAAATATATGTATTTTTTCAGGAGAGTACCTTTGCGAGACTTTTTGATAGATCTTGTCATCGGTCGGCTGCGTTCGGACGAAATTTATAATCAGACTCTTGCTTTTCCACATCCAGAACATCGTAGTACCGCTGTAGCCGCACAAGCGTCAATGCTGGTTATAATTTTATCATTTAAACCAACTATACTACATATGCAAACTGCCATTATGAGAGAAATAGTGGATCGATTTTTTCCTGACAATTGGGTGATTAGTATTTATATGGGAACAGTAATTAATCTATGTGATTGGTGGTCTCCATATAAAGCTGCACGAACAGCATTGAATAATACACTTGAGAATTCAAATGTGAAAGGAATCTCGCAAAAATATGGAATACAGATGGATGTAAGTGAAAGTTTAACAAGTTTAAAATTGATTATACATTTTACAAGATATATTTCACATGTATTTTATCTTATATTTAATATTGTATATAAAAATAATTTTTGGAAAAAATCTGACCATTTTTTTTACAGTTATAATAATATTTTTAGATTATAAAATTTGAAATTTTTAGAGAACTTTTATACATATCAAAATAGTATTTTACATACAACATTTTTTAATTATAAAAGAATAGATTTACATTATCTTTTTGAGATTTACATTATCTTTTGAGAGAAGTCTTTTTTTATTTGCTTCATTAAAAAAAATATTTCAGAAACTGTTACAAGAGACTGAAGAAGTACAATTAGCAGGCACATTGGATGAAAATGCAACAGGTTCTTTGGTCAAATTAGTGAGGGAGTGTAATGTTACATTACACTGGATTCTTTTACATACAACTACACCAACTATAGCATTAGAAGATTCAAAACGTTCACGTACTCTGCGTCAGCTGGTTATGACTGAAAGCAAATATACCACAATAAAATGTCTTCGTTTATTACTGAGCACTGCCCAAATTGAACAGGATGTCAAACAAATGTATAAAGATGTATGTTTAAAATTATTATGTTATCTTTATTATATATATTGACATTAATTGCATATTTTAACTTATGTTTATATAAATTAAGAAATAAATTATATTAATTTTTATCTTTATAGTTATTACTTGGAAAAGAAACCAAGTGGCTGAAAGATAAAGGAATATGCGTTGAACGTATAACTGATCTTGTACATATTTTTGGAGGTGCTAAACCTCTAGATGGTATTGATAAAAATCAAGATCTTTATACATGGTTTATGGAAATAAGTAAACATATTGATTCGTTAAAACAAGAAGATGGAAGAAAAATAGTACAATTATTACAAGCATTGGAACAAGTTCAGGGTAAAGAAAACACACAAACAGATATCTATTCTACATAAATAGATCCAAATATGTATAAAAAAATATATATTTATGTTTTCAGAATTTCATCAATTAGAAACTAATCTACATATTTCGCAATATCTAGCTGATACACGCGAAACTTTACGCAATATGTTGCGTACAGGCAGTATATCCGAAGATGTCATGATAAGTTTGAATATTGTAACAGATTGTTGCTACGCGTGGAATATTATGGAATCCTTTATCGATGTAATGCAAGAGAGTATAAAGAAAAATCCACCAACTGTCATCAAATTGAAGGCTCTCTTCTTAAAAGTATATATATATGAATAAAAATTAAAAAAAATATATGTGTGTAAATGCTTATATGTGCATACATATAAGCATTATATTATTTTTAGATGGCGTCAGCATTGGAAACTCCGTTGCTCAGAGTAAACCAAGCGCGAAGCGCAGATTTGTCTTCGGTGTCCCAATATTATAGCCGAGAACTCGAAGGATACGCTAGACGTGTCTTACAAATTATACCTGAAACTGTGTTTGGGTTGTTAGCAGAGATAGTACATCTTGAAACGAACGCGTTTAAAGAGATTCCGACTAAATTACCCAAAGATAAACTTAAAGATTATGCACAATTGGATGAGAGACTTCAAGTATATATCTGATTATTAATGCTTGTTCTTAATTTAGAAATATTTATACATGCAAATATTTTTGTAGATGGCGAAATTAACATATGCTGTATCAGTTTTTACAAAGGGCGTTTTATCACTGAGAAGTGTCTCTTTGGGAGTTTTGAGAGTTGATTCGCATCGTCTCTTAGAAGATGGTATACGTCAAGAACTTGTAAAGAAGGTCACATTAGCTTTGCACAACGGTCTTAATTTTGATCAGAAAGCCAAGGTAAATCTTGATAAGTAAAAAATTTTATATCCTTATAACATTTTATATACCTGCTAATTATTTTTTCTAGACATCTCTTCTACAAAAATTATGTAATTTATCCTCAATTATGGACGGGTACAGAAAATCTTTTCAATATATTCAGGATTATATTAACATAAATAGCTTGAAAATATGGCACGAAGAAGTAAGAGGATTATATAATTTTAGTAACTTGTACATGTATACAAATTTTTTTATTTTAAATATATATATCTATAAAAAATAAAAATTTTAGATTACATATATCATAAATAATGCGGTCGAAGAAGAACGTAGAGGTTCCTCCTCGGTACTAGGAAAATCGTGGAGGCAATTCCAAGAAGACAAACACATTTCAACAGATAATAATTCCTTGACATTCATGGGCAGACTCGCCAGAGAAATTATCCGTATTACCGAACCACGGTATAATGTTAATTTATTTAGATTTTACTTTTATATTAAATTATTGTTGCATTCTTTTAATCAGTTTATATTTTTTTAGAACCACAGTATATATAGAACATTCTCTAGCATGGTATGATATTAAAACACAAATTGAAGTCTTAAATTACAAAGTCTTCTCTGTGATATTAGAAACGATAGGTACTCCCGGACTATCAGGATTGGATAAACTTATCTCTTTCTTTATTGTCGTGGAATTGGAAGGTTTAGTTCATTATATAGAAAAGAATATACGAAACAAAACATGGATATCTCTGTTGGAAGACTGTGAAGCTACCCTAAATTCTTTAGACAGCGCTAGAGGTAGAGATATATTAGAAAAATATATTTTATAAAAATATATTTTATGAAAATATATTCTATAAAAAGTTCTATTTAATAAATTTAATCATATCTTAGGTAATATTGCAAAACTTCATAATAATATAAGCGCCAGCAACAATAAATTATGGTTGCCGGCACTTGAATGGACGTTGAAAATAGGTCACTATCAATTGCTCAGGAAGAAAATAGCATATGAGTTAAATACTGCTTGCAAGTTTGAAGCAAAACACATGGAAGCAGCACTTCAAACATTAAATACGTATGTAAACGATATTAATTTCTTCACTTCTACTTCTTTTAACTCCAATTCTTTTCTCACTTTTTTTTTGTTTTTTACAGAGCCGTCTTGTGCGAGATAGCGAGAAAAGATAACAATAATGAAACTGAACCAGAGAAAAGTGAATTGCTTCATGAACTTAGCGTGCGACTAGACTGGGCTGGCATTAGTGATCCGCATAACAAAGTTTATATCAAACCACCAAAGATAGATAATATAGCTCTCATTATTTTCCTATTCACAACATCACAGTTGAATAAATTATTTTACTGCAAAAATACAGGTATTATATTCATAATTATTACTAATATATATAAATTATTATTAATATATAATTATTACTTTTCGATATATAATACAAAAATATATCCAACACATTATTATATATTCTGTAAATAAAATTACATATTATATAATTTGTAATTCGTTATGTATTATTATTTGTACTTTAAAATTACATATATATTTTATTTCTTTATCGCAGCAAGTCTTTTAAGTAAAAAATATCAAGATCCTGTTGATGCTGTGGTATTTGCGATAGGAATAAAAACGATTCTTTGTCAATTTCACGTTTCCGTGATAAATCGTTATATAAAATATCTTTGTATGTATATCCTATCATTTGTCACCGTGGAAAGGTAAAAATAATTTAATTAATCTCGGATGCAATACGATTTTATTATTAATGAATATCCGATATTATTAATGAAAATGTTTTATTTTTAGTACGAAAGCAGGAAGTGAAATGGAAACTGAAGGAGTTACCAGTATTCACTTTTTAGAACTTTTTGTGAAATATTCTGGCATTCCACGTTCTCTCATTCTTAAAGAGATACCTGTCGTCGTTTTAGATCATTCTCTAGTTAAAATGACAAAATGATGCGACTGATCTGAGAGAATCTGAAATTTATATCGGGTATTGTTTAAATTTTTATATTGTACTATTATATCCTTACATTGCGTAACTTATATATTTCGTGTAAATAAATAAAAAAATAAAAGTGTTATATAAAAGGACTCTTTTATTATCAGGGCATTTATATTTATCGATATTCTTGCTAGGTATTTCACCACTCGGAAAATTACATGGCTTTTAATTTAATTCTATAAAATTAATATCTATACTCTGTTTAATTTTACCTAATGCGCGCATTTTGAAGAAACGTATAGAGTTTTATGAGGTGAATTAGATAAAAGCGTAAGGGCGTGGCGTATATCGTCATTACGAAATGACGTCCTTAGGGGAAGCGTCGCCCACCTCCGATATTATACTGCAGGGAAATCTCGCATACGCATCGGCGGCTAAAGCGGCGACGGCGGCGGCGGTTTCGATGCCTCTTTATATCTCCTATCGAAGAATGCGTGCGCTCATTCTAAAATTTTACATTTGAAGAGCTAGCCGCTTTCATTCGCAATTGCGGCCATCTCATCAACGGAGATTTCAATGCAACGATAAAATATCGATTGGTCGGAAAACGATGAAGGTTTAAGAAATTAACAGGAAATACGATCGGACGGCGACGGCGGCGGCTACGACGTCGCCGGCGGTCGCGACGCCGAGGTCGGCGGCTTCGTACAAAACGACGTGGAATAGTTCCCGAGCCCAGTTCTCGGCTCACGTGCGTACGCGGATCAACGTCGTTCTTCTTCCTTCCGGAGAGAATCTTCGAAAGAATTTTTGTCCGTCTCGATGTTACGCGGATCGCGAAAATTCATTTCGATTATTATCCGGAAAGTAAACGGATGAAAAGAATAGGAACATTGGTTTTTAAATGATATTTGTTGCATGGAACGTGTAAAATGCGAATACATATGCTCTTTTACATTTTAAGTCTAGTAAAATAATTAAACTTTTTTGAAGAACAATTGTAAAATTTATATTTAAAAAATTATTGAAAAACTAAAAAATATTTTGTATAAATCTAAACATTTTTATACTCAAAATTACAAGTTTTCTTTCTTTTTTATCTAGTCTTACTAACATCGATATCGTAAAATATATTATACAAAATAATTTCATTCTAATGTTTTTATTTTGAATGTAATATTGAAGTTGAAAGTAAAAATTATTTCGCTTCCAGTACTATTAGTTTGATGATTCTTTATATTAATAAATTTTTAAAAAATATAATTTCTATATTTAAAAAAATCAAATTTTAGTTATACATATATTATATAATACAAATGCACATAATATATCAATAAAATTTGTCACACGTAAGTAAATAAATCATAATTAAGATATAATTAGGTAACACGATTGTCCATGTGGATGAATAGAAAATGGAGAAAATGCTCTGTCTCGTGATAAATCTCGTAAGAAGTTCATATTATAAAAAGCTGCGAAATATGTAAACCAATATAAAAAACTGTTCGATTAATTATAAAGATTGCAATATCATTCTTGATAAATTCTATTGTCGCGCTATAAAATATTTGTATTATTGCATCCAATGAATTTCTATTTTTTTTTCATCAGGAAATCATGCGAATGCTGTTAGGGATCGCGTTGCTCTTCGCGGTAGGATTCTTCGTCGTGGCGGCATCGAAGGACCGTAATAATTATCCTCGTTTCTTCAAGCATCGAACGAAGTTGAGAGAGATCCGCGGCTTTAAACCGGAATACATTTCCACGGCGATCGGGTTCGGGAAAAGGGAAGATCCGATGGAGAAGATGCCGGATCCTCGCGGCCGCGAGAGAATTTTGTTATCGCTTCTGAGAAACTTTCCGCGTAGGTGAGTACGCTCCAGGCTCTGTGAAATGACAAAACAAAGTGCATAAGTAAAGAGGAAATCGATTTGAATGAGATCTCGGCAAAGTTCCTTTTCCATTTGCTAGCAAACGTTACGTCATAAATTTGACGCAAAACATATGTCGGAAAAGTATCGAAAAAGAACAGAAATTTCAAAAAAAATTATACGACTAGTACCATTAATCAAGGCTAATATTTAACATAAAATATCTTGATTACAGCGTGTCAGCGGAAGTGCTACTTCGAATGATGCAGACGAATCCTGCGTTGGCCGACAAATTGATGATGCAAAATGATCGAGACGACGAAGAGTCGATAATGAATCATTCAAAGTCCGACAGAACATTTGCGCTAATTTAATTCCTTCGTTAAATGCATTCGGCGAAAGTTTTAGAGAGAAACACCCTCCTCCTATTCTAATTTTCCCATGTTAGATAAAATGTTTATTCAATATTATACCTCTTCCCGATTTACTTTTCAATTCTTCATATATGCAAGTAGTATAATGTAGATGCTCTATTTCTTTTTTTTTAATATAATCTCTCTTTTTACGACAAAAGTTTTCGCGATGTCAAGAAGCGATAAACGGAAGACGCATTTTTTCACTCGCAGCAACATATATACGATCGATGTAAAATTAATAACTTTGTCGTAAAACAATATTGCACTATATGTGTATATCGAGAAATGTATTGTGTAATTTATTATTTTTCTGTTTATAAGAATATGTGTAAAACTAAAGATAACTATATACAGAAATAAAAATTGATGGGAAATAATTGCGCATTATTCTTTTGCGAATTATTTCTGACTGTATATCCTCTATTAATAAATGTTTTATTTTTTTATATTTATCTGATTTGGAAATATTTTGATATTATTAATAACAGATTTTTCTCGTTGCAGTTTCTGTCTTTTTTAATTTCAAAGCAATATTTCTATTATTTTAGGGATAATATGGCTATGGTTATCGGTTATAAAAATAACTTTACAAAATACATTTCGTAATTTCTTTTGTAATTTCAAGTTCTTGATTTTCAATTGTATTAAAAGTATAATATACTAAATTATATATAACATTATACATCTTACTCAGTAGTAGTAAATTGCAAATCTTTAAATCTGATGTAGTTTTGTACAATCACTTTGTCATTAGATTTTTATTTGAAATATAAGATCCGTTTTGTACTTTAGCAACAGCTCTCGCCTCTCTCAAATTTTAATATAAGAAATCGTATTGATATTAGATCAAGATACATACATCTGTCGAAGAAAGGAAGACTCAAACGTGCCTAACGTGAAAACTGACAATATATTCTGCATTAGTACGTTGGACTGAAATCGCGAACGGATCTGTCGGATGGAACGTGAATGCGACCAATCGTCTTGCAGCTGTTGGTGTTGTTCGTCCCGACATACCGGCGTACATTCTAAATTTTAAGAGACCCGAGTCACGTGCATAGAAGCTGTAAAAAGAGAATAGATAATTTTCTCTCGCAAGAATAAAATTGAGCCGCTTATATACCGTATTGGATGTTCCCCGCATGCTTTAGGGCGTTCCATCATAGAAACCCATTTATCATCGTAGCAAAATAATGATAAGTCGAGGTACGGAGAACTTGAATAGGACTGAGCGCATATCGGCAACTGGGCGAGTAATCTTTTCGTGGCTTCGGTAATGCCACCGTATCTAGCACTTATTATCGTTTGTTTAAATCTTTGCTGTAGCAATCTGAAAAGAGGAAATATAATTAGATACATTGTTAATTAATATAAATAATTAATGTATCTATATCGATACACATAGGATATTCAGACTAATACCTGGCATATATATTATTGGATGGCGAACACATGTATTGGCAATCCGTGCTCATTCTGGCATTTCTGAAAAAATCGCTGAAAATTTTCAAATAGGGTCAACAGTTGAGTCGATGCGTTGTCGTACGCTGCCAAAATTTTTGCTGCAACCATATCGTAAACTACTAATAGCGCAGGCTGCGCATTGGTTCATTTGCTTGCAAAGTCGCTACTTCTTCGCTCGCGTATCTCACCAGGATATGATTTGTATCCAATAACTGCATCTTCCACATACGTAACGAATTTAGCTGAAAATATTTTATTCAATGAGTTATTTAATTAATTATTCATTAACACGATACAAATAAAAATATTTAAATAATGTATATAAAAATATTCTTGAATACCTGATCAAAATATGATAAAATCTTCTTAATTCGTATGGATCCTTTGTTGCTTTGCTTATATATTTTGCTCGTTTATATAAATATACTAATAATCTATGTTTAAGACTATTTATTGCAATGTCTTTAAATGGTCTGCAATTGATTCCAGGAAAAGCACTTGTAACTAAATATGCATCATCTTCCATACAAAATCTAACACACATTATTTATATTATTCCAACAATATCATTTGTATTTATATCTGTATTATCCTTAGTTGTATTTGTAATAACATTGGCTAATTTTTATATTTAATACCTTCCTATTGTCCTCACATTTATAAACATGCCATCAAGAATTTGAAAGATATGTATGTTTTGATGTTGCACTGATAAGACTGCTAATATATCTTTGTATAAATAAAGACCTATGTATAGAAAAAAAAAAGATTACAAAATCTAAAAATTTCAAAAATTTTAACATAATCTTAATGACTTAGCTAACACTTGTTATAACATTCCTAATCTACTCAAAAAAGCAGTTAATATTAAACATGTTATCAAATTATTTCTTTTTCTATTCTGTTAGTAAAACAAACCTTGGTTATGTGATAGATAAATTTTGTCAACTTTAAAATGTCTAGTGTCACACAATTTTCCACCACGTAAATCAACAAGGTGCAAACTGTAGTCTTCAAGAGGAGACCGGGGATTCGGAGTCAATGCCTCATTATTGGAATAAATCTTGAAGAAATAAAAAGAAATTTATATAATGATTATTATGAAAGATAGCATTATAAATATAAAAAGGAAGGAATACTATAATAATATACTTTATAATATACTTAGAATAGCATTATAATATACTTTTTCTTCTAATTACCTGATAGAAGTGCGGTCTCAATTCTTCAGGAATATGAGCAGCTGAGCCTACAATCACATACCTCGCATCGTCTGTGAAAAGACTGCATTCTCTGTTCAATTGCTGGTTGCTTTGTACTACATTTATAATCCATTTCACCTACAAATATTAGCTTATGCACACCAATTTCAGCGCTTCTTTTCTTTTTAATTTTTTTAAAATCTTTATAATCTGCAAATATGGGTGTATACAACGATGATGGATTAGTACTGTTGCGAGTACCTTGAAAAATCTCGCGAAGATATTACTTCTTATACGAAAGCTACGGTCGTCGTTCTTGTGGCCGATGTATTCGCCTTCGCAATCGGCCAACAAGTCCGCGGCCGCCGAAGCCCGCAGTACTGATACACCTCGATGGACGTCTGGTCCGCACTGAACGCCACCAGGTACTTCCCGTCCGGACTGAACTTACGGAGGAAACACGGCGGTTTCTCCACGTTCATCACGGTGAAGTTGGGAAAGACGTTCTGATAGAACTGCCTCGCGCTGTGCACGTGCGTACCTGGGTAAGGGCAGCCCATCGTTTCCCGCTGACGAAGCCGGACCACCACGTTCTGCGGCCCGATTTTACGTGGTTTGATGGGACAGGGATCCGTCACGAAGTTGACCCAATCATCCGTCATCGCCATCCCGCTACAAATTTATTGCGCGATGATGCACACCAATTGCACCACCCATCGTCCTCGTCGTCGTCAGAAAATTTCCCTGTTATTGCCACATTACTGTCCGATGCATGTTGCCTCGAGTTAATTGCAAGCGAATGTTATCTAATAGGGAAGTCCTCGCCAGTCTTCATGTATCTTAGAAAAATCTTATTTTTTTTCTTTCCTTTTTTTCCCTCTTAATGGCAAGATGCCTCCGACTTTAATAAGTTATACGGCACATTTTTAGAAAGTTTTATACTTTATTTCCTTTCAAAGTTTGAACACACAGGTTATGTTGGAAAGGTTAGAACAGATAACGTGCGCTCACGCATTTGCTATTTTAGTTCGAACTTCTACTTATAGATGGCGCACGAGTTTCGGGTTAGAATCCTCGCTGAATGGGTTTGAGTCTTTGCTAAAGCAAAATTTGAATTTTTATATTATTGAAAATAAACTTTCGTAAATTCGAGTTTTAATTTAATAAAATTCTATATTATAAAATTGTGAATTATAAATAACAAAATTATGAATAATATATGGAAGGCGAGAAAATATAAAATTGCACAGAAGCACGAAACATATATATACAAGTGTTCTTGTATATATTCATACTTATATAGATTTATAAAATCTAAAGAGATTTATTTTATAATTCATATAATTATAATATTATTATTATTATTTATATAATTTAAATACTGAATGTGAATAAACGTGTATTTATCGATCAAACGTATATGTTTGTCGTCAGGGATACCACGCGAGAATATTTTAGATTTTTTAGTTAATGAATAGTGATCGCGTTATTTGCGAAATCTAACGAGAATCTTTAAGAGAATATTATGGCAGATATAGAATATATAGTATCGCCATGGGAAATTGAAGCTTACGTGCAAAGTTTGAACATTTCAACTCTGGATGATGTTGGCACGAAAAGGTATATATAATTTATATATATTTTATTAATTAGTATGCAAAAAATTGTTAAATCGACATATATAACAATGCAAGAATATATATATTTCAGCTGGTTGGATTTTCATAAGAAATTGACATTATTAAATCAACAAAGTGTACTCGAGATAACAGAATTGCGCGAAGAAAGCGTTATGGAATGGTTTATCTCATTAAAGAAAGTAAGTCATTGTATGTATACTGGGACGATTGTTTTCACGTAAATTATAAAGTAGAATGATATAACTATATACTTTAAATTATTATAATCAATCAATATAAGCCATAAAATTGCTTCATTTTAGGTTCCTATTCTCATATACGAAGCTATACAAATTAATGTATGGAAACATAAAGTGCTTCCACTTTTGATAGATCTCAATGGCGAGCCATCAAACACGTTTATGATGTTCAGCGTACTTTATCATGAAGTCATTGTGATTTCATTATTGGAGAATATATTATTTCATTGTGAAAGCGCGCAAACGATAGATGATATGGTGATCGATCTTATTGATTATGCTGTCGAGCACGTAACGATGCTTTTCAATGAGAAAACCATCGAAATCTACGAAAGATTCGAAATTAAAGATCCTAAGTAAAACATTAATATATATACTTATATTGCATTATATAAGATATATGTTTTAATTGCATGCAGATATTGCGTAAAATAAATAATAAGAAATGTGGCTGTTATTTAAAATTGTTATATTAAATATAAAAGTGAAATTTTTATTAATCGCACAAATGTATTTTGTAGCTCTTGTCTCAAAGAAATTTTAGAGAAACTGAAGGTATTTGAATTTGACATTGGGATGCGATGTATCTCCATCCTTTACTATCTAATACAATTTCTGGACAGCTTACCCCTTTGTGCTGTTTCACGTATGTTAGCTACACATGATATTCCTTACTTATTTGCGCAATTAATAGAAACTCAACCATGGAAGAAGCAAAACGAAGATGGTAATAGTCTCTCTTTTCTGTACTGTGAGATTGCAATGCATTAGATAGAACAAAAATATTTGAAAAATTATTAAAATGTTATTAATCTTTCCTACAGGTGAAATGTTAATGTATGATGCTAGCTGGAGAAAAATTAAAGCAAATGAAGTGGGAAAAATTAATAAAAGAGAAGGCCAGGTATGGTTTGCTCTGAGAGAATTACTTCTGAACCCAAAATGCTCTCCGTATTATGAAATTACAGAGCATAGATTGTCTCAGTTATCTAAGGTATTAATTATTATCGACTTATCACCAATTGGTGCATATACATATAATGTGCAATTTTAAACAGGATTCTTTACACTTTAGTTGCAGAAATATTTACATGAAGATATATTAGATCAAATTGCTCCTCTGATAGAGCTTAAGAGATGGTTATCTTATATAAATATAAATGCAATGCCATCTTCCAGTGCAAGTTGTGCGATTCGTGTAGAAATAATACCACAGGTATAATGTATTCTCCTGTCCTTTATCTCTTATTAATTTTTGTTTAAATTATCAATTATTAAGATTATATATCATATAAAGCAAAATTATAAATATATTAATACATTTAAATATTTATAAAATTATAAATATATCAAATATGTAGGTAAAATCATCCATTTTGGAAAAATACCATAAAAAATGGAAAAAGTTGGCCAGACATCAGTCCAAATATCTATTTACAATGGATAAAAGTTATATTAAAGATGCTGCGCAAATCTTAAGTGATGGTTATGATTTAGAAAAATTAGATCGTATGGAAGCAAAAAAGTGTGCACTATGCCAAGAATTGTCTAAGAAACGATGCTCTAAATGTAAGGAAGTCTGGTACTGTAGCAGGTATGTAGAGGAAATATTTTGACCACACAGTTTCTACAAATATGCATTTAGACATAATATAGAGTAATTAATCATTTCTGCAGACAATGTCAAGTGAAAAATTGGGAAGAGCATAAGAAGATTTGTAACATATTAACAAAAACTAAACAATGAGCAGATTCTTGAAAAATTAAAAATGTATTTACCTACAAAACATGTATACTTTATATATATTTTTTCTTTTACTATAAATCTCAATATTTCTTATTATTGTACAGTTGTAAACACAAAGATTGTATTTCTTTTCTTTTCTTATTTGGCAAAAGCAATTTTTTGTGCATTTTAATAATTATAGTTTTTGTATCTACAATTGCGGATATCAAAGAGATTTCAGAAATAAATAATTTGTGTCAAATATTTTATTAAAAGATTTTTAATGTACAGTACTTTGTTTGAGATATTCCATTAGTACATCCTTTGCAGGTGTATCTTCCCCAAAATCCTGCAATATTTGTATATTCAATAATGGAATAATAATATAAAAAGAATTATAACAAAAAGATATTTCAGTAAGGCATAAGCACAGCATAGTGTTTTTTTATATGGGTTCTACTCAGTAGAGGGAGCCAAATATCATCATATATATTTTTATGATATTTTCTTTGGAACATATTCCCATTATGTGTCATTAATTATAACACATTTATCAAAAAAATATTAAAAATTTTTTTAACCTTTACTCAACTTACCTTTATGACGACACATGAACAGCCAACTACTTTACGTGCTTTGCCTGCACTATCAATTTTACATAATCCAGCCCATTCTCCTAACTTTTTGTTATTATCCACCTTTATGAGTGGAATTTGATGTTCATTGCATAATGCTTGAACTAATTTCTTGTACATCGGTTCGTCACAATTATCTGCCAAGATGCAAAGCATGGCTTGTCTTCTGCAATATAAGAAATTTATTAATAAATAATATAATTTAAAAATATAATAAAATTTATAAATTTATTAATAAATTTTTATTTTTAAACAATTTTATATATTATAATTCAAATTTAGATTTATATTATAATGTTTAACATTATCATATAATATTTATACATTATTAAGATATTTTAAAATATATTAATCAATTATCTTTTTTTCAGAAAAATTTATTAAATTAATTTTTAATTTCTATATATTACTTGTCTAACGCCTTTGCAGCTTCATGAAGGCCATGTACAACACCATCATGAATGAGGGAGTTTTTCAAAACTTCTTGTAGTGCAGTGTTAACATCCATACTGCCACCCGCTGCCATCGCAGATGGCACATCATCACTGGAAAAAAACATTATTTTTATTATACATAGTAAACAGAATATTATTCATCAGTTAATTTATCTCTATATTATACAAATTGATTATCTTTATATGTCATATATATAGTCTATATATACTTATAATTACTATAACTTGTTCAAAAATATATAATACTTTTATAGAAATAATTTTTATAATAAATTTTCTTTTTTTTTGCAAAGATTTTCTTAAATATTATTAAATATATCAATGATAAAATATTGCATCAAAATTACATTAATGTAGTTTACACTAAGTAATGTTACTCTTGGTAAGTTTACTCCATTAACTAAAGAATCAATTTTTAAAGAAAATAATTTTCTTTAGATTATCAAAGTGTTTAATAAATAAAAATGTTCTAATATTGGGAATTTAGAACTTATAAAACCTATAAATTTTCTTGAAACTAGAAAAGTATTTTCAAGCATTTTGATAACCTATACTATTTACTGTCAAGTATGAATGCACAATGTTACCTATATTTACTACTTGTTAATTTTTTAACGCTTCTTGCAAGTTTATATGTCACTATATCTATGCTTTTATTAATCTATTAGAGCTAATTACACGATAATAAATATATAAGCGGCGTAGGAAACATTCTAAAATGCACTTACTTTTCTACGTCAGACATGTTTCAGAAAAGCCAGGAACCTGGAAATAATTATAGAATATTATTATTTTTGCTTCAAAGATCACATTTTAATACTTTTTTGGATAAACTGTACAATGATCTTGTCACAATAAATGGATTTTAACAGCGCTAATTCAGCGTGGTCTCGATTACCTTTGCTAGGAAACAGAAGAGAATTCGTCATCATCGAACATGCGTTATAAAGATGCGCCACTTCGTTTCGGCCACCATATTGATTTAGAAGGACATCTATGAGCATATATTGTGATCAACGATTACTAAAAAATTTAAAAATACACTCACATACATATATACATAAATGTGATTTAATTTATTATGGAAAATGAAAAATATGCAAATTTTCGGATCGTATAATAGTATATTTTTTTATTGCTACATTAATAATTTTGAATTAATTATATAATTACTATATAGTATTATTTATATATATATTGAATGCTATAAAATAGAAAAATACAAAGGTTTATTAATTAGAATATTAAAGGAAATTTTTTATAGAGAATATTTCAATAATCTTGCGCATTTTCCATTTTAATAATTTATTCGAGTTTTATTTTCATGAGAAAATCTCATAAATTTATATAAATTATAGATAAATTGAGTACTCACCTCTATTATATGTAGAAGCAAAAGAATAGCATTTTTTACTGATTATGCAATTAATTAAGAGAATCGAGAAATTAGAAAAGAATATTTATGAATAATTCTAAATTAATGGCATTGAAAGCATGAACAATGAAAATATAATAAATAGAAATAAAGAATCGGCCAATTAGAGCAGTAAAGAAACTCTTTATCGACATGCTATATTGGCTTTATGAAAAAAGCAATGGGTCGTAAATCTACAGTAACGAGGTTTCTTTTCATCGATCACGTGATTGCAAAATCCCGCCACCCACTGCGTACTTCCTTTTCGATACTACAAACTACAAATGAACTTCCGCTTTCTTTTCCATCCTGGATCTCGACGAAGGACGGCAAGTATGTACGTCTTTTGTTAAAAATAAGATTGTTTGGATGTTATTAAAGTTATATAATAGTCTTTCAGACCTAGATCTTAAAAACTTGATTTTAGTCAGTCATGACCGCGATTGAATTTCAAGAACGGCATTCAGCCATTATTGAATTTATAGAAGAAGAATATTATTGCTGCATATTGTATCTGTACACGAAGTAGATAGCGGTATATAGACGTAATAATAATTATTATGTATATATTGTAATTATTTTATTGGATGTTTATTCATAATCTATAATTCAGGATGATTGGAGGCGTTATTTGTGTAGTATTTATTCGGTCATTTAACTGATTAAGAGCAAATATTTTAGGATTTAGGACTTTGTACTTAAAAGAAAAAAGACATGCGAAAGAATATTTAACTATTTTACAGACTCAAATATTCACAATTATATGTATATATATATACCCACACAATAATAATTTATGCAAAATTGTTAAAAAATATAAATATGTATGCATAATTATAATTATGCATATATATATATTATAGTTTTATTGGATATTCATGTAATATACATATATATATATATTTAATATATATATGAATATGAATATATCACATGTTTATTCGCAGTGCAATTTTAATTTTATGCAGTCACATCACGTAAATATAATTGTATATTGTATCATTATTTATCTTGATAGATAAAACTAAAACTGCATTACTGAGATGAAGTGTGGGTATATATATATATATATATATACACAAACACATATGTATAAAATAATTCATGTTAGTGATTTGTCATAACATTTTTATCTTGGTTGTTTTCATAATTTTCACTTTTTCTCATAATAGTTTTTGCTATTTCAGCTTTGATTTTCATCTCTGGTTTTGGCTTGGTTTTCAATTGATCTCACACACACAGGTACTTTTATTATATTTTTATTATATATGTTTGTATATTGTTTTGCTCTTTAAACAGTCAAATGTTTGTACGCTACATACATGGTAATAGAATAGCATTTAGTTCATCATGTGTTTTAAAAATTGTTTGTAAAAATTACAATATCAAATAACATAACTTTGTCAATTTTAAAGATATCTTGAATTCATTTGCTATATGTGTTTTAGAGTTATTTATAGTTTGTAATTGTATCTTTGTTTTTTTATAGTTTCTATATTTAGAACTTTTTATATAATAAAAAATGACATATGATCTTTATTATTATTATTATTATTATTATTATTATTATTATTACTATTATTATACTAAATTACTTCATTTAAGAAAACATTTTTGTTTGTTTTAATAACAAAAGTTTACTTTAATAACCAACTTTTATTTTTAAATAAACTTTTCCATCTCTCATATTATTAGTTTAGGACAATGTCCTAAGTTGTCATTTTTTTGTTTCTTTTGTTATTAAGATTTAACTTTGTGTTATTTTTTAGGTGACTGTTGAATGTTTAGTTTATTCTCCTCTTCCCTCTCTATTGTGGTTTAATAGCTAAATGATTTTATTGATCTTTCATTGTGTTTTTTTATTTGGTAAGTTTGTCATGTTTTATATATTCTGATTTTTATCATATACTGTTTCCATTGGTCTTTAGTACTGTTATTATATACATATAATATATTATTAATATTTTTACAATATATATATAATACTTTTATAATATATATTATAATAAATATAATAAACTTATAATACAATAATATAATAGTACTATGTTATAATAAATTATATTGAAAAAAATATTAATAGTATAAGTAGTTGTATACTTTACATTATATTCAAATGCATAAAGGTCAATACATTTAACTTTTGCTGATCTTAATAATATATTAATCAATAAAATGCTATTTAAGAATGATACTAGTTGTAGAATGTTTATGTAAATCATGAGAAGTTGATTTATATGAAGAAAAATACAGTTTTTACTCAAATTTAAGAATACAATTAAATATATTTAATAATGATTACAGAATATTAATAAAAGTGCTTATTTTATAGATTTATATACATAATAGGAAATATATTAACTCTACATTATATATATGTATTTACTGAATAGAAAGTCATGTTTACAAAATATACATTTGTGAATACATACACTTCTATCAAAGTAAATGTTATAGTTAGTAATTTCAATTAATGATATATTTGGCAAGTCATGAAACAGTAATAGAAGATGATATGATATTTTATGCTTGCAACATGTAAAAGTTTGAAATATTTTGCATTCGCGTTTGTGAAATTATTATTGATTTTTAATATTATTATTAATTGTCATAATGTATAATTTGCCCAAGAAAAGACTTGGGACTTTTGAGCAAAAAAATGGATGCAGTAAATTGGCTATCACAAATTACTTGATATAAAAATCCATTAAAATTGAAACCATTTTAAAAGTCTCGAGTCTCCTTAAATACAATATGTCAAGTATAAGTACACTGAAACACGCGCACTGGCAACTTTCAACAATGTTTTTTTCATTCCAGAAATCGACGATGATATATTGCACTTTGCGTCATGAAAGAAGAGACAGTGAGGGAGGAATGAATGGAAAAATTGGATGACCGCGAATCATCATCGTCCATTGAAATCGACACCAGCCATGTAATCGTTAATAGCGATTATGTTATGTCGGTGGCGAACATCGATGATACGGCCAACAATAATGTGGCGGTGGAGGTGGTGCTGGCGGTGGCGGTAGTTGTTGCGTGGACGGCGTTGATCCCGATTGCAACGAAGAGGATTGTTGTACGGAATGTTGAGGCGACGGCCCGACTGAATATAAACGGTGAGTACGATGAGCTTGGTGATGAGGATGACAGTTGCTATTTGTCAAACGCGACGACGTTGATGCCTCCAGTGTCATAATGCCGGCTTGTGACTGACAAGCCATCATCAAACCATGAAAATCGAACTTGTAAGCGTAACGTTTACCATGAACTTTCGTCATTATATTCTTGTCGTAGTAATATCTGCGAAATATATTAATCTCTCTTAACATTGTGCAGCGTTTTATGACATTTCAAAGTATTTTAAATTTACAAGTAAAGGATCTGTATGAAATTCATGTAATGGAGGAATACAAATCTAGATAAAGAATAGGTATATGAAAAAAGAGGGGTAATTAATGATTTTTTGTGTACTATTCTTAAGTCTGTTCTTCTCAGTTGAATTGGCTGTACTAATTCAGAGTTTATCTTTTTTACTCCACATTGGAAAGAAAGAGATAAACTCTGAACTAATACAGTCAGTTCAGCTGAAAATAACAAACCTCTTCTTATATAGGTCGGCAAACGATATCTGCTTTAAATCGAATTACCTTAACGCGCGTGACAGCTTATCGTAATTCATATTCGGCTTGCTCTTGCGCTCGCCCCATCGACGTGCGACTTCGTCCGGATCAGTAAGCTTGAATTCCCCGTTCGAGCCCTCCCACGCGATACAAGACGCGTTGGACGTATCCGAGAGCAGTTCCAGCAGGAATTGCCAGAGCTGGACCTGTCCGCCTCCGACCGCCCCCGAGCTACCAGCTCCAGCCGTCGATCCAATCAGGGAGCAAGTCCGTTGTAGGAGGCTGAACCTCTCTATGAACAGAAAAACGAAACACGCATGCACCAAACTTCAAGTTTCTCGAGATCGAGTCGTTTATAGACAGTAAAAAAAGAAAAAGGAGAGAGAAAAGCGATGGTTGTGAGCTTTCTCTCAACATATTTCCTTTCTTATTCTGACGCATAGATATTTTTATTTTTATCTTTTTTCTATTAGTATTATCATCCATATGTAGATATTTAATTATTAAAAAAAAAACCGTAATGAAATTGTGATAATTGTTGATATACGCGAGATTGTCAATTGGAATTCGATTACAAAAACGGGTAAAAAAATAGAATTATTTTAATATTCTATTTTTATATCGCATCAGAGTAGATATTTTGTATTCGTCGTATACATGTATAATATATGTTATTTGTCTAATATACATATGTATAATATATATGTATATTTAAATTATATCTTATATACATATTTCGTATACATGTATACTTATATATTTCATATCTATGTATATTATGTATAAGTACATGCACAAGCAAGATAAAGGGCGCGCAATAATATCTTCTCTATATATTAATTTCACTCGCGCGCTTAATCTTCAGTTCATTTCTAAATTTACCGTTGTAAAGAATTGCAGCAGCCGAAGGATGCAATCTGGTGTCTTGCTGAAGATGTAGCGGATGCGTCTGAATTCTCCACATTACGCGTCGAATGTGAATATTTTAGCCTAATCGCCTGTGCCATATAAACGGCGCTTTCGAAAACCAATAAACGATAATAGGCTTATCATCTCTGGAGGCATCCGTCTCGTTCTAGCAATGCGAATTGATTGTCTTGCGATTTTTGAAAACGGTCTCTGTTTGTCGTAATTTTTCACATCTTTCTCTTGAGTTAAAAAAAAAGAACGACATGTATCACACTGTAGTTTCTCTTGTATATTAGTGAAATGACATAGAAATTATAATTTTATAGGGGCTTACTGTCGAGCGATCACCTGCAGCAGCACGAGTAACTTCATTACATGAATCACGATGTATTCGCCGTGTCTCACGAAACAAGAGGATACGGATCGAGGATGATATATCGATATCCATTTCACTGATCTTGATGACGCGTCACACGATTGAGCGAAGCCGATTGCTGGCGGATCGAGTCGATGAAAGGACGTAGACACATTCGGAATAAAACTCGCCAGTCAGTGGACAGAGAGCGACTGAGCGACCTTTGCCCCTGGTTTATTCAGCCCTTCGCACCCCTTCTCTCTCCCACTCATAGTCTCGGTAAGTGAACGGAATATCTTTACACCCCCTCTCTCTTCTAAGCTTAGAGTACTTACCGGTAGCTTCCATTTTTTTTACATTTTTTTCTCGCTTCTGGAATTTACGCAAATATTCTCTCAATATCTCGTGCACGCGTGTACAAATGAAAATAGTTTTATATAAATTCGTTTGAGATTTCTTCTCTCGCGAATAAATGTTTCAAGCGCTTTCATTTGGAGAGCGCAATCGTTTTTTTGTGTATGAAAACACATTTCTGTAAATTTGCACATATATTTTATATATCATTATATCTGATATTTTTATCATAAATACAAATCAATATATATGATTACAGATTTCTCTCTTTTCTCTTTCATGTCAAAATATATTGAAGTAAAAAATAATTGAAATAATTATATACTTTTATAAGAAAAAGCCAATAGAAATTAATATGATAAATTAAAAATATTAATTCGTATCAAATAATAAATTCGAATTATAGATATTAGTGTCCATATATCAATATATCTAAAGACATACTAATAAATCAATTTAACATACATTTATGTTTTAAAATTGCATTGTAATTTTTATAAATCAAAATGAATTGCATCTAAATCAAAAGATCGAAATAGAACAAGATATAGAAGAATTTTGAGTTTATTACTCTGTGTGCGTGCACAGCTAAATAAATATCGTTAATATCTATGTCGACAAAAAAATTATGACGATCAATAAATTGTATATTACGAACGTAAACTCGACGAAATATACGAAAACGAGAATATATGTAAAATTCCATTTTAACTCGATATTGATCGTGTATTAAAAAAGATATGCAGAGTTTGAAGGGCAAGTTTGAACGGATTTATACATTCGAGGATTACATCGTTATTATATATGATATTATACGTATGATATTATATGCAATACACTGAAAAAAATTATTTAATTATTCAAACAAATATTTATATTTCAATACTCCTTTATACGTCATTTATTTGAAACTAATAATATTGATTTGAAAAAATCCTTTTTTAAAACATATAAATATTGATTTGTTTCAAATGAATATGTAAAGGGAAAATAAATATTTGAATTCAATAGTTTCTTTTTCAGTGCACTAAGTGTGTGCATAAATGCCGAACGTGTCGCGAGACGAAAGAGAATATATGCAGCGATATATGACGGAGATGCACGATGCGTAAAATTATCTCGTATACGTTGAAGACGTATCCACGAGAATGTTTGCCGCTCATCACGAAAACAATATAGTCGCGCCCCGCGGTGAGCTTACCACCCCAAAAGCCCGTTAGAGCTTGCCCGAAAAGGAAGGAGGAGGGCAGAAAGAGGGGTAAAAGCGCGGGGGTCGCGGCGAACTCGTAACCCCTCGTGGCACCACCTTTCCGCTACCCTAAACACTCAATGGTTTATTCATGAGGACTCTCTCACCGCGATAACACTGATTCGTTTAATAAACGGCTGCTCCCGGGGTGAGATGGGCCAACGCACATACACAGAGAATAAAAGAAAGAGAGAGGAAGAAAGAGGTAGAGAGAGAAAGCTGCAACGTTATTCAAACGGACGATATATCTCCGAGGCTTACGCTGCCACGACTCCTGCTACCTCTCACTTTTCGCTTTTCTTCTTTCGCATCCGAAGAGGCGGTGCTCGAAAAATCTGTGCTTCGAAAAAGAGGAGCAAGGCATAGGCAAAAAGGAAATTTCTTCGCTTAATTTTCTCAGCTTCCTCATCTATATGTATATAGCACAGTTGAAATCAATTATATACCGGAATACATTTATTATTATTATATCATACAAATATTTTTAATCAATTTTTTTTTATTTAAATTCTTATAAAATATTTTCACTCACCGAGATATCTTTCCGTCTAAATTTTGAAAATTTTTTCTTCTTATTAAATCGTGTTCTCTTTATTCTTTAATCTCGTGATATTTTTCTTTTTCGATCGCATTTTCAATTTTACATTGAGAAAATGCACGGACATTTCGGGAATTTTATTTTAAGAAGTTTTGCTTTTTCCTTTTTCACGAATCAAGGGACGTGAAGAAAATCTCTGACGAAACTATCCACACACACATACATACACACATTCGGCAATATCGGTATTTACTTTTCTACTGGACCGCGTTTATCTGTAATAGATCGCAGCTATCGTTAAAGCTTCTAGATAAGTCCGAATTGAACCAGCATCGGTCCTTTGGGAACGGTTAGCCTTTTCCGGTCATTTTCTATCCAATCTTGACAGGCTCCAGGACCTCTATTAACCTTTTTTAAGCTTTATCGTATAGACGATTCAGATTTATAGAGCGAATTATTTTAGATTTACTATACTTATAACTAGAAAGCATAAAGTAGACTTGAGAATCTTACTGTTGATAAGAGGAAAAAGCGTTATCAAAATTTTATAGCGTATATGTTTCAAGAAAAAGATATTTAAATTGATATATTATTTTGATTTTAATGTTTTAATCCTTGTATCAATGCATAATTTTTATCTTGTCATCAATGTATTTCGAATATAAAGGCTCTTTGTATTTTATTTTATGCAGGAAAAAATTTCGACACATTTTTAACATCCAATCCAATCATTGACAAAAAAGTTAATTGCAAATTTAAAAATTGGTAAAAATTGATTGCGTCATCATTCTGATATTATTCCAAATCTTTTTCAAACTAATTAATTACTGCTATTTAGATTAATGTATAATTCACTTAAAAAAAGAAAAAATTTAGATTTAAAAACTTTTAATACAAACCAATTTATTATATAAAAGAACGAAGTACGAGTTTCTGAATGAATAATATCAGTTCTAAAAAATTACAGTACTTTAATTGTTGAGAAATAATTCAGACAATTGAGGAGATCTATGTTCGAGAGTTTTTAACGTATTTTTCTCCTTTATATGTATTTCCCTCGTTATTGTATAACGTGATCAATAATAAAAAACTCAATCTAAAGCATATATAGAAGAGAATTGATCTTGAATTTATATCAGGCTCACCAGTACTGTCATCGTCCTCTTGCAATAAATCTGGAGTGTGTACGCCGGTTGCTTGTAGATGAAGGTAGCCCAAGTGTCGCGCCAGGATACGACCTCCCAGACCGCCGATTTTCTGCCAATCTCGCTGGGACAATTTCAGCAATTCCTTTCCGGTCGATGGAAGTAACAACGCAGCGATCGGTTTTATGGAGAATGTCCGGCCGCACCAGGAGATCCACGAGGCTATGTGGCTGGAATTCCACTCGGATGGATCTGAAAGACGAATCCGAAGTCATCGAGACATGTTTCTCGGCTCGCTTGCGCGTCGATACACAGAGTTTAAGATGTAATTCGTCATTATTTCAGCGCCAATTAGATATTCACCGGATGGCACCATGATTTGTTCGGATTCCAAGCGATCAGTATCTTCATTGTTGAAGCGATCGTCATTTTTTTCGTTGCTCTCCGATACGATTACGCGTTCTATGACTTCGACATCGTTATCAGCTTGTTCTGTCAAACGAATCGTTTGTTTGTAATTCGAAAATACCTTTTTTTTATCATGCCACTTCGATCTTGAATCAGATGCATCAGACAATACAGAGTCTTGTGTTATCGCTCGATGACAGAAATTGCGTCTTTCATTTGCAATTTCGTAATTCATCATTTTGTTTCAGGTGATATATCGAAGAGGGAAAAATTCTCACCGTTAATCGTCGTTGACCACAAGTATCATCGACTGACTGACTCATCGATCAAGAAGGCGGACCTTCTCGAGCGAAGTCGCATTTAACAAAAGTCAACAAGAAGACTTTCGGCAGTCTCCACCTGAATTAAATTTGAATTAAGGTAACACATTTTTACTTCGATTGTTTGTTTTTTTTTTTGCACCATAATAATTACTCCAAAAATTTCGCGAATGCGATTCTTCTTTTACTTGCACTCACTTGTTATTTTCAAAAATATATATACAACTTTCTTCACACTTTTATTATCACGAACATTTAAACAATTATCTGTTTATCGTCGAGATCAATCGATCTCTAATTACAATAATTTTCTCGCTCGCGATACAATTCTGTCGCACGTGCGTAATATCGAGTAACACCGTAGTTATGTTGAAATGATCCTCCGGTCTGGCCATCGTCGTCGGCGATGTAAATGAAATGAAATCACGGACGAGGCTGAGGGTCGGGCCTCATCAGGCAACGCGAGGCAACCGAAGACCCGATTGGCGAAATATGAATTCCCAGAATTCAGGGCCATACAACAACTCAGCCACTCTCGATCAAGTCGCTTTTGGCTCCATGCTTTCGGCGCGCATCGTCGACCGCTGAATCACGCCTGATTGCTCATCTTACATGCTCTTTCTTCTTTTCTTCCCGCCGATTCCCACACGTTAAAGGAATATTACATTTTCCGTATCGTCGTTAATATAATAAGATAAAGTTATCGCGAATAATTGCATTTTCCATCGTGGATGCGATATATTTCTCTCATCTCGCGATATAACAAAATTTATTTCAATGGCTAAAAACGTTCTTTTTCTTATTCGAATAAAAATATTTTTATATTTGCTTTAAATAAAGAAGAATCGTATTTTTTGTTCTCTAATGTACAACTTTGCTGCGTGCATTTTGTATCGGAGAATAATAATTGCTATTGTAGATATATTATCTTTGAAATTTGCATAAAAACTTTAAATTTATAAAAAGAAGTATTAGTCATTTTAGAAAGCGGATGTATATATGCACAATATACACCTAACTATATATTAGGATGCCAGCCGGTTTTTTTATGGGATATGACTGTTAATATTCCAAGAATATTTCTCTCGTTTGAATTAGTCAGAGTAGAAATTAATTCTAAAGAAAAAAATTCAGAGCTTGTAAAGTAAATTGGATACAAACGTAGCCATGAGGAATCATTAACTTCAATTTTTTATGCAGCAGATAACGTTTAAATATTTATTAAGACATAATGTAACGTTTTAAAATAATGTGCGAGGTAAAGAAAACAGGATAAAAAATGCCTTGTTATCTTTTACAATTTTTCAATTTCGATTTTTTTAATAGTAATAATTATTTACATTTTGTGTGACACATCCTATAAAATATATGAAATAATAAGCCAAAAGAACAATATAACAGAATATATAAAAACTCTAAATATTCCAAATAATATTGCAAAATAATTCAATTAGGTTAAAAATAAGTATAGATTAATTAATACAGTTGTTTTATTTATTTACGGTATTATAAAGACATCTCTTTTTACGATTTACAAAATTGTAACAGTATGGAAATTGTAATATTTTATATGAGACAGAATTAATATAACCATCACAGTGAGTAACCAATATAGGGAAGTGTAGCCAGACTGTCATTATGTAAAGTGCAACAATTATACTACAATGCATATCATTTTTGTGATATACTAATATTATACATTACATATGTCAGTTTTTTTTACTTATTCACAATAATTATATAACTAATAGTAAATTAAGAAATTGCTAATGTTTTACTATTTCTTTGTTTGCACACATGTAGAAAATACAAAATAATTTTAGCAATTATACTACAAGAAATTAATTATACATATATTGGACACTTTCAAACTTGTAAGTTCAAAGATTTAGTGCGTTAACTATCATCTTAAACGATATTTAAGTAATTGAAACATTTTTTTCCCAAAGGTGTCCTGTTTTTGATGTCGATATTCTTATATATTAAATAACGACTAGAGTAAACATATACAATCATCTACAAAAGACAATAAATTAATAAATTATTGCCTTTTCTTAGCAGCTTTTACAGCCTTTGATTTTTGTTTCTCTCCTCCAGAAAGAAAAGATGTTATCACTTCAGACATTTCTGGCATATTATAAATAGTGAGATTATTTAATTGCTCCATTTCCTACAAAATACATATAGTTTGTGACTTTGTCAGCAAACAGATTACATAGATTGTAGTAATTTATAGGTAGTATATTAAATTCAATTATTCATCCTTTCCATCTTTTATGAAAGGTGATCTTACCTTTCTAGTTTCAGGGTCATTCATAATTTTTGGCAGAATCATAATTAAGACAAGTGGCAAAACCATCATTAATACCTAAAAAAAAAAAAAAAAGAGAAAAAGGCATTTTTAGTAAATAAAATAAAATACATATGTTCTCCGTGTATTGCTGAAAATTTTGTTACCATGGGATTAAATAAGAAGTCTGTCATTCGCCATTGCTCTCTAACTTGAAAGTATCGAAATGGTGCTAGAGGCCTCATTTTTAATGGATAAGGTACTTGAATCACTTGCGATGTTTGTATCAAGTTTACTTTACGAGCTCGGAATTTTCCTTTAGAATTGATTTCCACTCTGACTGGTTCATAAACATAATTTGGATTCACCACCTCAACCATGTACGATCCTGATGGAACATTGGAAATTATAAATGTGCCATCTTCCCTAAAATAATGAAACATTTAATTAATATAAGTGATTAATGTGAAAACATATAAGTAAATTTGTCGGAACATGCATATATAATCAACATAAATATACCTCAAAAAGCCATAATGTTCACCACCGTTGGCCATTACATGCGTCATGAGCTGCCATCCGCTAGAAGCAGTGTTGTCCCAGGGAAACACTTTTCCCTCGATCACGTACAGATCCGTAGACGGGTCCTCTTCATGTTCCGCGATGACGTATTGCTCGCATAAATTAGCGAAAATAAGGAACAGGCACAGAATATTCTTCATAACGAGTACGAGTAAGCAATCCGTTTTAACCTCAATTCATCTGTTGTGTACTAACTTTAACCAATATATATCTATAAAAATCTACGTCATGATAATCTGTCATACGTCAAATTTTGTCCGATGTGCTGATTGGTTGATACTTGAAAGAATTTTGACAACCATCTGACAGCCAATCGGTGCGTCCGATGACTTGCGACAAATGTGAACGAACCTTAAAACTTGTATTTTTGTGTATTCCTCTGCGCCTGCGCATTAGTGCTGCGCGAGAGTTCACGGTGATGTGTTAGGTTAAGTGGTACGAAAGTAACATCCGAACTTATAATCCGAAATGTTTTATTAGAAAGTTTATAATTTATCGTACTTATCGCGAAATTGAGTTACGAGATACACGCTATTTTGCCTAAACGTCTTGTTAACGACTAGCTTACAAACATGGACGACAAACTTCGGCAAATGGAGGATGAAATGAACAGGTACGCGATCTTAATTTTGATTTAGGTTATACAATTCTTGAATTCTTAATTTGATTTTTTATCGAAAATTTTATTCACTCGTTACTTTTTTTTTAATGAATTTTTGTCATAATTTGATGTAATGTAATAAATTATGACATTCGAAGTGAAAGTTAAGACACTACTTTACAAGAGATTAAAATTTTTATTGATATGCTGTTTTTTCAAAGTTTTGATACTTGATTAATTCCTTAAATGTAAATTGAGTAGATTTGAAGCTGAAATAGGAGGGCAGCTTGTAACACCAATTGTACGACCAGTGATTGGTGCGAATACATATAGTCAAGTCGCTAGGCAATTAGAGCAACATGAACTTCCAACACCGGTGGTTGCAGCTGCTGCTGCAGCGACATTGGCATTTCCTCCGATGATTGGATTTCCTCCACCACCACCACCCCCACCTCCTCCACCGCCTCCACCAATGTTAATTCCTCAACAAGTAGCTCGACAAGGTAAAAATCTCATATATATTCAGGGATGTGTGAATAAAGTAATGGAATTTTCTTTATAAAATAATATGGCAACAATTATTACAGGTACAGTTCCCATTACAACATATTCCTCACCTGCGCAAATAAGTAATCCATATATATCGAATATGGTTGATCCGTGTCTAAGTGCAACACCAAAAACATATGATTCTACATCAACACCTATGATCCATCCTGAAATCATTGAGCAGATCATTAATACAAAAATACCTGAAGATGAAGGTAAAAAGAAACCAAAAGTAAAGGGCGTCAGCACAGCTGCTGAATTAGCTATTAGCCAAGGCAAAGCAAGTTCTATTATGGCCAATGCTAGTGCAGAAGAGAGTCATCCCAAGGGTAAGGGTAAAAAGAATAAGAAGATTATAAGAACAGCAGGGGGCCAAACATGGGAAGATCCTTCTTTGATGGAATTTGATGAAGGTTAATAAATATCTAGTTAAAAATCTATTTGTTACACTCTTACTAAATTGTTTTCTAACAATATCCATATTGTAGATGATTTCAGAATATTTTGTGGAGATCTAGGAAACGATGTCACTGATGAAATGCTGGTGAGAGTATTTGGAAAATATCCTAGTTTTCAAAAGGCAAAAGTAATTAGGGATAAACGGACGAATAAAACCAAAGGTTTTGGATTTGTGTCTTTTAAGGATCCGCAAGATTTCATCAAGGCAATGAAAGAAATGAACGGTAAGCCAAGTATTTATTTATCTATTTTTTTATAGACTTTGCTTATGTTGGACAAACATCTTTTTTTATGATACAGATTTTATATTATAGATATTTTCTATAGCTTTCAAGTAACTATTGCTCACTTAATGCAGATACAATATATTTAGATACAAGTTTCTTTGACATAATATGTTAAAGAAAATTACTGTATAAAAAAAATGTAAAAATTACAAGCTTAGGTCATTAAAACGAATTGATTAGTTATAAGAAATATTGGCAATTGCATTAAGGGGCAACTTGTTAGCATATTTTTAAAATATATCGCAATTATCAATATGCCTTTCTCTTTCTCTATCTGTCTCCTTTTTCGTTCTATCTCTTTTTTCTCTTCTCTCTCTTTCGTCAAGATGATACTTCGATATCGAATATGTCATCGTTATTCGTTTTTATTTCCCAAATGGGCCCCAACCATACGATATGAAAAGTTGTGGTATGGTCCAATATTGTCTTCTCGGTTGTGCAGTAGATTGTCCATTTCGTGGAGCGATACGTGAATTAGGATGTTCTACGAATGATGTTTCGGTCGTCATGCCGGATTCTTGTCGTTGAGATGCTTGAAAAAATCATATATTTGGTAATTCGGAAAGTTGTAGCGTTTTTTAATTATGTCGATATTGTATTTATATTATCAACTAGTCCTTTATTAATATTTTTACGTCGACATATTTTAAAAAGTCATTTTAATGCATCTTTTACTGTAAGATTTGTTTAAATTTAATTATTTTAATATAATTTAAATTTATTTGTATAAAATGGAAGAAAAGAAAGTTTATATTTAGTTAAGTTTGTTATTTTTGCTTTTTTATTTCCGGAAAGACCTCGTGTAAACTTCAAAAAAGTTATGTGTGCTATTACAGAAACAATTCTGTTAAAAAATCCACTGTTCGGAAATAGTTTACTAAATTTAAAGTTGGTGATTTTAATCTTGCTGGTGCTGCATGCAAAAGATGAAATCAAGGTATTAATTGAAAACAGTCTACGATATGCTACACGAGACATTGCGCATATACTAAGAACATCGAACAGTATCGTATATGAACAGAAATTAAATTTAAACAGTCTTAAAATTTGTAAAAGAGAAACGTTACGAACTTTCCAAATAACCCAATATTTTTTCATTACTTTATAGTATTTTTTTCATTAGTTTTTTATTATCATATAATTTATAATATATTATTTATAATTCATAATATATATTATAATATAATTTTATTATAATAAAATTAGACTTTCTCCGCGTTGATATCGTATTATTAATACTTACTCGACGTGGCTGTAACTGCGTGATTCGATCGCGGATTCATGTACAGAACGGAAAACGGCATGCCACCGGCGCCCCAACCACGGGACATAAATACATCCTTCTTCGTGATTTTAGTCTGTTTGTTAATTGGTGCTCGAATTTCCCGTCCTGCTTCCGACATGCTATCTTTCCACGATTTTAACACTAATTCGGATACCGGGTTTGCGATTTGACGCCGAGATTGCAATCTGTCAAAATATACGAAAAAAGACATTTGATATATAACAATATTATCGATTATAAAAATATATAAAGTAAATTATATATGTGTATATTACACACCTCGAGGCATCGCTGTCTACTTGTTCGGGTACAATGACGATGCCATCGTACGTTTCTGATTTCGGTATCCATCCCCAGCATTTCCCATCGGAGGAACACGCTGTCTTTATTACAGATGCAAAGATATTTCGACTCCAAATGTCTTTTGCTTCTACTAATGGCGCTGCCATTGTACACGATATATTTAATATGAATATTAAGATAAATCTAGAAACCATCTCCATTCTTATTAACTATTTCGATAGTCGCGCGACACTTCAGCGTGTCGTACAATCAATTTCCAATTATCGTCGTAATATCGCTGCGCTAACGAAAAGTCGCGTTTGCGTTTGCGCTCGCCTTTGCCTAAAAAAAAGCAAATAAAATACAGATAAATTTATGAAGCTGATTATGCGAAAAGCCAACAAACATTCTATCGCGTATGATCGGTTTAAATTGAAAATAAAAGATATAATATTAAAAAAAAAAACAAATATAAAACAAATATCACACATACACGAGCGAAAGAGAATTTTACTAAAGTAAACCACTATCTGTTTATATATCTATTTCTAAAAATTGTACTTTTAAAATAGATAATTCGTTATAGGCCGTTCGCTTTCTGTAGATATTTTGTTTCCAGCGTTCTGGAAAATGGATGAGACAAACATCGTGAAGAAACATCCCCCCGAAATTGTTGGCATAGTTTTAGCGTTCGAATTCTTTTCAAAGCGGCGTTCTCGATGAAAGTAAAAGTCAAGAAATGTGTAAGGAAGTTTTTTTTGGTATCGTACGCGCACGTTTGATATACCCTGAAAGAGCGAAGAGGCTCGATTCGATCAATCATTCCGCAATGATAACTTTGTCGACAGACAAGTATGCTGTTTACGTTCTGCCGCGAAATTTCTGCAACGGGTGATACTATTTATATAATGTCGGTTCTAATTTTAGCACCACGCTAAAACGTACACACGCATACTCGCGTGCGACACACGACGATTGCTTAAACGAGCCTGCGATAGAAAAGAAAAATATATACTTTTCAATATTACGTTTAAGCGAAAGAGGACGGAAGAGTATCGCGAAACATCCGGCTTCATTCGGTGTGCGATGACATTTTTATGAGACTAAAAAGATACGCGATGTAGGTGTCCGATGTATCATTTTTCGTTGTGATATCACACTTCATATACATACTTTTAACACGTGGCTGTACGCGAGAAATAGGAACTGAGAATTAGGAAACACTTTTAAAGAATATCGATAAATCTGCAAAAGAGATTATTATGATCTATTACATTTTTATTGTGCTATTTTAAATATTGTCTTATAGTTTGTGTTTATCTTTTATATATTTCTGTCTTCTTTCTTGCACATATTAGCACAATGTGACGCAAAAGATACATGTGGATTGTATACGCAAAATTATTTTATCTTTACTAGGATTTCATTACTTTAACAAAAGTTGAACGAAAGCATTATTATTATTATTTGTTATAATATGCGAAAATATTGAATCAAGTCGATGGTACATGGTTGAATATTTGCGATACTTTATCACGTGATGATACATAGTATCGCATCTACACTCTATATATAATTATCGCACAACGATACATTAACACATCTACATTCTATATATAATTGGCAAGATTTTTTAAAGATTCTAATTATGGCAAGTGCAAGGTGTAGCGCACAACAGAAATCACCCTCTCTCGCGAATATATAATTTTACTATTCAAACAAATGCAGATAATTATTTGGGAATCACCGTTGAAAAATTTTGATGATAAATGTATATAAAACAATTATAGTAAAAGTCAAAAGAAAATATCCGCAAAAAAGATATATTGGGGAGTACCGCGCGACGATGACGTTTTATGAAAATTCCTAATATAATTTGTTTTTCAGATCGAATTTTCGAATCGAAGAAAAGAAAGAATAAAAAAAATCATACCTTTTCGGAATACACGGATCGTTCGTTCGTTCGTTCGACTTTCGCGTCCACTTCCTCGGCATACACTCTCGGAATGAACTCGGGACGGGACCGTACTGTGATTATACACCCGGTTCCCGGTTAACCGTTGGAGTGGATACGACCAAGTGCGATGGGAAGCTGTAGCGTTCTGCTACTCATTCAACAACCCCTACCCTTCTAGTACGAATTCTTGTAACACCCCACCCTTTTTGCAACAACCAATCGAAAATCTCGCGGTGGGTTGCGAGAGTCGAACAGCTTTTTTTATTTGCTTATCGTCATTTCTCATCCAAACTATCGTAATCATTATCGTGATTTTTCCCTTTTTTCTTTTACAAATTTTCGGATTCCTCGCGCAGATAGAACAAATGAGATGTAGGTATTTTTTTCCATCTTGCATAACTTACGAGTGTAAATTCCTGCATGATTCCGAGTAATACTTTTAAAAGAATATCTTTTCAAATAACTCTTCTCAATATGTCACAATAATCATAATATATAACGACATAGATTTAACAAGTTATAACACGGCAAAAAAAAGATTGATTTTGCGCGATAATATCGTGAGATTCATTCCTTTGCGATACGTGAAAAAAGTTGCAAAAATCTTCTTTATAGGAGGTATATTTCAATACATGTTTCATTAAGACAATCAACTGATAATCATAGTGTGTAACACGAAATACAAAACGCATACGGTTCTTTCAGTTACATACAATTATTCGAATATTTTGGTACTCGAAGATGACATGACGATTTAAGAGACGAGAGAGTATGCAAGGAACGTTGTAAAATTGCGTTATTTATAGTGATTTGCCAAGTTATACGCTCGATTTTCGATGCCTGTAATGTATCTGTGATAATAAAAGATCGCGCATTTCGCGATCGGAAGATGGGTGACTCATACGGTGGTGAAGATTTGTCGAAATTTCGTAGTCGCGGACGAATACGTGGGATTCTGTGGAAGGATTTATCGTGTAACGTGGAATGCGTTCTCCCGCCATATGATGTCAAAGAAATCGAGGTCTCTCTTTTATTTGAAAATATTCTAGAATATATATAATTTCAAAATATTTCGTATATATAAAATAATATAAGAGAGAGAAAAACTTTATATTATTTATACGAGATAAAAGTATATAAAAAATAAAGTAAAGAGAGAAAAAAATAGTGAAAGAGATTCGCATTTAGCTACTAGTAGTATATCGTAGAATCGAGTAGACGCAACAAGTAGTTTGAACGAACGAGCGAGTGAACGTGATGCCAGGTTGAGGATATCGCGTGTGATATGCTCATATATAAATGTACACATACGTGGGCGTGTTTATGTATAAAATAATTTCGTGTATATACGTATAAATATTCGGTGCGCGTCCGTTTTTTTGTCGAAAGCCCGGATTCAAATTCGGTCAAAAATATAGAATTTATTCGGTTGTTCTCGAAAGTCAAATTGCAAACCATCGAAAAATATATCCTGCCAAAGAAAAGCTACCCCTCTTTAATTCGAAGTAAGTTCCATGTATCTCTGTGAAAAAATTATAAAAGCGCATTCCACTCTTTGACAAGAGATTACATATTGGAAATATAGAAAACATATACGAGGAGTTCTGGATATGATGAACGATAGAATGGATATATGAATCCGTGATTGCTTGAGGTACTTGCTTGAGGACCGAAGAGATGGACTTCGCAAGTGCAACCTCGCATTACGCTGATAAAAAATTTACACACCACTGATCCATGTTCTCCTCTTCGTATGATAATTTTTGTTTCTCGAATATAATTCCCATTTAAATGATATTTGTATTTTAACATTTTTTCTATATTCTCATATTGAAGAGCACGAATATGTTTTTTTTATATATTAACATTACAGCTAGGGAGTAATTTGAGAGATAACATTTCGAAACCAACAATGAAATAGAATATTTTTTGTATATTCTCGAATCAATACGATCGCGTATTGGTAAATGCAATGTTTGTTGCCACGTGCGACAACTTCGACTTTTGCAAAAATGCGTTTAAACGGGAAAGAATAATAAACTTTTATTACACTTTATATGCAACATTCGAATCCTATGAGCGGTTTAGTAATTTAAAATTTAAAGCGTAATAGAATGAAAATAGCTTTGTATTTCACACCATCCACGCACGGAGAAAATATGACAAATATTGAATTATAATTTTAGTAATCATGGAACATATTTATACAAAACATATAAAAGAGATGTTTAATAATTTTATATACATACATATTAAATATTTTATAAAGGAGTATTTAAATTTATTCAAATATTTTTAATGCACAAATAAATGCATAATCGTTAACAAACAATAAAATAAACGTTAAAATAATTCATCATCTTTATTCCAGTTTTACAATAAATGGCGTAAAAGCGGTGTGCGTCCGCTTTATATTTTTCACTTTATATTTTAATTTGCATTGTAAAATTTTCTCCGTGCAGAAAGAAAATGACAAAGAGTTCGACGCGTGGGCGATCAAGAGAGAAAGAAAGAGAAAAGGAGAAATGGGAGGACTGTAGGAGGTCGTGAGCCCCTTCGACGTAACGCGTTCTCTTGGGCGAAATTCCTCATTGATAGTCCGGCTATTCGAAAGGATATTTTTGGCCTCACGAACACTATATCCCGCGTTCTCGGGATTTCGATGCAACTGCAACTGCCAGTTACTGCACAAGCCGGCTTTTTTTCAATATTGTTGACTCTATAGCATTTAGCTTTAAGCGTTTTACAAAAGGTACACAAAATATGATAGATAGATACTGGCGAGGCTGCGTAACATAAAATACCATGTATGGTATACATTATATAATAGTGTACTTTGTGCGATGATGGACGACGGTGGAGAATTTGCTTTTTACATAGATCGCAACTCCGGAATGCTTTCAAGTTCTTTGTGCGCCATCGTAAATTTGGTGGGGTTTTCTTTTATAATCGTCGAGCCGTAACACATTGTAACGAGACGTCCGAAAAAGAGGAAAAATGTGAAGGAAGTTCATTCGTGAACGCTATAGGAAAGAGTAAATTTGAAGGATAGTATAGAATAGAATATATAGTATAGAATCTCTCTACGATATTTACATTATATTCAATACATTTTATCAGCTCAAAGAAAAAACAGGTCGCAAGAAGGATTGCAGTTCTCGCATTCTGAATTTTAATTACGAATTTTAATCATACTAACCTTGATAAATTATTTAATTTAAATTGTACGTTTATAAATTGTGTGAATATATATATATATATTTATATATATATATATTATATATATTCATACTTTTGAATTTTTTACGAGGAGGTCCTTTTTCTATTTGTCGTAAAAAATTCAAAAGTATGAATGGGAATTTGAGAAGGAATGAATGGCACGTATGCAATACATAATCCATGAATGGTCGATCAATTCTTATTCGTTTTCTTTTCTTCCCGGAATACATACATACTTAGACGGATAAGAAAACGGCATGCGGAAATGTGACGTCATTTGTCACCTGTTGCCGTCTGAAAGCCGATAAGCTTAGCTTTTTGTTACTAGTATTACGTTATTGTGGAAAGCATCAGTATTAAACATGTGGCGCTCAGAACGAAAATTCTCACATATCAGATATCCGATTTATATGTGACGCAATAGACTCTCTATTGATAATTTTGATTTAGCTACAATATGCATATTTTTAAACAGATCGTGGAAAATTGGTGGATTGATATATGACGGCGAGAAAGCAAAGCTGTTTATTGAATAAATTTTATTAATTGACTCGTGTCATTTGTTTGTTTTAGGACGATACGTAGGATCGCGTCCGATTAAACTTCGAAAGAGCACCTGGAAACAGAGGAATCTGGAAACCGTACGAAAAAAAGAGAAGGAGAAGCAAGCGTTAATCGGTCTGCTTACTGGCCGATGAAAGAGAGAGAGAGAGTAAGAGACGAGATAAAGTTCTCATTATATTACATTGTTCAACGACAAGATTATCAATTTGATCGCCAATCGTATCAATTCGACTCTTGATTGCACACAAGAACAAATACGAAAGTCGTGAATACGATTACGAGGATAATATTCACGAGTTTCATCATCAGCCACATTTCACAGAAGTATATGTCAATAAATTCATATAATTACAAATCTTGTTACAATCTTATTTCTTGATATTATTGTATAGGAATCGTTACAGGGTATTTTCTTCTACAAGATAGACGATTTACAATGAAGAAGAAGAACATACCGATACCAGATATCGAATTTTTTTCCTATACATACACATTGTATGCACATTATGCCGATAAAGGACAATCGACAGATCGATTAGGACGACAAAGATCGAGATTTAGGCTAATTTAGGGCGTGTGAAGCAGCATATATACGCGGCGTAAGATGGAAAAAATGTCAGACCATTATCCGGATGAACGTGGAGAGGCGGAAATCGAATCGCTCGGGGTAATAGAGATATTTATCAAATAGAATCATTATGTTAAGAAAAAAGAGCGTTAGCGTTGCGTAATTCGTTGATGTCAAAACGCGTCGTTCGCGCGTGATGACGAGATTTTTTTTCTACGAGAACCTATCGTAGGTATACGAAGGCGAAAGAAATGAGAATGGCGAGAGACACGGCAACGGGAAGGCTTTACTGCCAAACGGCGACATGTACGTCGGCCAGTATCGCAACGGGCTTAGATACGGTAAAGGTGTCTACGTGTTCAAAAACGGTGCCCGGTATAACGGCGATTGGAGGCACGGATGCAAATATGGTCAAGGGGTCTTCTGGTACCCTGACGGAACGCGATACGAAGGTACAAAGACACAAGAATACAAAAATACGAAAATAGGATCCGAATCAGACTCGAGGAAGTTAGGTCACGATATACGTGCGTCCACATGCGTATACATTCATACAATTATTTTTATATCGTATACGTCAGAAATCTAGAGAGAAACCGTGAGCTGGAATGCGAGCCGATCGCGCGACAAATCCATAAGATTTTCCATCGAGAGCTTCGGCGACTCGAATGCTTTATTATTAAATACGCGATATTTCTATTATAAATAACAATTCTATACAAATGTTACTGTCTGTAGGGGAATGGAAACGCGACATGAGACACGGCTTCGGCGTTTATTATTACGCGAATAATGACATCTACGAAGGCTCGTGGAAGAAAAATCTTCGCCACGGTATGGGAACGTACTTGTACGCTAATACAGGAACGAAATTTATGGGCACGTGGGTGGAGGATCGTATGCAAGGAGCTGGCCAGCTCGTTCACGCGCGTCATCGTTTCCACGGTTTTTGGAAGTCGAATTTGGTACATGAAATATACGACAAATTAGAATGGAAAATAAAATTCGGACGATCAGGATTGATTGTATATTCACGAGTCTCGCGAGTATAGTGCGTCGTTTCGTTAAATAAAACATAGTAGTGTAGAAGATACATGCATTTGGGTAAACTAAAGAGAAACGTTATCTCATAATGTGCAGCCATACGGACGCGGTTGCTTCACTTTTGAAAACTTATGCATGCAACACGGTCATTACATACATATGAGAGATCCCGCATACGATGACCAGACTTGGATGTATACAGATAAAATTGCGGAGGTAAAATTCTTTTTCATTTAAACCACGTGCGCGAGATGTCATCGTCAGAGAACTTTGTTTTATTTTTTATCATATTGCTTGTTGTTAAAAATATTCTTTTCATTATCATCATCATTATTATTACGGAGATACATTTTCTCCGCAATCTACATAAATAGATAGAAGTTAACGTGAAAAAAACTTTCTCGTAACGAGAAAACTGATCGGTTTTTAACAAAATTATTACATTATAATAATGCAGGAAGGCGACGAAGAAGACAAGTCGACAACGACAGAAGGACGACTCTCTCCAAGGACAGGTATCCTGCCGATGTGGCGTGCCCGTTGCGTCACACCTTACAATCCGGAGTTATTGCCTCCAGAAGCAGCACCTTTGCGAGAAGTAAGTCACATGTCACGATCGACTGGATTTTTATTTTTAATCCAGTATATCGTGTCATATTCAAACGAATTATTTTAATATCGCGTGTCTCGACGCTCCTCCCGATCGATAAAATTTGCGTTTTGAGTGACAAAAAGGGCGAATTTCTGTAATTCGAAGCGTAGACGCATTTGTCTCACGTTTGGGATGATGGATTAATATTGAAAAGCGCGAAACGGGAGTAATTCGCGCTCTATATCCGGTCGCCCGTTCTCGACCGAGAGTTTCCTTAATTCCGCTGTGTCTGCGATGCGTCATATCGGAAGCGGAAACGGATTCTTCCGGATTAAAATGAATTTTAATCGATCGCACTTTGTACGAAACGCGCGCGCGAGAGAGGACTAGAGGAATATCCGGTCGCTATTTCCAGCGCGTCGCCAGACTGCGGACTTCCGTCAATCATTAATGGAATTACGATATCCGGAGGTAGCCGTCTTTCTTTTCCCTGTTTATGTCGCTTTTCATTGCCGTGATATACATCACCGGTATCCGGTTACGGCGCGCAAATAAAACCTGTTGTAAAAAATATATATCTAAAAAAAAATTGTGTGTCTTATGATACGATATCGTTGTCATTCGCATAGGCGTCAACGGAATCCTTGATCGATGACAAGAGCGAGGATGATGTCTGGCCAAAGATCGAGCGGGATTATCCGGAAGAGGAACACGAAGAATATTATCAAGGAGAGGCGTCGTCTCCAATTGACAGTCCTTAAGTGTCCTGAAATGGCAAACTGAGCCGATCGGTCAACGTCTAGTATTATATATTATTTACGTACGTATCTTTTGCATCATTATCAAATCACATTGAGATTGATATAATTTTATGCGCACACATATATATTTTTTTTTAAATTATGCAAAATGAAATAAAAAGAAAATGCGTGATTTTAAGCGCTTTATTTAAGAAATTATAACAACGAATGTATATGTATGTGTGTGTGTGTGTATATGTGCATATACGTTCTTGCTACGCAAAACGTAGGAATGCTATTACATTGTCGGAAATTATAATCTCGTTACAATACTTGTAATAATTATAATAAATGCATAGAGATACGATGTTCGCTCGATCGATAGTCTTACATTCAAGTCATACGTATTTACAATCTGTCCCTAGCTAGTACAGTGTCGAACGTGCATTATGGTGGTTAGTGCACATGATCGAATTATATACATATCCCTTTTATTAAAATGTTTACGCGAAAATTGTGAAAGCACAGCAGCTCGGTTAATGTTGCTCGTTGGGGGCGCGCAAGCATGTTTGTAAAAGACGCAGCACACGATTATATCGTGTCCATATATGCTTATTCATACATTTACGTCTACATCCTATGCTTACTTTTTATACTCAATAATTACGTTCACAACGTAAGGACTGAGGGAGGAAGACTAAATTTCAGTCGGAAATTTGATAAAGTCATACGTATTAGTAAAAGAAAGGGTCATATTATGTATATGTGTATAAGTATATATATATATATATAATATGTACAATAATATATTATACACTTGGTAAATACAATTGTTTAATCGAATCACAAAATTTCACATGTCAACATCGTCATATATTGCACGACGCGATGGAGCGTACTGATTTTTTTGAAAAATAGCAAGCTCCAACAATACTGACGAATATTGCGTCGTTTTTTAATGTAATTATAAAGATTGTTGGAAAAATCAAAACAGAAACAAAAAAAAACATGAATCTTTGATCGCGTGTTACGCGACTTCCTCTTTCTATAGGAAAACGAATCGTATCGAAACGTAAAGGTCCAATAAAGATTAGAGGCATAAAAGGACGGAGGAGAGAGGGCAGAATAAATATATAGAAATTGTCACGCGCACAGTTCGCAGTCTTTTTAACAATAAGTTACGAGCAAGCGAAGTTACGTGCGTACGCTATTATGTAGTCAAGTCCGTAAAGTGCTTAATACAGATAAGAAGTATATCGAGAGAAGGATGTGCGATGACTAACATTTATGTTATCGTAGAATTATGTTAGACCGTCGTACCAAAGCGTATCCCGCCATGTAAGCGTTAGTGCGAGCTTGCACCCAACTCGGCCTTAAAAATCCCGGACGAGTTTATAACGAATTTAATATAGAAACCGCGATAAAGCGCGCGCTGACAGGCGAGCAACACTTTGTTGATAGCAAAATACTTTGGTCTGTGACTCCGCGTCTATCCAACTTGGCACAAGATAAAAAAATTCGCGAGTAATCCGCGAATAAGATGTACACACAGCCGGTCGAAGTTTTGCTTTGCTTTCTCTCGCCTACCCCCTTCGTTCCTGCGTCGAGAGGTTGTCCAGACCGAGAGACAAACTTGACTTCGATGTTTATCGTTTTATTATTTTCCTCCAGTTCTCTCGATTCTACGATGTCGCGAAAATTACGTCCCGCGACAAAATTGAGTAATTTACGGGGAATAATCGCGCTTAGCCGTGAACAGTCGTTTGAACGATTTCTCTTGTTCGAAATTCGTACCGTGCGCGAGAGTATTTTATGTGCGTTTAACGTGCTAACGATTTCCTTCGAAATAGTCGTTTAAGCATTTCAGGTACGTGAAAGGTGGACGAAATTTTTGCGCCCTTCGTGAAGCGACTCGGTGGACGATGTTACGCCATTCTCAAGTGAGTGTGACTTTCGTCGCTTTGCTCCCCAAATATGAGATTCATATATTCGTTATTTATATACAAATCGGAGCTTTCCATATTATTTTTAATATTCTCTCTTCCGAGCTATTATTTAATATCTAGTATGTTTAAAAGAGTGAGCACATTACCTCTTCTCTTTTCGTATTTATCGATCCCAGATAGGTATATGATGTTCTCATGAGAGATGGAAAAATCATATGCGTTCTTAGTATCCGTAACGTTTTTCTCCTTTTATCAATAAATACGGTCGTGTCAAATATGGAAGATCCTAAATGTATGTCTCATGGATGTCTGTTTCATGGATGCGTTTGGACAAAGCGATTAAGCCACACTCAAATCTCACATCAAGTCCGGCGATGGTCTCTGAAACGCGATGCTAGCTACGGAAATACTGCACAGGCCGGCCGTTATGATACCCAGACATATGTAGACCGATGTAATCAGCCAGAAGGCGAATAAGTACAATGTCTTGTTGCAATACTTCCCCAATGCTGGATCATAATTCGGTTCGTATTCCTTGTATACCCACATAGAACCTGTAAAATATAATAAATTTATCAAGTACTCTCGCAAACAAGTACAATTAAAAGCAATTAATAGTAAGAGTAGTTTACCAATAATGAACCATCCGAGCATAAAACAATTGATCAGAGTCTGTGTAGGCGATTGTCTGATTCTTTCTTCGTCTCTCTCCTCCTGACGTTGGCGTACTCTGGCCGACAGAGTTAACAATTGTTTAAATACTCCAAATCCTCCGCCCACTAACAAGTACACAGGAATATATTCACCCTGTGGACAGTCATAAAGATAAAGTCCACCGATCACCATCATACAGATCGGTACCACTATTGTAACTCCAAGAATGATGGTACATCCGACTGAAAAATGTCAAAATTATTACTCAATCATGCATATCCAATATTACATAGCTTCTACCTAAGATTTCAGTAGACAACTATCGATTCACTTAATAAACATCATTTCACTCACTTGTGCCCAAGAGTAAGAAAACGATGTTTTTCAAAAAGTCGAATATTCCCTTGGATATTTTACGTGCCTCTCTCATACGACCGAATAAAGAATCGTAAGACGGTGGTGGTGCTATGAAAAAGACAGAAGATAGCCCTCCTGACTTGAACAAGCAAACGAGACGCACGAGAACATTTGAATTAATATAGAGTGAAATGAATTAGAATCTACCATTGGGGTCTATCGCCTCCTCGTACGAGGGCGGCGCGCCGCGTTCGTTGGTCAACGTGGAAGGGTGTCCCAGGGGAAGATTTATATTGTGGTAGGACGGCGGCGGGGTGCAGCAGGTCGACGTGATCTGCGCGCTCGTGCCGGGGTTCACGCTCTCCGCCGTGGGAGACGACGTGCTCGCGACGTGACAGATCGAGCTCAGCGGCATCTCCTCGCGGACGGCGCCGGCTGTCGTCCTGTTCCAATACATATCCCCAGGTAGTTCCGGGAGACACGGGCCCCAAGTCTGCACACGAGCGAAGGTCCGCTCTCCCCGTACTAAGTTACACGTCAGTTTACATTTGGCTGTCACCTGTCACCAGACGCCTTTCCGCGTATAACCTAAAAATCAGAATTCGGGGACGCTTCCTCGTGCGCGGGAGAGAAGACGCTCGAATTCCGGGACTCTGCTGTTTTACCCGCGAAAATTCGTCGCTCGCGCATTTATGTTGGTTTCGTACAGGTGGGACGAAAAAAATGAGAAAATTTTTTTCGGCTACGCGCACGTTTTCGCGAAACGCGTTTTAATGTTGTCGCTTTGACGTTTCTTTCCTCACTTCAGATCGTGGTGGCGTCGGCGTCGGCGGCAAGTCAGGAATTTTGCATAGCGACTCTGGACGGACCGTCGTCGAATCACGCTTCATCGTTATTCGAACTCCGCTGTTCGATCTCTCGGAGTATTCTCGTCGCGAGGAGTCACGCCCGTGGTATGTATACATTTATGTATGTATTTAATTAATTGCGCATGCAGTGCACGTAGTAAATCCGCAAACCGTAAAGTATTAACCTTGACTTGAGAAATGCGACGAACAACTTCAGTCGAGAATCGCGAGAAATGATTGTATATATATATTTATTTTTCAAACTAAAATCATTCGTTCGTATATCATTTAAAGTAAAAAGGGCATTCAAAAATTATCTAAACTTTAAAATTTATAAAAGACTAAACCCAAAAATATCTTGAAAGTAGAAATATTGTAAAAAAAGATACTAAATATATCTATATGTATATATAGCTTACCTTGTTTTTTTATATCTTTGAATGCTGCTACAAGTTGTTTCGTACATGGCGTTTTAATGCAAATGAAAAAGAATATTAAAAAAAAATAAAATCTGTAAATATTTTGAGAGATGTATGAAACTTTTTTCTTCTATTATATGATTATTATTATATCGTCCTGATTCGAATATTAGATTGTAATTTTTAGAAGAATTTTATATATAATTTATATAGTGATCATTATATATAAATAAGAATAATAAAATAAATCAATATAAAAAAATGTGTAAAAAATTTGATTGAACGTACTTGCGGAAATTTTATCTTTACCCGCCAAAATTATTATTGCAGTTTTGGGACACAATAGAGAAAATATTATTAGGAATAAATATTAAATATTAAGAATAGAAATAATTGTTTTAAAATAATTTAAAATCGAAGAGACTAATATACAAATACAAATTTGGATATAGAGATTTTATATTCTTATTACAGTCTCTTATACTCGAATTTGTATTTATATATCAGTCTTTTCGATTTTATTATTTTAAAATATTTCTATTCCTAATATTTAATGTTTATTCCTAATATCTTCTCTATTATACACCTAAAACTGCGTTAATAATATGATAATTTTGGCGGGCAAAAATAATTTCGTATAATCAAATTTTTACAGTGTTTTTCTTATATTGATTTATTTTATATTATTCTTATATAATGATCATAAACTATATTATACATAAAATTCCTTTTCGAAAAATAACAATCTGATATTCGAATTGATAAAAAACATCAGGCGATGTAAATAATTATATATGCATAACAGAAGAAGGGCCTTAGCTTTTATTCGAGTTCAATTAGTTCTATGATTATTATATCGATATATAAAACTATGTTAATTTGTAGAACAATTAAAAAATGAAATTTAAATATAAAATCAGTGTCCAAATTTTTACATAAGAGATGCTAAAGAAATAAGTGTATTCAAATTAAATTCTTAAATATAATACACGTTTCCATATTTAGCAATTTATATATATATATATATATATATATATATATATATATATATATATATATGCAAGGCAATCTATTTTTTTATACATCGAGATTCATTTTCACGATTCAATTATCATGAAAGATATATCATGCGGTTTGTAATAATTATTACAAATTAACTAATTATCGTAACTATTACCGTTCATGTCGAACGATTCAAATTTATTTCAATCAACATCATATACATTATATCTCAACGATTTGATTTTGCCATTTGCGTTACCTTATGAGTTTGAATCAGTTTCTAATGTTTACATTTTCTTTCTTACTTTCTAAAAATACGACGTATCAGCACTAATATCTTTTATTTATTTATTTGTTGCTCTCTATAATGTTCCCTCAACAAAAATTCGACGAGTAAAATATTCGAATAGTTCGGTCCCCTTTTCATACCGTGATAGGATTAAATCAGAGCTGAGAATTGCAATTTTCGGATCAATTTTCAATTGCAAGTTGATATCCGTCGCTTTCGCTCGCTAGAGTCCCTTTAATAAACTCCGGGGAGAGGGAAGGCAGAGTGGTTATCAACTATCGGAAAATCGGCTCGAAACTTTCCAGTTCTGGATTAAATGAACGCAGAAATAATCGAATCGCTAATTCGAGATGTAACAAAATTGTCCGCGAGAATAAATCTGTCGAGCTTTTAGAACAACTTTCTTCTTCTCGAAGCAACGATTCGAATCGATTCATTTGCTTCTTACACATCGATAAGTTTATATAGTTTACAATATATTCGCCAATTTATTTTTCTGCCCCGTTATTTTATTCGCGATGATCGGTCTTTCGCTATTCGGAGATTAACGAGAGATTATCAAGGTAAACGATTCGGTCAGCTCGCTCGATATCATAATTGATATGTGTAATTTAATCGAACATACAATCTCTCTCGCATTATATACTTAGATTTTTTTAGGAAAAGAACGAGATATTATAATCATTTTCGTGCGCAGCCGATGGCTGCTCTTTCGCAATGTTTATATAAAATAGTCGCTCTATTGTATACAAGTTATAGTCTTCTAATCTAATTTACATACAGGACAACTTAATCGAGTTACCGTAAAACGCTCAAAATATCACATATCACTCTTGGTGGATCTAATCGTTAACGTAGGAAAGAATTAAAGGTGCGCGATATTCTAAGAAAGATATGTAAGAACATATACTCGATAAGAGAGAGAGATAAGAGATATGTAACAAAATATCTTGTATATTTTAAAATGTCTCAAATATTTTTTGTAATATATTATTCGTAAATTGTATATGTATGTGTTGTAAGGTTCTCTTTAGTAATTATAGTAAAACTCTAAAGTAATCCTTTTTTTTCTCCATACTTGCTAGAGACATTTAATATCATAGATATGATTATTAATTATCCAAAACAGTGGTGCTTTATTTATGTTTCATGTAAATATACAAAAATATGCCAAGTTTGATTTATTATACGAAAATTAAAGCGTATCAACTTTTCGAGATAAAAATAATTACTGTACATTTTAATGGAATTTTTTATGATATTTTATTTGTATCAAATAATATGTTGATACCGTTTGGAGTTAAAATCATGATATAACGATTGTATTTTTTGTCGTATATATATTTCACATGCGAGAAAATTATGAAATGTACGCAGAACACGCAAGTTTTGCGTACGTCTGTTAAGTGTGTGTATGTATGTGTGTATATATGTGCACGTGTGTGCATATATCTACGTATTGCTTTGTAAATAATCTCTAGTACCTATATATGTAGGATGCCCTGTATACGAAATATCAAATGTCCTTTTAATAGCAGACTAATTTCGAGTCAAGTTTCTCTTACATTTAGCCAAAATATCGAAGAAGGTCATCATTTTTCGCAAGTTTTCAATTTTCTCCGTCGTATATATAACTTTAACTAGGCCTCGAATATTAAAATGTTTAATCTTTTAATTCTAGTTAAAATAAACTAAAAAATATTTTGTAAAAACTTTAGCTGGTGAAAAATCCTTTCTTTTCAATAATCTATCATTCGAAAATTATTGACATTTACGTTGAGGAAAAATCGGTTTCGAATTGGCCAGAGGGTTTGCTACTAAAAGAACATTCGACGACTTTGTTTTGGGATATCCTATTGTATTGTATATGCGAAATACGCATACTAGAAGACTACGTTGCGTGTGTGCCCATCGCGCATAATAATATATAAATAGATCGAGGTTGGTCCACTCACTTGTAAATATGCTAGGACATAATTGTTCCACAATATGCATCTACCGCTTTGACTTGACATAGACACATTGTTCCGACGATTCTATATTTGAATGTATAATATTCATCTATAGATAAATTTCTCATATAATTTAAAGATTTGGACTTGATTAATATATATTCGCTAACTTTGATTACGAGTATTTCGAGTCGAAATCTTTGATTAAAATTAAGACGAGCGTCGAAAGATTGAAATGTGATATGGTAAATTGGGAAAATTGGCGCGTTAACTCTCAACGTAAGAGATATGATTTCGGGAGAATTCAAATTAGATTATTTGGTACAATGTTAGTAGTAGAATTAATTAAAGGATTTTAGCGGACTCGAATGATAAAGAGTCTCCTCCGTCCTTCGGGGCGTCAAAGTCCCCTTTTGTTTCGCAACTTGGAAATTTAGTATGGCAGCGGATTCTGAGGAGAGCATAGAAGAGCGTTGAAAAAAAATGGGAGGAGTATCGAGTGCCACTAGAGAATTCTTGCTGAGGGGTGTAAAAAGTGAAGCTGAAATTCCCTCTTTTCTTTATCCCCGTGCTCATCGTCCATTACATCGTGTTCATTATGGTGCGACTTCTTAGTAATTTTCGGCATTAGAGTCTCGAGCTCCTGCTCTTTGATTGTCACCAGCTATATGTTAGAAGTTTTGTTTCGAGGATATTTCTCTCAAAGTAGGACAGGTTTAGGCCTCATATTAGGCCTTGACGTGTGTTCCGGCGTTATTGTTGCGACAATTTATCGTTATCAGCTATTTTTTGTAAGGAATAATTAAAAGAGAGACGTGCATGCTAATGATTAATTAATGAAAGAGACTGTAAAAAATTACGATAAATAAAACGCGCGTAATAATAATAAAAACCATAATACCAAGAGCAAAAATTACGTTGAATAAAGACGTGATATATCATAGTTTCAATAAAAAAGAATGAGCCGCAACTTTGAGCTCCGTCGGGAATAAATTATCGCATATATAGTTGAATACAGAATACTAAAAAATATGTTTTTAAATGGAACTTTTTCTCGTACATTTACGAACCGAATTTCTGTTAATTTCCTATTGTTTTACAAAGTATATAGTCGGAATTATCGTAAAAATATCGGTGCGCATTAATGATTTTCACATATAATCGAAAAAGAAAAATATATATATATATATATATATATTATATTTAATTAATAAAACGAATTGTACGTTAAACATAATTAGTGCTCGCGGCGCAGCACAAAAATCTAAAGCCACTACGAAAATAGGACGATTGTCGGTCTCTGTTGCTGCTGCTCCATCGGTGCATCCTTCGTGTTCCGTTGTTCCGATTGATTTTGTTCCCAGTGCTATGAAGTGCCACAGGTTTCTCTGCGAAGAATCAGAGAGAGAATCTTATATCTTTAAAGTCGTTATTTTATCGCGGCCTGCACGTGCCTTTGCCTAAAGAAATATGGAAAAGTTCGAATTTTTTGAACATTTTTTCGCAAATTTAAATAGAAAATAGTTATATTACAAAATAATAACACTAAATCACGATATTATATATGAGAACCGCAATTTTCTTTTTTATAAAAAAAAAAGATAATATGTTTTGGATCTTGGGAGAAAATATGTGAGGAACGAAAGGAAACAGATCACTCTTTCTTTAGCCACTGTTGAAAGGACGATTTAATTCCGACGTGACGATCACTATAAATTGCAATACCATCGACGGAATCTTCTCGGATAACACCTGTCGGTTACGACAGGAATATTGAAATTCCGCGTGAGATTGAAAGCGTACAAGGATAATCTCGCGAGGTTTGACGTAACGCGCGCGAAAGGGGAAGGATATCGATATTCATATTAATCCTAAACAGCACGGATGTATAACATATTCCGCTTAGATAAGTTCTATTTGTTATCTCACCGGACTATATTTATCTTTTCAAATATTAGAAAATTAATTTCGCTCTTCCGTACAAGTCCGTCTATATGTCGGAATCCGCGAAATATGCATATTCGAGTATTTCGTCCAAATGAAATGCGAAATCGCAGAAATTTTACATAAATCAATTACAATTTTGTTACAGATTATAATAGAGAAAATTCTCTCTGCTGCGGAAAAGCTGTGAAAAATTTCGGACCGCTGATGAACAATGTGCAATTCTGCCCAGTTTTGCGTCACAGAAAAATTGGATTGTGTGTTGTAGCCTTAACGAAGAATATCGCGTTAACTGCGGCATCGGATTAATTCAGCGTAGCTGTGTTAACGTGGAAACGACCGAGGGGAGAAATCAAGTAAGTGGCGATTGTACGGCAATTCCGTTCCTTCCTCGGCGTCGCGTTTCTAGCCTAGAGGAGAGAGCTATTCGTTGAATTTCTCCATTTCTGAGAGCGACATGAGGCGACGAGGAGGATTGTTTCGCGAATATTGTTACGCGAAATCTGTGCAAATCCATCTCTCACGAGAGAGAGAGTATATCGCTCTCGTCGAGCGATTCTCCGGTTCGCGGGGATAAAGTGCTCGCTTTATCTCGGACGTGCTTTTCGGCTGCCACGACTCTCTCAGACGAGGGGTTGGCCGCGTTTTTCTTTTTTTCTTTTCTTTTTTTTTTTTTTTTTTACATTTTCCGCTTTCCGGGATCTCCTCATTTTCTCTCGCGAGCGAAAACCCGATTTCGCCCGACTCGCGACCTTGACCCGTATCACGGTTCGCTGTCAAACGCTGCTGGCTGCTTTTCCTCTCGATAACCGAGCCGTGTCCGCGCGGACTCGTTGCGCCATTTGACGTGCGTCCCTTGCCTGCCTCGGAAGCTGGGAGTTGCACACACAGTCCCGCCGACCTTGCTCCCGAACCTTGCGCGCACCGTATCAGCCTCTCCTATTAATTACTAATTTAGCCGCGAATACGTTTGCAAAATAATGCTCCCTCTTCCACAGCGCGACGTGCGTTAAGATCGATTAAAATTTAATCCCTTGTCGAGCCGAAAACCATTATGTGAAATGAAAATTAGGAAGGAACGAAGGGCATTTGCCGTTTTTTTTTTTTTTCATCGAAAAATTGTGCGCATAAAATTGCAGTATTTCTTATTTCGTATACAACAAATTTGATGAAAAAGAAACATCGTTGGTCTGATCTAACATTTTTGACGTGAATAAAATTTCATTCGGAGATTTTAATATAGCGCATACTTTTGCGCTTTATTTACATTTACACTCTGTTATTTAATTATGTAGTTATTACATGTTTGTAATAATCGAAGAATTTCTGAGGTAAGTCCTTTTTTGTTTTTTACACCTGATTTTATGTTAACTATTAGCCAAAAAACTTTGGTTAAGAATATAAAACTCTTACCACTTATATGTTTAATTATGACACAAATTAAAATCCCGTATCAAAAACGCGTACTTTTTATGACTAAAAAAGTATACAACATTGTTTTTAGCCACCGACAAATTGGCAACTTGAATGCAGATAAGCAAGATATGAAAACGTTTATTTCGCGTGATATTGTTCTCATAAATCCTGAATTGCATGGCACGTAAGCCTTTTCCTTCTCTCTCTCTCTCTCGCATTCGTTAGTCTGATTCGTACTATAATAAATATAGATCGCGTTCTCTTTATCATAAGTGTATGCAAACTTTAGAAACCATCGGTGTCTTATAACTTTTATTTTTTACATTAGTATTTTGGTTTAATTTTTCCATATTAAATATTAAAAGGTGACACCGAAGATGCGAGTAGCTCTCCCTCTCTTAAGTTGTGCAAACAATTTTATTCACTCTGCCCGAAATTTTACATTCTCATTCGTGATAAGAATTTTGAGTGCTTTATACTAGGGTAGAATTTTCAGAGCGATCTCACGTATCTCTCGGTGAATATCACATTTATTTGTCATTATTACGAGAACATTTGGATTTGAAGCGCTTATAGGATTATTCCGGACCCGCAGGAATGTCATTAATTACATTACGATCATCTCCCGAATATAATATTGCTCTATTGTTCCCTCGTTCACGTTGATATATGAAAGAGAAACGTAGTTTAATTTCTGCTTAAACCGCGTCTCGTCTCATCATCCGCTCTCTCAACCCTGTTCTCCTTCTCCCTTCGGGTTTCGCGCTAAAGTCAACTGCCGCCAGCGCAATGGAAGGCAATATTTATCGAACAAGCGGACGAGATTGTTTTACGAACGACAGTCTAGATTTGTTGGCCGACGAGCAGTATTTTTCCTCCTCTTCTTCTCGCCCTCTCGCAATTTTTGCCCTCTGGCATTTGCCACTTTCTCGCTCGTCACGCTTTCTTCACGGACCGCGGGGGATGCAGGTCGGACAAACGGATTTTGCAGAATGAGTGCGTCCTTGACCCGTATATCATCGGGGTCTAAGGTCAGACGACAGGGGCGTTTCTCTCGTCCTGCGTCCACTATCGACGCGACCCTATCCGGGGTTGGGGTTCTATCACGTATCAACGATATGCTGGCAAAATTCACAATTTCTCTTCCGTCTCGCATATTATTTGTATATCGATCTACTATAATATTCTCATCCCGTCTCGTTTCAAGATCGAGAGAGAGAGAGAGAGAGAGAGAGCGCCAAGTCTTTCCGATCTATTTATTTCCTATAATTTTTTTCTTCTATTATTAGTATGCTTTTTGCGTTGCAACGAATAAAAGTCGACATTTACCCAACTTCGGGAAGCGTGATTAAAAAGAGCAGAGAGGTGAAAGAATAATAAAGAGTTAGAAATCTTATTTTCGCTATGTAAATCGTATCTACATATGTAGGTGGGTGTTGTGCGTTTATGTGTATGTGTATTATGTAGGTATGAGATAAACTTGCCTTTTTTCTTTCTTTTTTTTTTAAGAATTGCGATTGATACATTCGTGAGGAAAATTATTATTGACTATATAGGCAAAGGCCTCGGGAAATACGAACGAAGATGTCGGCGAAATTGTACCCGTGTCAGCCTCGGATTGGGGCATGAATTCTTGCAGTTCCGATATCAGCTGACCGATCTCTTCCGAATCCTTTCGGATGCTGCAGAGCTCCTCCTCGTTGAAATCCGGTCTGATCTGTTTGCATAGGAGGATCTGCGAGACCACGTTGCCGATATACGAGGGACCGGCGCGGCTCTCTGTAACGCGATAACGGAAAAAACTGTGTCGTTAGATTTTTGACGATGTCGTTAAATTCCCGGACATCTCTTTTTCATCGCGGACGTACCCGAGATATTTCGGGCAAAACAGAACGCAGGGGAATAATAATCACAGTTTTCTATCACCAATGATAACCGAAGCGATGCACCATGTTTCAACGTGACTCTAGGGTATATAAAAGTGCATCCGGTGTGTGGTTTCTCATTTTTCTTTCTTTTTTTTCCCCGGCGAGATTTAAAAAAGTCGGTATGAACTTTAGCACGTGCAGTCAAGAGAGGGAAATAAACGAGCGCTTGGAGTACCTTGTAAAGCGCTAATATCGAAGAAATACATAGTTGTAAATTATCCGAAGTCTAAAAGTTCTGCTTCTCTTAAGAGAGACGGATCGCCTCGTAATTTACTTGTAGTTCGCGCAAATGGTTGTACGCAAACACCTGATTTAACGCGATAACACTCGTATAAAAGTTATCGTTATTTATCTTACGGTTTTATCGCTGGCAAATAGAACTTCTCTCTTCCTCTCTGTCTCTTTCTCTGTGTAAAAAATGATGCATGGTCAGAAATTTTGAATTTATCGAAATGCATAGCGGCATCCAATATTACAACTGTAGTAGCGATAGTTTTGAGAGTTACGATCCTCTATGAAATACCATGCCGTAAATCAATCTACCCGGTCCTTCGCTCAAAGCGGCCGCAGAAATTGATTTAATGTTACGCTTCGCAAACCGATAACGTGCGACTCGATTCCAATGATAACGCCTTATTTATACCCGTTCTTATAGGACATCGGAAACGAAAGTTTTTCCTCTTTCGAGTTTAAGTTAAAAATATCTAGAGAACGACAAACGACGTAAATTATAAACTTTGTTTTGATCGATAAATGCTAATTTATTTTTTGTCGAGATTAAAGTCGAGGCAAGTTGTGTAACGATTTATAAAAAGATTCGTACAAAGAGCTCCCCCGTACTTTCTGTTCGTATTTTTCCTGTGTTTTCTTTAAAGAAATTTCAAAGATGATTATATTATCGTAGCAAGAAAAATGTTTATATGATAAAGTGTAACGAGACTTACCGTAATATCCGGACATGTCCATGGGTACGATTCGTATGAGGTTCTTGCTCTTGTGCAGTTCGCGTAGAAATAATTGCACCACGTAAAATAATAGCACTAAATTCGGACTGTCCACCGGTATTCCGACATCCATAGCGCTGTAATCAAAATACATATTTCCCATAAAGATTCTCGGCTGTGCCTGCGGGATTAGTAATGCGATACAAGAGAGATGTAAATCAAATTTGCAATATATTATCATTTTCAAATTTTACTCGGAATAACATGAAGGAAGGAAGGAATGATATTTGTTTTACAAACGTAATTCTGAAATGGAACGAGTTCCCGAGAAGTAAAACTGCGAGACATCACGTTACTCGGAGAATAAATCGCATCGCAGCGAGAGATATGAATTGCTTTAATGACTCTTCTTCCGCGTCGGAGATGCGATTTTAATGGAAAATACCTACATCCGATTTCCGTCGCTTCGTTCGCGGTCTTGCGAATGGTTTGCCGAATTAATTACATTAAAAACATAATTACCAGTGCGCTTAAGCGAAGGAACCGCAATGTACCCACTAGTGACGGCCTCATTAACGCGCACACCTTTCGTAAACGTGTTCAAGTGTTGACACGTCGCGTTCCACGAGCAACACTTCTTCTTTTTTTTTTCTCTCCAGTTGGAGTACATTTTTCTCTTTTTTTTTCTTTTTTTCGCTACTTCGCAACGTGGTGGATGAAAACGTCGCGGCATTCACCACGCGCTCACGTAAGAATTTTCAAGGACGACGAAATGAGAATGATCCCGTTGGAGCGGTTGGGTGATTCTTAGCTCTGATGATGTATTATCTTGCGACGAGGAGGGATAAAAACGAGCGGTAAATGTGCCGAGCAAATATTACTCTCTCTCTCTTCCTTCGCGAGGTTTTTTCTTTCGCGAATAATAAATATACGTTGCTTGAAATTTATCTAAAGTAGTGAAGAAATTCATCAAGTATTAATACGCCGCGAAGCGTAATCCGATAATCTCGCGGCATAAGAGGACTCGGACCGGTAAAAGGCCGCAGGAAAATCAAGTACTCCGATTAACTCGTTTTACGTTAATTACCGTATCGGTCCAGCATTGAACGTTCTCCTTGTGCAGAAACCATTTCGGTTGGCTTCCGGTTAATGAGATTTCAATTAACGTGCGAAATAGATTGGCGTGACCGAGGGCAACCGACCTCAATCTGCGGATGTATTTGCTTCTTATCGCTACTAAGGCGATTTCTCTTCTTTTTTATACTAGCTACACCGGTTTTTATTATTTTCATCGTGTTGTGTTAACAAGACAAAATCCTTGGCTAAATATATGTTCAGGATAAAGATGAAATTGGACCGTGAAAACAAGGAAACATATAACACAAAATGAATCTATTTCAGTTTGTTGCATTTCGTGGCGGCAATAAACTATAGGTAGTATAGGAGTTCGGATTTCAATATCGCGGAATTTAAATTCCTTTGCAAACAAACTCTGGTTTATATAGTTTTTCTCTTCCCTCTTTCGTACAGTCCCTTTACTCTGTAGTACCTAACTATTTGCAACCAAAGGAAAGAAAGCTATCGATTTCACAGATTAGTTTCTCGCAAAAAGTTAAGGGAGGTGAGTCAAGGAGCGGATTTCGTTAAAAAAAACGCCACTCGCAATTACTGTTTCTTTTTCCCTACCTTTTCCTTTGCTTCTTCCTCTCTCATCCTCATTCAGTCGCCTTTGAATAATTCCTTCCGGGATTTTGCACACCTTAATAAAAATCTAAATGTTTCACGGCTTTTGTGTGTTTTTTTCGAAATTTTATTGTATACACACAGATAATTAAGCGTTATTATACATTTACATAAATGGTCCAGCAGAGAGCCTTTATTCAGATAAGTTTGTTATATCCCCGCATTGTTATTCGAACAGTATAATTCGAGAGAAGCTTAATCGCCGAATTATTTAACGCACGAAACTAAAGATAGCCAAGTTTCGCGAGACTTGGCGATGCGAATAGTTGCCTGTATTTCATTTTCTTCATTAATTTACACAGCGAGCTTCTCCTCGGTTAAAAGTTTCACTCGAAAGTTGATCAATTATCTCGATATTATTTATCGAGCCTGCAGCCATATATAAATAGTATAGACATACCTACACGACGCGCACCCGTGATTGAAAAAATAAAAAAACGCAAAGATTCCGTGTAGGATCAAAATTGTATGAAATATCCGGTTAAATATACTTCCGGGGGATGAGGGAGAGAAAATAATTATTCGCCGCGAAATTGAATTGTAGCGCTTAAATATGAGACACCGAGCGTGCAAACGGGATTTTCAATGAGCAACATGTTTAATTAGATTGCCGTGTCGAACAGCTATCGCGCGTGCCGCGAATGTGCATACGCATCATTTTATTTACTTCGCTTAAGCCGGATCATCGTGCGGCCGCTACGGAACGATAATTATTGCTACCCCTCCCCTTCAGCGTTGTTTATCTCCGGTTCGAGCCTGGAATAACGTTGCTACGTGACCAGCATTCGCATTTCCTCCGCGTTTCATTGCGTTAATAGCACCTGCCACGGCGACGAGGTTCGATTGTTCGCACGAATTACCTTTATCATTATGTACGTGTTAATTGTTTATTAATTATTCTTCAAACCCCCGTTTGTCTCTCTATCAGGATTTTTTTTCTTCGATTTTATTTCGCATTTTAAAAGACGAGAGAGAGAGAGAGAGAGAGAAGAGAAATTCTCTCAAGATAAACCGTCTGTTTGCCGATGTCGCATATTTGCATAAAGTTTTCTCGAGGTGCGAGGTACAATCAATCGATTGCCTTTACGTGCACATTCGATCACATATTACATACATATACATACATATATATATATATATGCACATCCATCGGTCGTTCTCGCGCAAAAAACGTCACGAATATTTCGTGCGCCGTATCGCCGCGAAACATGCAACTGCATCGATTATGCAAAATACACGCCGATGTTTTATTCGCGCGACCTTTTTTCCCAGAGATGAAAAGAATAGTCGTTCACCGTCCGGGTTCACCTATATATTAATCTGCGATTATACGAAAGGGACTTTCTTCCTCTCTCTCTCTCTCTCTCTGCTTTACTTGCTTTTCAAATTTCAAATGCGATTGCACGCGAGTCTTGCAACTTTTGCATATGCCAAGATATATATTCGGAGATTGTATAGTATCTGTTTGTATCTCGAAAGTTCTTATGGCGATTAAATTATTGATGAGAGATTTTCCCGCAAAAAGATAACACGTGTATTCAACTATATTGTCTCGACCGCTGGATTTAGAACTACTCTCTTCTCTTTCTCGCTTCATGTTAAATTCACACTTTTTCCCCTCTCTCTTTTTATATAATTTTTTTTTCCATTTTATTTAATTTAATTTGGAAAATAAACTCCAGAGTTATTGCATTTTCATTTCTCGTATATTTTATTGGCAATTTGCCATATTCAGAGAGTGTCTTGCTGAAAGCCGTATTTGTCCAGTTGTCCGAGTCGGAGTTTCGGTTTTTCGAGGGTGAATCGAGCGCGTTCGCAGTCTCGAATTTTAAATTGCAAACGGTTCAATTTCCGCTCGGGGGCCATGTAAAAGCCCCGGGAATACATATGTCTCGCGCGCGCGAACTTTTACACGTTCGTTCTCTCGGCGTAAGCGTAAGAGTTACAAGTCGCGCGCAGACGACACGAAAACACAAACAAGGAGAAACACAATACTCCCCGGCATTAATACTTGATCGACGTCGTAAGCACCGGCGGCACTCGGGAGCGGCAAACTTTCCTTGCTATAGAGCTCTGCTAGTGCCACCGCGACCTGGATCGAGCGAGATTGACGAGGCACCACCAGCCCTCCCGACGCGTATATATTTGACTTCACGTAAATCCTCGCGTTACATTACGATGACGATTCTTGTCAGGTGTCTAAAGTCGAGTAATCGAGTAACTACACAGACAGAGACAATTTTCTCTTCAATTTTTACCCTCAATAATCGTGGGACAACGTGGTATTGGAAGAATTTTATTGGGGTTTCTCTGATTAATATTTATACGCTGAAAAAAAATATTTATGTAAAATTACATGATTATGCTAGTGTTTTTCTAACGCAGCATAATCATGCAATATTGTTGCTCCTTATATGGAAGATTACAGATTATATGTAATTTCATATGAAATATATTCTTAAATATTTTCAAGATTAAAAATATTGCACTGAACATGGAATTATACATAGAAAATGCTATATAGTAATGTACGTATAAATGCTGTAAAATAATGTTATAAATAAAACGAATAAATACTTATAAAATAAATGGTCTAATAAAGTAAAAATAGTAGATTTAAAATTACATATAATTTTTGCATAAAAATAGTAATTTTACTTAATTTTATATATTTTTATATTAATATGTATTTTTACTTTAAAAGAAATGGAAAAATAAATTACAATGATAGGCAGGTAATTTTCCAATTCTGCACAAGTAATTTCCAGGTAAAAATACGTGGATTTTTTTCAGTGTACCACAAGATACAAAATACAGAGTGTTAAAACAAGGTTTACATATTTTGAGAGCAGGTATATTGATCAAAATAAAAAAGAAAGATCTAATGAACCTGGGTCCTACAATTAATATCTTTTATCTACTCTCAACATATGTAATCTTATTTTTTAACATTCTGTATGTTCGATTAATTTTACTATGTACGTAGTAAAATTCACTATGTAAATATGTATATTTTTTATTGCGAAAAATATTAATCAGAAATTCTTATAAAATTCTTTCAATACCAATATTTTTACACGATTACTATGATTTTTAGAATAAATTCTAACAGAAAATTATCTCTGTGTAGCTATGATATACATATTATTCACCATTTAATTTACTCTAATTTAGTTAACATTGAAAAATCTTACTATGTAATATTAGTATGATTATAATAAAATTTACTATGTACATACATACATATTAATATTTTTATTGTGGTAAATATTAATGAGAAACTTATAAAATTCTTTCATATATTGTCCTACGATTACCAAAATTTTTATAGTAAATTCTAAAAGAAAATTCTTTCCGTGTAGATTCGACGAAAACCCTCGATATTAAACAGATGAATATTGTGATGAAAATAATACACTTGACGAAATCCTGTACAAAGATAACCGAAGAAAAATATGAATTAGATTATGTCTCTATATACCTGAAATTGAGCTCTATGGTAGGTAATATTTTTCCCCCGTAAAACCATTAAGTTTGTGATTCGAGATTGCAACGCGGAGATACATTTTATTAGATTCCCTCGACGGAGATGATCGCAAAGTCAATCGAAAGTTTTGGATGACGGAAATCTTGCGCGAAACCGATGATAAAGGGCAACCTCCAGTGGCTTCGGCCAACAGCAAACTTACAGAATGAAAGTTATTGAAGAGGCACGAGGTGATGGCACGTGACGCTTTTCTCACGACCGTGATTCTTGGTGGAAAGCATTCAGTCGTTTGTGGCGGTCTATCTGTGACCTGCATTGTGCAACGGGGGATGACGGAAGCGATGGATAAGAAATTGAGGAAAAGTTTTTCTCTCTGTGTCTCGTCGTCGTCGTCGTCGTCGCAAACTAGCTTGAATCCGGAGTTTAGGACGGCGAGGAACCTTGTCCTATATTTTCGACGTCGTTCTCGTTAATCTCACGGTTTACACTCGCGCCCCTTTTCTTCGTCGCATAGGTCAAAGGACCGCGTTCTCGTTATCATTGTCGGAAAAATTGCACGAGTAGCCTCGACCCTTACGAACGGAAGAAGTGCACGGGAGCGAGCGAGGAAAGAGGCTTGAAATTACAAGAGGCAGGGAGAATATATGTATATATACGATCGAGTGCGTTAATTTCCTTATTGACTTAAACGCGTGATAAATGTGTACATACATACATGTAGTCCATTTCCCGAACGAATTAACGCATTGATCGAGCACGAATGGTTTGAGCGTTTGTACATAGAATGGTTTGTGTGTTCGGTGTATTAAATCGAGTTAATGGCTTCGAGTGCATTAACGAGAATACTATATATCATTGGAGAAAATTCGAATAAAACCCAAGTCAACAGGTTTTCATTCTTGCAAAATTGTTTTGACGAATTTCGAAATAATTACAATTCTTTATGATTTCCTAATGAATGTTCAACTTACCTCTGCACATGAGGCAGTACCAGTTGAGAGGTGCTCTTGCAAGCGTCCACGCAGTTTCGACGTAGCCTTCGTATTTTCTCCCGTAGTTCCGGACAATCGCGCGGTTGCCCGATATTAATGAGTAGATCCCGAAATTGTGCTACCTGGCTGTTTATGTCCTGGATTTGCTGAAACGCATGAAAAGCGAAACTCGCAGTCGGGGTTATCCATCGATTGTCCGATTAGGAAATAGCGGAAATAGCGTTGCGCAAATATATACGCGCTCCTTCTCGTGAAATGTAGGTTGTGTGTGTGTGTGTGTGTGTATATATAGGTACCTATACAAATTTCCATTATATATTCTCTCGATTATTGTATTATATTTCTCTCTCGTTGAGCAATTTTCCTCGGTTGTCCAAATATATATCCGTATAACAATATGTTTGCAGAATATATGTACGTTCGCCGCATAATTCGACATTCGAGGAGTATTATTAAATAATTGAAAGCGACAGATAATGGCTGCATCGTCTATAGTTTATGAATCGATTGCGTCGCGAATAATAATAATTATTCGCCCGATGTGATTTACGACCGAACGGGGCTGGAAAATTAAAAAATAACGTTGCTTCCAATCCCCAATCGCTATTATTCATAACAAAATCTGATTACTCAGGCAAATTTATTAATTGCAAAAGTGTTTAACGCATATAATAAATATCTATTAAGTGTCTTTTGTTCAAATGTAATGAAACGAAAATGAGAAACGACGAATGGACAAAGGGTCTTTAAAAGCAAAATCGGAGGGAAGAGACTCTCCCCCGGAACGGATTAATAAAATTTCGACGGCGCCGAAGAATCTGCGAATTATGTTGAATTCGTGAGAGTTTCCATCGGAGAACGGAGAGAATATTTTGTCCTGCAATCGCGCGCGATTTTACGATTCCAGATTACGATTCACTTACCAGGAACACCGTTTTATCGGCTTTCTCGGGCTTGTCGGATTTATCGTCGTGATGTCTGCTGGTCGATGGTGTCGGGGAATCCGTCATCATCTGATCTTGTTACGGACAGCTCTCTCGCCCAATGGTCATCACTCGACGCAACGATGACGATGATTTCCGCGAGCATTTCCGGTCTGGGACGCGCAGCGAGCTGGCCACGCGGTGGTTCGCGCGAAGAAACGCATACCGGAAGTCGGCCTCTCGAAGTCGACGGGATATTATTAATATTGAAGAGGCGCGGCAGGACGCACCGATAATAATCGCCGCAGTCGCAAAGTGTACTCGGCGCGCATTCCCGCCACGTTTTCTTTTTCTCCTTTTTTTCTTCTTTCCTTTTTTGTGCCTTGCGCTGGTTATTTTTACGCGATCAATCCCGCGTCACTTAAAGCTGGCTGATAATAGGCTTATCGCTCTCTCTCTCGGCAGTAGTAGTATAGTCATCTCTCGGGCACCGGAGCGGTGCGATCGCCGCAGCGTGCTCGACCTTTTCCCCTCGTGTGCTTTTTCAAAGACTCGTGCGACATATTCCGATCGGATGTGCCGTTAATAGAGGATATCGCGCGTAGGACACCTTTTTTCGCGTTAAACTTAGAGGATTTTCAGTCGGATTCAATTTTCTTATATATAGTCTTCGAGGAGATTTTGCTCGCCGATTTCTATACCACGAGATGAATGACCGACGTAAGTTTGCAATTCGCAAACAAATTTATGTACCTCGTTGAAAATGTTCTGATCAAATTTGACGCGTGTCAAACGAAGATATCCGACATCACATCTTTTTTTCTTTTTTTTTTACTAGCGGAATTTAGGTTTACGCGAATCGCGACGATGATTGACGACGTCGCGCGGCAACATCTCGACGTCGCGTTCTCATTATCATCTGCGATTATATCTACCCTTTCATGGACAATCGCGGATGGAATTTCGGCACACGATCTCTCGCGATGCAGTCTATGCGCGACTCTATTTTCCCCGGTTTCACGGCATCTCTCGAACCTCGGACGATCACAGAAGCGAACGAGAGGGCGAGGTGATGCTATATTCTGCGCCGTAGCAACACACGCGACAGACTAAAACGTGGGTTTCGCCCTCGAGCTCTTTCACTGCCGCGCGCCACCCTGCGCCGAGCGCGCATGTCTGACTCGCGCTACGGCCTTTCCACTGCGATCGTCTTCCGAGTTTCGCGCATTCTCCGCCAAAAATAGCCAATTTGTCCCTTATTTCGTAACGTTAGCTCTAAAGCAGCGTGATTTGCTCGGCGAACAAAGCTAGGCTGCTCGGTCCATCAGGAAGACAGAAGTGATTTTTAAATATATATTATTATGAAAAAATGTTTTCGCCCGACTCGCGCTACGGCTTTTCTACTGCGATCGTCTTCCGAGTTTCGCGCAAAAATAGGCAATTTGTTTCTTACTTCGTAACGTTAGCCTTAAAGCTCGGCGAACAAAGCTAGGCTGGTCGGTCCATCAGGGAGACAGAAGTGATTTTTAAATATAGTATATTATTGTGAAAAAATGTTTTCGCCCGACTCGCGCTACGGGTTTTCTACTGCGATCGTCTTCCGAGTTTTGCGCAAAAATAGGCAATTTGTCCCTTACTTCGTAACGTTAATCCTAAAGCAGCGTGATTTGCTCGGCGGGCAAAGGTCAACTTGCCGCCACAAACTAGGCTGATCGGTGCATTAGGGTGACAGAAGTGATTCTTAAATATATATATCGTGAAAAATCGTTTTCGCCTGACTCGCGCTACGGCGTTTCTACTGCGATCGTCTTCCGCGCTGAAAAAGAATTTATTGAATCCGAAAAAATATTTATTTCAGTACCTTATAAATCATTTATTTGAAATTAATAATATTGATTCGATGTGAAAAAATATTTATTTAAGAAAATCCTTTTTAAAACAAATTATTTATTTCAAATAAATGATTTATTTGGTAGTATATATTGAAATAAATATTTATTAATTTAATAATCTTTTTCAGAGTGCGAATTTCGCGGATTCTCCGCAAAAATAGACAGCTTGTCCCTTTGCTTGATAATGTTAGCTCTAAAAATTTCGTCGAACTTGAACAAAGCTTAACTCGCCCCCACAAGCTAAGCTGGTCGGTCCATCAGAGGGGGACAGAAGTGATTTTTAAATATACCATGAGAAAACTTTTCTCTTACTCTTTAAGAACTAAGTTTTCAGAAAAACCGAAAGTCGGAAAATTAGTAACTTTATTTTGTTTCAAACTTGCACAATTTTCAGTGACATGCTATTTCATGGATCGATGAATTCGAGTTTAATTGTAGCTTTTTAATGGAGAGGTATAACTTCAAAGAGAAATATATAATTTTAAAAAATGATTAATTTGAAAAGTTGATTTTGCAAATGTGACATTTGCGTGAAATCGCAAGTCTATTAAACAATGTATTGATTGTTATGTTTGACTGTCTTTTGGGCATCTTTCGGGCAGCTTTATTCTTCCCTAAAGTATTGGATAAAATATAAAGCATAATGTTAGTTCTTTTAATGCACAATGCTTCGTATGCATTATAAACAATCTACACGGAGAGAATTTTCTCTTAGAATTTATCCTGAAAATCATGGTAATTGGGAAAGAATTTTACAAGCTTCTTTGATTAATATTTACCATAAAATAAAAAAATATTCTTTGATTAATATTTACCATAAAATAAAATATAAAATAAAAAATACTAATTTGTACATAATAAAATTAATCAAACATATTTGATATCTTATTGCGATAGATGTTAATATTTTTATTGTAGTAAATAATTAATCAAAGAAACTTTTATAAAATTCTTTTAGTACCATATTGTCCCACGATTACCATGATTTTCCGAGTAAACTCTAAGAGAAATTTCTCTCTGTGTACCTCTGCAATATACTTTTAGTCCTGAAACATATACAATTCTATTCCAGAGCGTGTCGCGTTTCGTCGAGCCACTTTACACGAAGCGTGCAGCTACTTTGTATGCCATAAAGGTATATCGGCATAACGCAATTTTGATACCTTAATTGATCGTCGTTGCATCCCGATAATGTTGCACTGTCGATGATATTTTCGTCATGCTCGCGTACCGCACAAGCCACTCTTCTACTTCGTCTCGATAAACCTTCGGCGATATTAATACCTTTTTAAGTCAAGAACTCGAACATTTTTATAAGTTAAGTTAAAATCTCTTTTAAGTTAAAACTCGAATAAATTTCTGCTGCGCATACCGTTGAGTATGCCGCATGTGACTTTTTCGCGTATGATTGTAAAACTCTTTGAAGTTCACGGAAAGTTCTTTCATCATTTCTTACGGCAACTGTTTGGCTTCGGAACGTCAAAGGAAAATTTAATTTTGAACAGCTCCATATTCGAAATACTAGTCAAGATGGATCGATAAAATCCTATTAAAAATGCACAAATTGAAAAATCGTATTAATATTATCCTTATAAAGAGAGAGAGAGAGAGAAAATATATATGTATACATCATTTTTATGCAGAGATAAATTTATTCGCGCAAAAAAAATGACAATATTACATGAATAATAAGTGTAAAATTGCACAAAAATACTAAAAATGTATAACATTTTTATTATTGTTACGTTACTTCCGTATTTATTATTCACTAAATTTTGTAATTTTTTTTACGGTGTACCAGCCTCTTGCTATTTTGTGACAATATAATTCAGCTGCAATTTTATTAGCTTGTATTTACGCGTTGTATCCTCGACACGCATTTCAACGTTGAATCATGGAGCGTGTGCACACGACAGGTATACCCATACCTGCATTATACAATTATATAAATTGACAACAAGCAGTTAATGGCCGAGTTGTCACCGTCGTTTGCAGCGTTCGACACGATTGTCGAATTATTATATTTGATTACGATTCGAAATTGTTGGACTTTCGCTATCGAATTTAATTGGCGTTGATGTGAATATCGAGTATATATATACATGGAGAGAATTTTTTCTTACAATTAGAATTTACCCTGAAAATCATAGTAATCGTGAGAAAAATTTTATGTCTCTCTAATTAATATTTACCACAATAAAAATAATTAATATCTACCGCAATAAGATATCAAATATATTCGATTAATTTTACAATGTACATATTAATATTTTTATTGTGATAAATATTAATAATGAATTAAAAAAGAGAAACAATTACAAAAGTCTTCCAATAGCATTATGTTTCACGGTTACCATTATTTTCAGAGTAAATTCTAAAAGCAAATTCTGTGTAACGTCGCGACATCATTTTTTGACTCGAAAACATTGATGTCGGAAGAAACTTGGTGCGAGAACTCGTTCGACGAGTCTCTTATTAAGCGATCCCGTTTACTCGATCGCTTTTTCCGCCTCACTGTTTTTCACCGTCCTGTCTGCGACATCGTCCAGACGACGTAATTGCGCTTTTTATCCATTCGATCTTTCTTCTTAGACATCCTCGTATCTCGCATTCTTTCCGTTCACCCTCTCGAGTCTCGTCAACCCTTGCCAGCTTCGCGAGTCGCCTTTTTTCTCGTACTCTCTCCTTCGTGTGACAGATTATAGGGTGCGCCGGAGCGATCGATTGTCTTAATAGAGATTAAATTTAAAGCCTGTCGTCCATCCTCCTTTTTCCTTCGTCCCGAGACACTTAATGCTGGAAATGAAAAGCTTGCGCGAGAAACAAACGACAACCTTCTCCTATAAATTTTCCGCCAGACCTCGCTTAGAAAATCCATCGTCGACTTGGAGCGGATCCGATCGAAGCTCCAGGACACGTTTCCGTCCATATACGTTACATGACACATGATCCGCGCATCTGCGGTTTGCGAAGCCCGGCGGGAAAAGCCGGATAAAGGGGTTTCGCGGAGCTGATACTGACGAAGCAGTCCTTGAACAAAAGGGATATATCGTGGCATCGCGAGGGGCGCGTAGCGGCTAATGGTCGCAAAATAGCCGGTCACGTTTCACCAAATCGACCTTTCCATTCCGATTCCTCTATGAGCGATTCTAGTAATCCAATACGTCCATCCGTATTCGAGGACGATCGAAATTTCGTGAAAAAATTAGAGACCTTCTAAGAATCGCGCGCGCAGCTTTTTAAGTCACAGCCAAGAATATGTAGCTTCCATTCTCGGTACGATCGATAGCGCCTTCTCAAATTACTTCCTGACAATGGCACCTAGGTACGATCACCGGACGATTCAATTTGTCGAGGCGTCCCGTAAAAGAATCATCCGTTGTATGTAAGGGATATAGGACTCTCGGATAATATCTCGGATAATCCCTCCAGGATATCCGGTAATTTTCCTTTGGAGACGCAAAAAAGTTATAAGATATATACATATATATATATTTTTTCAATGTTAACTAAATTAGAGTAAATTCAATGCCGAATAATATATCACTTAGCATAATTACACGGAGAGAATTTTTTCTTAGAATTTACCCTGAAAATCATGGTAATTGAAAGAGTTTTACAAGTTTCTTTAATTAATATTTAAAATTAATCGAACATATTTTAATATATACAAATTATCCATGTCTATTTTTCTGTTGCTTTAATACACATATATACACAGAGAGCATTTTCTTTTAGAATTTACCTTGAAAATTATAGTAATCAGTGGGACACTAGTATTGGAAGAATTTTAAGAGTTTTTCTGATTAATATTTACCACAATAAAAATATTAATATCTACCACAATAAAGTATAAAATATGTTCGATTAATTTTACTATATATACATATGAATATTTTTATTGTGGAAAATATTAATCAGAGAAACTCTTATAAAAAATTCTTCCAATATACCATATATTATTGTCCTACCATGATTTTCAGACTAATAAATTCTAAGAGAAAACTCTCTCTTTCCGTGTACCTAATCTTTCGTCATAAATGTTTCTAAAAATGGTTCTTGCTCCCAGAAGAGGGTCTCTACTTATTATTACTGCAAGAACGGCGCGGTTACACGTTAATCCACTACCTATCGCAAACGTACGTCGCCCGTATGTTCGTGACAACTCTTAACTGCCTCTTTAATGATTCTGTCGTCGTTGAGAAATCGTTAGTTTCTGTGGCGAACGGC